TTTGAAAGTCAGAGTCAGAGTTACACAGAGAAGGAGAAGCAGAGAGAGAGAGAGGTCTTCCATCTGCTGGTTCATTCCCCACTTGGCTACAGTGGCCGGAGCTGCGCCAGTCTGAAGCCAGGAGGCAGGAACTTCTTCCAGGTCTCCCACGTGGGTGCAGGGGCCCAAGGACTTGGGCCATCTTCTACTGCTCTCCCAGGCCATAGCAGAGAGCTGGATTGGAAGTGGAGCAGCCGGGACTCGAACCAGCGCCCTTATGGGATGCTGGGCACTGCAAGCAGCGGCTTAAACCCGCCACGCCATAGTGCCGGCCACTTTTGCAATTGTTAGATTCATCCAACTACTACCATTATCAGATACAAATTGTTTCCACGTTACAGAGGAACCCTTCTATGCTACCCCTTCCCTACCTCTGGTCATCTGACAATCATTAATTTGTTCTCCATCTCTCATTTTTTTTTTAAGATTTAATTTTTTTATTTGAAAGAGTTAGAGACACACAGAAAGAGAAAGGTCTTCCATACACTGGTTCACTCCCCAGTTGGCCGCAACAGCTGGAGCTTCGCCGATCCGAAGCCAGGAGCTTCTTCCCAGTCTCCCACTTGGGTGCAGGGGCCCAAGTACTTGGACCATCCCCTACTGCTTTCCCAGGCCATAGCAGAGAGCTGGATCAGAAGAGGAGCACCCGGGACTAGAGCTGGCGCCCATATGGGATACTGGCGCTTCAGGCCAGGGCTTTAACCCACTGTGCCACAACGCTAGCCCCTATTCTCCATCTCTATAGCTTTGTCAATTTGAGGATGCTATTTCTGTATTTGCTTTTAATTAGATGTAAATGCCTTTAGAGGCATTCGTCATTTATCTTAGATCTCACCATTGTCTGTTTTCATCTATCTGATGGTGGTTGGTTTGGATCGTCTGCCTGGCACCTGCTGGCACTTAGGATGGGGACCTTGCCCAGCTGTTAGGTCCTAGTTTTCCAGCAGCCACCTGGTTGTTGCCCCCTGCCCAGGCTGGCAGCTGTGGCTCCTGTCACTCCTCCCCCTCCCTCTAGATGCAGGCCCTGATTTCCTGTGAGTGTACCATCTGTCCTGACTGCTTCCGCCAGCACTTCACCATCGCCTTGAAGGAGAAGCACATCACAGACATGGTGTGCCCTGCCTGTGGCCGCCCCGACCTCACTGATGACACGCAGTTGCTCAGCTACTTCTCCACCCTCGACATCCAGGTAGGTCCTGCAGCTCTTAGGATTCAGATACTCTGGGCGTTAAACAGGAACTCTGCCTACGCACTGTATCTTGTCTCAGCTTCGGGAGAGCCTGGAACCAGATGCCTACGCTTTGTTCCATAAGAAGCTGACTGAGGGCGTGTTGATGCGGGATCCCAAGTTCCTGTGGTGTGCTCAGGCAAGTGACCCACGCAGCGGAGCTGACTGTGCAGGGGCCAGGGATCATGCTGGGTCAGGCCTTGGAAAGCTTTCTGCTCTTGCACCCACAGTGCTCCTTCGGCTTCATATATGAGCGTGAGCAGTTGGAGGCTACGTGTCCCCAGTGTCACCAGACTTTCTGTGTGCGTTGCAAGCGCCAGGTAAGGCACATTTATCCTTTCAGAAATACTTGCCTAGCTGCTGCTAGGTACAGTATGAGACATGGGGTATATGGAAGAACAAAACAGACAGGAGCTCAGAGCTTAAGAAGCTTAGTTTAGGGGCTGACGTTGTGGCGCGGCAGGTTAAGCCGCTGCCTGCAGCACCGGTGTCCCATATGGGAACCAGTTTGAATCCTAGCTGCTCCTCTTCCGGTCCAACTCCCTGCTAATGTACCTGGGAAAACAGCGGAACATGGCCCAAGTGCCTGGGCCCCTGCACCCACTTGGGAAACCAGGAAGAAGCTCCTAGCTTTGTCCTGGCCTTGTCCCAGTTGTTGCAAGCATTTGGGGAGTGAATTAGTGGATGGAAGATTTCTCTCTCTGTGTCTCTTTCTAACTCTGACTTTCAAATAAATATTTAAAAAAAAAAATCTTAGTTTAGTGAGAGGCGCAAGGAGAAATGGAAGAAAGAGGAGGGGAAGAGAGGGAAAGAAAATGGAGGGACAGCGGAAGGAGAGGAAGGGAGGGAGGAAGCAGATCAAGGGTAGGGGCATCGTCATACACAGCACAGGTTCTGCGAAGAACACAAGTGAAACAAGTGATTCAAGGATAACAGATTGGGTCAGACAGTCGTCCTTAAAATGGTTTAGCTTAAGCTCAGACCTGAAAGTTAAGAACCCAGCCATGCAGAGTATTTGGGACAGAAAGAATAACCCATGGAAAAACCACAGTGAGACAAAACTGGCTGGAGTCTTGAGAGCAAGGGTGAGGCTGGCAGGCAGTTGGGGAGGAGCCAGCACCAGATCAGGCAAGCCCTGGAGGCCATGTAAGGCAGAGATTTGTCTTTCATTCTGAGATCAAGCAGGGAGTGTTATCATCTCATTTATCTTGTAAGAAACTTAATTTTTATCACCAAAATCTTTTTTTTAAGATTTATTTATTTATTTGAAAGTCAGAATTACACAGAGAGAGAAGGAGAAAGAGAGAGAGAGAAAGGTCCACTGGTTCACTCCCCAGTTGGCCGCAACAGCTGGAGCTTTGCCAATCTGAAGCCAGGAGCCAGGAGCTTCTTCTGGGTCTCCCACGCGGGTGCAGGAGCCCAAGGACTTGGCCCATCTTCTGCTGCTTTCCCAGGCCATCGCAGAGAGCTGGATGGGAAGTGGAGCAGCTGGGACTCGAACTACACTGCAGGCAGCGGCTTTACCTGCTACGCCACGGCACCAGCCCCTCACCAAAATTTTGCGTCTATGTTATGAAACAATAACAAAATGAACACTTGACCCTGCCACCAAGCCTCAAAATCAGAACATTAGCAATACAGTTGAAGCTGCCTGATTTACACTTTTGGCTGCAATGTGGAGAATGGGCTGTGGAAGCAGAGACCAGTAACTGAAGTCATGGAGGCAAGATCTGACAGAGGCTTGGAGTGAGATGGCAGCAGTAGGGATGGAGAGAAGAGACAGGGTTGGGAGAGGTTTGGGTGGTCGGAGCATCACAGCTTACTAATGAACATGAGGTGATAGAAACACAAAGCCAAGGATGGCCTCTCAGTTTGGAGTTGGAGCAAACGGTGGATGGTAGTGACACAAGCTAAGCTGAAGGCTCCTGGGAGGGCCGGCAAGAAGGATCAGGGGAGGGATGGGCTTCTGTGTGAAGCCTTACTTTCCTTCCGGCAGTGGGAAGAGCAGCACCGAGGCCGGAGCTGTGAGGATTTTCAGAACTGGAAGCGCACCAATGACCCGGAATATCAGGCCCAAGGCTTGGCGATGTATCTTCAGGAAAACGGCATTGGTAAGGCTGCCCGACCTGGCTGGTTTGCTCAGTCATCTGTCGTTAACAACATCCTCTTCTTGAGGGCCTTGAGGTGCATGGCAGCCCCAGCCCTTACCTGCCATCTCTTGCAGACTGCCCCAAGTGCAAGTTCTCATATGCACTGGCCCGAGGAGGCTGCATGCACTTTCACTGCACCCAGTGCCGCCACCAGTTCTGCAGTGGCTGCTACAATGCCTTTTATGCCAAGAATGTGAGCCCAGAAGAGTGGGAAAGGGATAAAAGGTTGTGGGGGGCAGGGAGGCCTGCCACTGGGATTAAGGGGTGGAGGCACTGGGGAGCGACTCAGAGAAGAGGAAGCCATTGGGATATAAAACACCCGTCTCTGTCTCCTCTCCCTGTTTACTTGCTCCAGACCTTCCAAGGTTTCTGTCTTCCCCACCCCTACAGCCCTCATGCAGGGGTTCCTGAGAATGTAGACCCCTAATAATTTCTAACTTCCCTTTCCCATCTGGGTTTCTGCCAGAAATGCCCAGACCCTAACTGCAGGGTGAAAAAGTCCCTGCATGGCCACCACCCTCGGGACTGCCTCTTCTACCTGCGGGACTGGACTGCTGTCCGACTCCAGAAGCTGCTACAGGTTAGAGGCGACCAGCCCAGCCGGGTGTGCTGGTTGCACGGGAGAAGGGGCAGGTCACAGGGTGAGGCAAGAATGGAAGAGGCTCTGAGGTGGGAAGTGCAGCAAGGGGAGCGTAACGCCCGGGTGTGTCTTCCTCCGCAGGACAACAACGTCATGTTTAACACAGAGCCTCCAGCTGGGGCCCGGGCAGTCCCTGGAGGTGAGTGTCAGGACAAGCCTTCGAGAAGGGGAGATGACGTGCTGGGCTCCCACTGTGTGACGGGTAAACAGAAGGGAAAGTGGTCTGGGATGATGCCCGTGCCCCTGGCCTTGTTTTCCTGTGTAAAATGAGAGTAAGGATATCCACTTTGCTGGTAAGCTATTTGCACAAGACATGAAAGTCCTGAACACTTAATGTTAACTCCTCCCATTTCTAAATGTTTATTCATTCATTCATTAGCTCAGTGAGTGTTTAATGAGGCCTGCTAGTTGTAGTGCACTGTTTTAGGTTCAAGGGCATAGAATGGTGTTGGATACTGCTCTAATCTACTCCACTTCTTATCATCTTCATAGAGGTGAGACCTCACACAGTGAGTTAACTATGAAAGAGTTAAATAACAACAAAGAACTGTCTCAAGGGAACATGCAATTATGAGCCAAAAGCCAGCTTGAATAAAAGACGGACAGCGGGGTCTTCTGCCTGTGTCAGTGCCACCGGCATCTCAAGTACCCCACCGCCACAGAGCTCCTGTGCTCAGTCCCCTCCCTGAAGACGACCTCTGTGTTCTCCGTGGATACCCCAGTTCTCCTGGGGCCCTGTGGCCAGTGGCCTTCCCCCAGCAAAGGATGCCCTCCTTCCCTTACCCTTAGGTGGCTGCCGAGTGATGGAGCAGAAAGAGGTTCCCAATGGGCTCAAGGATGAAGCTTGTGGCAAGGAAACTCCAGCTGGCCATGCCGGCCTCTGTCAGTGAGTGCCAGAGGACATGGGATGGGCTATGGGCACAGGAGGTGGGAGTGGGGAGAGTGTGTCCAGATGGGAAAGTGAGCCCTGCAAGGAGTGGGGAGGGGCTGTCTGGGCAAGAGCATGGATAGGTAGGAGAACGTAGCGTGTGCAGATTGGCACTTGGCAGGTGTGGTGAGGTCTTGTCCAAGTATCCCAGTGCCCAGTCAGCTGCTGTTAGCCAACAGAACAGATTTTTCTGCTCCCTCATCTCCTCAGGGCACACTACAAAGAGTATCTTGTGAGCCTCATCAATGCCCACTCACTGGACCCGGCCACCCTGTACGAGGTGGAGGAGCTGGAGACGGCCACCGAGCGCTACCTGCACGTGCGCCCCCAGCCACTGGCTGGCGAGGATCCTCCTGGGTACCATGCCCGCTTACTACAGGTAAAGCTCTACCCGGCCTTATCCCTGACACCACCCTCCAGAAGTCACCTGTCCTGGCCCGTGTCAGCTCCAGGCTTCAGGTGCCGTTGTCTTCTCTCTTCTGCAGAAGCTGACAGAAGAGGTGCCCTTGGGACAGAGTATCCCCCGCAGGAGGAAGTAGCTGAGGGCCAGGTCCTGATGAAGGCCCTGTGGCCCAGCTCCCTCAGGAACAGCTCCAGCACCAATAAAGAGGCATCTGATTGCCCAGGCTTCTCGGTGGTCCTTCTTCCTGGCCCCACCATCTAGGGGCACCAGGGAAAAGGGGGGAGGTGAATAGAGCTTTGCTGAAAGAGCCCTTTGCGGCCTGCTGCTTGACCCACCCTGGACTCGGGGCCAGGAAGGAGTTGACACCATGGGTGGGCAAGGGAGGCCCTCTCCAGCCATCCACCCGGCCGGGCCTTCCTACCTCTCTGCCCCCTCTCCTGTCATGGAATTTGGCTGGTCATTGAAGTGACCAGATATGTACCAAGCAGGCACTATAGGGGAACAGACAGGCACAGATGTACACAGTCATCCAGAGGCCCCAGACCAGCCCCCAGAGAAACTGGGAAAGCAGCAATGTTACACAGAGGTCAGCGGCATGCAAAGACAGAATCTGAAGCAGGAAGGAGTACCAGGCAGGAGCTGTGGGCGGAGGGACCTGCTTGCTGCCGACAGTGGCATGGCAGTGAGAGTCTCAGCTGCTAGCTCCCCCTGGTGGCGGTAGGTTGCCCTGCTACTCAGAGACCACGTGATTTCTGGGAAAAGGCCCTCCCGAGAGGAGAAACGAAACTTAGGGTGGGGACTGTAGAAAGAGGCGGAGAAATCTCCCTGCCTGGCTGCGAACGGAGCTGCAGCTTGTGGAGCCCTGGGACAGCTTGGACAGCGGTTCAGGTAAGATCAGCCAAGCATGGGAGTCAGCCTGTGACCTAGGGCGAAAAGGCTAGCCAGATTGGAGGTGGTGGCGCCTGGGAGCCCCTTTCTAGACTGATAGAAGGCCTCTAAGTCCGGAAGTAGGAGGTGTGGCCTGAGAGCGAGAGACTACTAGAAATGGCCACTGAGCACCACTTGCACGTGCACCCCGGGGGCAAGTGTCCCAGGTCCTGTGGGCAAATGATAGGAGAACCTGCTGTGAGATTGTTCATGGAGGAAGGCCCTTTTCCCAGCCTCAGCTGGCCCTGTTTGTTTTCTTGCCTTCTGGCCCTGCCCACTTCTGCAGCCCCGCCCCTGACCCCAGGTCCCTGTCCCACCTACCCTTAGAGCAAATACTAGGGAGAGGTGGGGGTGAAAGGTTGGTGAGTAAGGTTGCCGAAGTATCTCTGAAGCAGATCTGTCTCTGTGGATGCTGGAGACTGGAAAAGGTGCTTTACCAGTAACGAGACACCAAGGGGGAGGCAGGTTTTTTAAGTATAAATCTTCCTTTTTATTTTTTTAAAGATTTATTTGTTTGAAAGTCAGCAGGGCCAGCGCTGTGGCTCACTTGGTTAATCCTCCACCTATGGCGCCGGCATCCCATATGGGCACCGGGTTCTAGTCCTGATTGCTTCTCTTCCAGTCCAGCTCTCTGCTGTGGCCCGGGAGGGCAGTGGAGGATGGCCCAAGTGCTTGGGCCCTGCACCCGCATGGGAGACCCAGAGGAAGCACCTGGCTCCTGGCTTCGGATCAGCGTATCTCCGGCCGTGCAGCCATTTGGGGGGTGAACCAACGGAAGGAAGACCTTCTCTGTCTCTCACTGTCTAACTCTGTCAAGTAAATTGAAAAAAAAAAAAAAAAAAAAAGTTACACAGAGAAGGAGAAGCAGAGAGAAAGAGGTCTTCCATCTGCTGGTTCACTCCCCAGTTTGCTGTAATGGCCAGAACTGTACCTACTCGTAGCCAGGAGCCTCCTCTAGGTCTTCCCATGCGGGTACAGGGGCCCAAGGACCTGGGCCATAGCAGAGAGCTGGATTGGAAGTAGAGCAGCTGGGACTTGACTGGTGCCGGCACTGTAGGTGGCAGCTTTACAGCTTTACCCGCTACGCCAGTGTGCTGGCCAGAGGCAGGTGTTTTGTACAGTGGTTGACACTGCTCAGGGCGCCTGCATTTCTGTCGAGTGCCTGGGTCTGCATCCTGGCTCTGCCTGGTGTTTTAGCTTCTTGCCAATGCACGTCCTGGCAGGCAGCAAGTGATGGCTGAAGTAGTTAGGTCCCTGCCACCCACGTGGGAGAAAGAGACTGAGTTCTGACCTGGCTTCAGCCCCTGCTATTGTGGGCACTTGGGGAGTGAAACAGTGGATAGAAGATTTTTCTCTGTGTCTCTCTGCCTTTCAAATAAAATTTAAATTTTAAAAAAGACACAGGGAATTCTCAAACTGTAAGTTCCCTTAAAATCGATTCTGAAGGTTCCTTCCAGATATCACAGGTTGGAATGTTAAAAAGCATAGGTTTTGGTAACTGCTGGTCACGGCGGCAGTGAAACACCTCTGCCTCGGGGAAGAGTGAGATTCATCGAGAGCCGAGAACTGGACGGGGCCTCTGGGGGCCATTGCAGGAAGCTGGCCCCAGTGACTAGGGTCTTGGCAGGTGTGCCCCCTCCAGCTATCGATTCTGATGTCTCTCCCTTCTCTTGTCCCCCTAGGATGGGATCGGGCAGGGCACGATGCACCCGGAAGCTCCGGAACTGGGTGGTGGAGCAAGTGGAGAGCGGGAAGTTCCCAGGTGTGTGCTGGGACGATGCAGCTAAGACCATGTTCCGGATTCCCTGGAAACACGCGGGCAAGCAGGACTTCCGGGAGGACCAGGATGCCGCCTTCTTCAAGGTGAGGGCAGGGAAACAAGCAAGGGATGGATTAGACAATGGTACGCTCACCCCTGGTGCTGGTGTCTGTTAGGGTTTCAGATCCAGGGCACGTTGGCAAATAGAACCAGCTGTGTCGTTTGCAGAGCCTGGTGCAATGTGAAGGCGCAACAGTTATTAAGTGAAAATTCAGAGCTTATTAAGGATTTTGAGATGGCAAAAGCAAAGTACACATGCAGCCCAAGCTGGTTTGAGCCAGGGGCCCTGCACAAGTGCTCAGGCCACAAGCCCGTGAGCCAGCCCTGTGGGAGGTGCAGCCGGGCTCTGTAATGTGCAGCCTCCTGTTCACTTGGTCTCTGTAGGCCTGGGCCATGTTTAAAGGCAAGTACAAAGAGGGAGACCCAGGAGGCCCTGCTGCCTGGAAGACTCGCCTGCGCTGTGCCCTCAACAAGAGTTCTGAATTTGAGGAGGTTCCCAAGAGAGGCCGAATGGATGTTGCTGAGCCCTACAAGGTGTATCGGCTGCTGCCACCAGGAACTCCATCTGGTGAGTGTCCCCTTGCCCAGCCACGCCCAGAACCAGCAGACCAGGGGAAAGGACAGAGATGTGAGCTCTGGAAAGGTGGCAGGCCTCCGGAGGCTATCAGTTCTGCCCTGACCCTGCCCTTGGAGAGCTGCTCCCAGTTCCCCTTCCCAGTCTTGCCCAGCCCTTCACTCCCTCAGCCCTTCACCCTCTTTTCCTCTTGAACACCTGACTTTTCTCTCCCCCTCAACAATTCCACAGCCCAGCCAGGGACCCGGAAATCAGCATCAAGGCGACACCACAGTTCTGTGTCTTTTGAGAGGGAGGAAGATGAGGGTATCACAAGCAACTGCATGGTCAATCCCGCCTCCCTCCAGGACTCCCTGGATAACGTGAGAACTGGCGAGGGAGCTGGGTGGGCCTGGGGGCAGGAGAGTACCTAGGACTGGGGGAGATTGGCCAGTGACAGGTACTGTGTGTGCAGGCAGAGATGGTGGCCACTGGGGAAGCAAACCACTCAGACGCCGGGAACAGCAGCAGCAGTAGCAACGGCGGTGGCAGCCCAGAGCCACAGGAAGGTACCACCTCCCGGGCTTCTTATGTCATCCCACTTGCCACAGCTACTGGCCCAAGGGCTCCCTAGCCCCACTCTGACCGGTGCCTTCGCCTTCCTTCCAGGTGCGAATGTAACTGAGGCTGCTGTGCAAGGGGATATGGTGGCCTCGGAGCTTCTGCTCCCTCCAGACCCAGGTTCTTAGCATTTCTGAATCTTTCTTGCTCTCTGTGCTCCTGGAGCCTTCCTCCCCTCCCCACGCATGCGTTATCTAGCCAGTCAGGGCGTGCAGCAAACTCTCCCATAGGCAGAGGTGCCAGCCTCCACAAAGCTTGCTCCTCAGAAACACTGCTGTGAACTCTGTTGCCTGGATATCCGTATGGAGACCTGATTTCTTTGAGGTAAACAGAGGCCCCGCCTTGAGGGACCTTGTTGTGAACCATAAGACCTCAGGGTGGATACGGACCTTAGCTATCTCCTGAGTGGTAGGAAGCCCCCGGTTGGTGAGAGAGCCCGGGGAATGATGATGAGGAGAGGCTGCCACCCCCGCTTCCTGGCCTGCCTTGTCTTCTCCGGCTGGGTTTCCCTTCCTGGGTCTCTGTCCTCAGCAGCAAAATGAGAACCTTGGATTTGCAAGGAGCTTCGTTTCCTTTCCCTAAAGCCTTGTGCGGGCCAGGTGCCCCTGGAGAGGGGCTGCCAGCCGTGAAGCCCTCTGGCACCAGGTACAGCTGGGCTCTTCTGTCCCCAGACTACTCGCTGCTGCTCACCTTCATCTACAACGGGCGTGTGGTGGGTGAAGCACGGGTGCACAGCCTCGACTGCCGCCTCGTGGCCGAGCCCTTAAGCTCTGAGAGGAACATGGAACAGGTGGTGTTTCCCAAGCCTGACCCCCTGGAGCCCACCCAGCGCCTGCTGAGCCAGCTAGACCGAGGCCTCCTGGTGGCCAGCAACTCCCGAGGCCTCTTTGCTCAGCGGCTTTGCCCCGTCTTCGTCTCCTGGGATGCACCGCAGGTCCCGCCTGGGCCAGGCCTGCATCTGCTGCCCAGCAATGAGTGTGTGGAGCTCTTCAAGACTGCCTACTTCTGCAGAGGTGAGGCTGCTCCGGCTGGGCCTCTGAGCCCCTACCCTCTGACCCGGGCCCCTCAGTAGGCCTTGGGCTGACCTGGCGGGTCCTGCTCCTCCCTGCCAGCCAGCAGCTTCCCCACTGCGGCCTGTGCTGGGCACCCCTGCACTCGTTGTGGCACCTCCTCTGTGGTCCTGTGCTCGGCGCTGGCAGCTGCCTGGCCCCTCTCCTTCCCCCGTCAAGGCTGTGGAAGATGGCATTGGGGTGGAGCCTGGTACAAGAGCATTGCTTCTCTGGGAGCACTATCGTCACCCTGAAGCTACTTATGCAGAGGTGTGGGCAGGTCAGCACGGGCACTGGGAACCTCACAGCCCTCTCACATCTGCGCTGGCCTGCAGAAGCATTGGCACATGGTGGGGAGCGGACACACCTGCCGCACCCTGGCCCCAGCTATGCCTGTCTCAGCTACACTCGAGGCATCCCTGAAGCTTGTCTGCAGCTCCCATCCACTCAGAATTCCAGGTCTAGGCCCACTCGACTAAACCTGACCTTCAGGGCAGGCCAGAGTTCAGGGGAATCGGGGTGTGGGTATTCCCAGGGTGTGGATGCCTCAGCACTGGGAGAGTGAGCAAGCGAAAAAAGCTGGAGCACATCTGCGCTGGCAGCTGGGCGTCTGTCGTGGAGGACTCAATTCTGGCTGGGGCGAGCCTTTGTCGTGCGGAAGGTCTGCTGCCTCCAGACACTTATTCGAGGCAGGGCCCCACCTTCCTGTTTGCTCACAGATGAGTAACAGCTTCGTGCCCGACCTTCGTCCTGAGCCTGCAGCTTAGTCTCCTGGTGGCCCCTCCCACCTCTCTATTCCCTCCCGGCCCGTGGTTCTCACTCCTCTCTCTTCTTTCCTCCAACCCTCGATCCTTTCTCTTTCAGACTTGGCCAGGTACCTCCAGGGCCTGGGCCCCCCACCCAAGTTCCAGGTGACACTGAATTTCTGGGAGGAGCGCCCCGGCCCCAGCCACACTGCACAGAGTCTTATCACAGTGCAGGTGAGTTCAGAGCTCGGACAGAGTAGCTTGGGTGATGGGGACGGGAAAGAGTTCAGGGAAGGAGCTCCTTGCGGGGCGCACCTGCCATGCTGCACTCGCTCACAGCCTCTTTCCCGTCTCTTCTGATGCAGATGGAGCAAGCTTTTGCCCGACACTTACTGGAGACCCCAGAGGAGCAGGCAGCCATTCTGTCCCTGGTGTAGGGCATGGGAACCCACCTTCTGCCCCACCCCTCCGCTCCCACTCCTGTCTCCCTTGAAACAGACTCGTTGTCTGCACTGTTGGTCAGTGCCTCCCTTCTTGATCACTCTCAGTGCTGTGGTAGTTACGTCCTTGAACTCCTCACATCGTGGCTGGTGGAGAGCTCAAGGATAATTTTTATTTTAAACACATTTTTTGAAATATACCCTCTTTCATCTCTAAAGGACTGGGAAATTCCAAATGATGTGAACTCAGGGGGCCTCTCCTTCTTCCCTCAACCCTCAACTCTAAAGCCAAGCACTTTATATTTTCTTCCTAGGTCTTCACTAAGAATTAAAAATAAAATTTTATTGAAAGAGGAATCAGCATTCAGTTTGCCGGGAGGAGAAGGTGGCAGGGGCGACGGGCGTGACTGAGATGTAGACTTAGGGGCAGGGCACCTGAGTTCTCCTCTGCTGACCTCTCTGAGGCCCCTGTCCTCTTCTTGGCTCTGTGCTTCTGGGCCTGGCGAGGTGCCCTCCAGGCAACCAAGATTAGGGAGAGGACTGATGGCAACCGTCAAGGGGGGTGCTGAGCCTGTACCCAGGCGCTGTAGCCACCAACTTCACATGGGAAAATCTGGGTTCCACAGTTCTTTGTTGAGGCGCGGGGGCCTTGCAGGGAAGAGTCGCTGCCCCTCCTCTGCTTGCCACTCCTGCCTCTGTGCTTCTTCCCCCAGCACAGCTGATAGACGGGAGCTCCCAAGTGGATTTCTCTCCGCACCGGAGCCCCAGAACACAGTGCGGCCGAGTTTCACGTCGCCAACACCCTGCTCACTGAGATGGGAGGGCTGCCCGTCTCATCCCCGCGTTCATTTTGCCACCACACTGGAAATGCTCCCTTCCCAAGGCCACGTGGCGCCTACTTCCTGTAGGCTCAGTTCCACCAGACTGCTTCCACCTGCCTGTTCGCCACAGCCTGGAGCTTCCCCTCCTGCACGGACACGGGTTGGCTCCCCAGACTTCCTGTCATGTCACCCATAAGCTTTCAGCAGCTCACCCAAGTGACCGAGTGTAGACGCCTTCACGGTCCTCCCAGGGTCTCCGTGCTGTCCCTCTTGAGGAGCTTCACTGCTGCCTCAGACCCCTCTCCCTTCTCCCCTCCAGTCTTGTCCGCCACGCGCTGGGAAGCCAAGAGCCTAAACAGACCTCTGCACCGGTAAGGAAGAAATCTGGTGCCCAAGCCCATGGTCCCCCCAGCGCACTGAAATCACTCCCAGACCTTCTTTGTGCAAGATCTAAATTACCTACATCAGTTCCAAATTTTCTCATACCCCACATCCAATCCCTCAGCAAATCCCACCATCACTGTACTTTCAAAATCTCCAGAATCTGACTACTTCTGTCGCTTCTATCACCACCACTTTGAAACACACCATCATCATTTCTTGAGTGCCTTCTTCATGCTTTCTTGTTACTTTTTTGTTTGTTTGTTTGTTTGTTTTTGGACAGGCAGAGTGGACAGTGAGAGACAGAAAGGTCTTCCTTTTCCGTTGGTTCACCCTCCAATGGCCGCTCCACCCGGCATGCTGCGCTGATCCGAAGCCAGGAGCCAGGTGCTTCCTCCTGGTCTCCCATGCGGGTGCAGGGCCCAAGCACTTGGGCCATCCTCCACTGCCCTCCCAGGCCACAGCAGAGAGCTGGACTGGAAGAGGAGCAACTGAGACAGAACTGGCGCCCCAACCGGGACTAGAACCCGGTGTGCCGGCGCCACAGGCGAAGGATTAGCCTAGTGAGCCAGCTGAAGCGCACTGGCTGCAGCAGCCATTGGAAGGTGAACCAACGGCAAAGGAAGACCTTTCTCTCTGTCTCTCTGTCTCTCTCACTGTCCACTCTGCCTGTCAAAAAAAAAAAAAAAAAAAAAAAAAAGGCAGCCAGGACACAAACTGGCATCCACAAGGCATACTAAGTGTTGGAGGTGACACCTTTACCTGCTATGCCACGATACTGGCACCTGCATTTATTTTCATTTTTTATTTGAAAGGTAGAGATCATCCATGGCTGGTTTACTCCCCAAATGCCTGCAACAGCTGGGGCTGGAACAGGCTGAAGCCAGGATCCAGAAACCCCCTCTGAGCTTCCCACGAGGGTGACAGGAACTCAGGTACTTGAGCCACCATCTGCTGCTTCCCAAGTGCATTAGGGAGCTGGATTGGAAGTGCAGTATCCAGGACTTGAACCAGCAATCTGATAGGGAATGCCGGCACTGCTGGTGGTGGCTTAATGCACTGCACCACAATGCTTGCCTCCAGTCAGAAGTCTTCCATCTGCTAGTCAAATCCCCAGATGGCCACAGTGGTCAAGGGCGTGCTGGGTGGAAGCCAGGGGCCCAGAACTCAATCTGGGTTTCCCATGGGAGTGGCAGGGACCCAAGTACTTGAGCCACTGTCTGCTGCACCCCAGGGTGTACATTAGCAAAAAGCTGGATCTGAAGTGGAGTAGCCAGGACGTGGACCAGGCACTCAGATACAAGCTGTGGGCTCCCCAGGCAGCAACTTAACCGCTGTGCCAAACCACTACCCCTCCTTGTTTCCTAAACTGGGTTCTAAGCACCTTAAGGGCAGATGTCCCCACTCCATCACCTTTGTGCCCCCAAACTGAGCACTTAACAAATGTTGACAACTTTTATACAATATTCCAGCAATTTGTAAGTATCACGGACAAAGCGATGTAGCCAAGCACAGTGGAATAGAGATTGGGAAGATTTTGGAATTTGAAAGAGCAGAGAGTTCCAAACCAGGCTCTCCCTGAGGAGCTGTGTGGTCTGGAAGAAGCAATCTGCATGGACCCCTGTTTCCTCATCCATAAAGGCAGGCCCTGGCCCAGACCAGCCTTGACCTTCCGCAGTTGTAAATATAGGGCAACTGTGCATTCATTTGCCAACTAATTGCTGCGCTGGAGGCCAGGCACTCACTGAAAACATTACGACCCCAGTCTTCAGAGCTCTCAAATGGAAGGGAACTGCAGCAGGACAGGTCAGCTCCGCTGCAGCGAGGCCCAGGGCGTGGGCAGAAGCACAGGACAGGGAAAGGATTCCAGGCCAAAGAAATGGCTGTGCAAAGGCAGGAGGTGCAGCAGTAAGAGCTATTTGGAGCTGCGACCAAAGAACCCGAGTTGATGCAAAACCAACTGTTTGCGACAGAACGGTATTTGGAGGAGGAGGAGAAGGACTTCCAACAAAGCTAAAGTCTAGTTCAGCCAGCAGAACATTCACATTCACAACCCCAGAAGGATCAGGTTAGGCCGTGAGTCCGGCGGGGTCTCCCGCTGTTTCCGGGGAGATAGACTCCCGGGGGCTCCAAGGCCACCCTGCGCCACCTCCCTAGCCCAGGCCCTAGTGGCACGCGGAGTTGGACTTGGTGGAAAGTGGGGGGCAGGGCAGGGTCTAAACCCAGGTCAGGAGCCCGCCTTACATCTTGCCATCCTGAGCGGTTGCCCCCCGCATGACCCGACCTCCCCTACGACCAGTTGCACTTTGTTACCAGGCTTGCTGCGGGTCGGAGCGGGGTTTGCTCCCCGCTCATTGGTCTGCCCGGAAGCGCCTCCCAAAAGTCCTTGTTACTAGAGGCGAAAAACAGAGCCCATTGGTCAGGACACCTCACAATGGCCCTGGCAAGGCGCAGGGTTCTTCTGATTGGTTCTGTGCCTGTCTTGGGCAACCCTGTGGCCTCGAACCCAGGCAGCCTGCTTGGCGCCGGTGGGGGAAGAGCGCTCGCACCCGACACCTGCTTGCCATTGGCTGGCCGGGCGCTGCCACCCCGCGGCGGGGCTCGCTCCTGCGCGAGGGCGACCCCTGGTGGCCGAGACCAAGGCTTTGGAGCCCGGCGTCTCTCCCCGGCGTCAAGGACGAAGGCTTGCTGCGGGACCAGCCCGGTTGCCAGCCCTGCCTGGCCTCCCCTCGGAGCTCCAGTAAGGTCGATGGCTGTACGCGGTGCGTGAACCCACTAAGGGCGCGCCGAAAGGCGGCCCTGTCGGCCCCCTTCACGTTGGTACACCAAGCGTAGCTCTGGGGTCCTCCCGCAGCGCCACCTGTGGAGGCCAGTGCCAGGAGTTAGGATTGGAATCCCATCGCCGCAGCGGCGGGGAAGCCCTGAGGGACGATGTTCTACTACCCCAACGTGCTTCAGCGCCACACCGGCTGCTTTGCCACCATCTGGTGAGGACGCGGCCGGCCGGGCGGCGGGGACGGGCTCCCGGGGCTCCAGGTCTGATGCGGCCCCGGCTCCTCGCTGCTCCCTCCAGGCTGGCGGCGACACGTGGGAGCCGCTTGGTGAAGCGTGAATACCTGAAGGTGAACGTGGTAAAGACCTGGTAAGGCCGGGAAAGGGGGGAGGGGAACGGCTGGGGGCCGTCGTGGGCACTTTGGTGGTCACGGTGCGTTGTTCCCCGCAGCCAGGAAATTCTCAATTATGTGCTGGTCCGAGTGCAACCGCCGCAGCCCGGCCTGCCGCGGCCCCGCTTCTCCCTGTATCTCTCAGCGCAGCTCCAGATCGGCGTGATCCGGGTCTACTTCCAACAATGCCAGTACCTCGTGGGTAAGGCTGGAGACCCCAGTGGCAGGCAGAGCCAAGAGGCCCTCCCTGTGCTGGTTCCACCTTGCCCTCCTTGCCCACAGAGGACATCCAGCACATTCTGGAGCGCCTGCACCGGGCCCAGCTGCAGATCCGCATCGACATGGCCGAGCCTGAACTGTGAGCACCGATGCAGGGCTGGAACCGCCCAGCCCTGGGGGAAGCATCGGCCTGCTCAGCCTTGGGCCTTGTTAACCCACATTCTCTCCCAGACCCAGCCTGCTGCTTCCTGACCACCTGACCATGATGGAGACCCTGGAAGATGCTCCGGACCCTTTTTTTGGGGTCATGTCTGTGGACCCCAGACTGCCCAGCCCTTTTGATATCCCTCAGGTAGGGCTCATTGGCCCAGAACAGCTCAGACTTGTGAGCTGACCGTGCAGATGGGGAGTCCTGCCCCTGTGCCAGTCTGACCCTGGGGTGGGGGAAAGGGAGCCTGCCACAGCTCTCCCCAACAGGGCACGGTGCAGGGGCACCGCCATGCTGGACCCTCCAGGCAGAGGGCCTTCGACTTAGCTACTCAAGGCCAACCTGTCTCAACTCCACTCATCTCCACGTTACCCCCACTGCCCAGACCCTCATCATCTCCACCTGGGCTTCCTGCCCGTGTCCTCCTCTGTCCATTCCCGACACTGCTATGGTTCACGCTGTGCCCCCTCTCCCTGGCTCCCTGCTCGAAGTAGCTTCCAACTGCAAGCTGCACACTAGCAGCTGGGGTTCTCCATGCTGAGGTCCAGGCCTAGCCATCCCAGCTTGTCTCAGCACGGCCCCTGGCTCCCAAATGCCAGTCTGGTCCCTACATCCCAGAGATGCCACATTTCTTAGTCCATGATGGTCACTGGCCATTCTCTATTGCTCAAGCTCTGTAAATCCTTACAGACCTGGCTTAAAGGCTACCTTTTCCATGAAGTCTTTTTTTTTTTTTTAATATTTGTTTATTTGAATGTTAGGAGTTATACATAGAGAGGAAGAGATCTTTCATCAACTGATTCACTCCCCAAATAGCTATAATGGCTGGAGCTGGGCCGGACCAAAGCCAGGAGCCCGGAGTTTCTTCTGGATCTCTCATGTGACAGCACAGGCCCAAGCACTTGGGCCATCCTCCACTGCTTTCCAGGCACATTAGCAGGGAGCTAGAGTGGAAGTGGAGCAGCCGAGACATGGCTTTACCTGCTATGCCACAGTGCCATCTGCTTTCATGAAGTCTTCATCCCCCTCCCAACAGAACCCAGTGCTATTCAGGAACTCAGTACAGCTCAGTACTTTCCCAGGGGCCTGTCTGATCCTTTGCATGGACTCTTGTTGGGGTCATATACAAACTGGTTTCCCTGCCTCGGTCCCTCACAGCAGTTCACATAGGGCATAGTGCTTCTTGCACAAGACACACTGACAAAGGCTAGAGAACTGGAGGTGGGGTGGTGAGGGCAAGGAGGAAAGCAGACCAGACAGCCAGTGGGCTCACTGCATGCTGCTGGCGATGCAACAAGAATTAGGCGTAGGGGCCAGCGCTGTGGCATAGGGGGTTAAGTCTCCGCCTGCAGTGCTGGCATCCCACATGGGTGCTGGTTCGCATCCCGGCTGCTCCTCTTCTGACCCAGCTCCCTGCTAATGGACCTGGGAAAGCAGTGGAGGTTGGCCCAATTTCTTGGGCCCCTGCACCCATGTGGGAGACCCAGATGAAGCTCCTGGCTTTGGCCTGCCCAGCCCCAGCTGTTGTGGCGTTTGTGGAATGAACCAGCAGATGGAAGATCACACTCTCTACTTCTCTCTGTATCTCTGCCTTTCCAATAAGTAAATCTTTAAAAACAAACAAAATTGGGCATAAAGGGCACCAGATCACTGTCCACTGCCTGTTGTTGCACAAGTGGGAAAGCGGGGGGCTGAAGCTGAACTGTCCTCTTTTGCTCCCCATCCTCCTCCGAAGATTCGACACCTCTTAGAGGCTGCAATTCCAGAAAGAATGCCTGAGGAGGCCCCTCCTGAAGTCCCTGCAGAGCCCAGGAAGCCAGGTCAGCAGAGAGAACTTCTGGTGAGAGGCACAGGAAGGGCCGACCACTGAAGGAATGACTGGATTTAAGAGCCAGGCCCGTGTGTGTGTGTGTCACCTCCTCTGTGCCTCACCAGAGTCCTGTGAGGTCAGGATCCTTAACCCCACTTTACCGGTGAGGAAAGCGAGCCTAACAGTGGTGAGCACCCAGGGCTGGGCCGCTGGTAACTGGCCTGGGCCTGCCCAGAACCAGGTGGACTTGACTCGAGTCCCGTGAGTGTGGGAACAGATATGGTGGGGTGGGTGTGACTCCCCAGTCCCACCAGACAGGATCTTGTTCACAGTGCTGCCCCCTGAGGTCATCACCCTCCAGGAAGCAGAGCCCATCCGCATGCTGCATATTGAGGTGAGGTGGCCCCCAGCATGACCTTCTCCATCTCCCTGGCCTCATCCCTGTCTCCTGGGGCCCCGCCCCATGGCATGCCACACCCCTTGCCCGTCCTCTCCCTGCAGGGCGAACGGGACCTCCCGGAGGTCAGCCGCCGAGACTTGGACCTCCTCATTGCAGAGGAAGACGAAGCTATCTTATTGGAGGAGCGACGGCTGGCCAGGCTGAGGGCCCGCCCACCACCGGAAGGTGGGAGCCCTGGCTCGGGCAGCCTGGGACGGGGCAGCGCTCCCGTGGCCTCCGCCCCTGAGTGCTGATCCTCTCTCTGCAGAGGCCGTGGAGGAGCCCCGGGCCCCAGAGCGCGACATCACAGTGCCCCCTCTCTCGCCTCCAGCTCCCGTCCAGTAAGGGCAGGGATCCTGCACCAGGTGGCGGGCCCCGTGCTGGTTAGGGCCGGGCAGCCTGACTTCTCTTGCCCGTTGTCTCCCAGGGTGGAAGGGATAGCAGAGCCAGTTCCAGTCCCGGTCCTGGTCCCCGAGGAGGTGAAGCTGGCAGCCTGGGAGCCCGGGGCCCCACCCATGGGTGAGTGACACCACAGCTGCTGCAGACAAGGCCACACGTCCACTTGCCAAAGGGAGGACGACAGTGCGGGGGCGGGCAGGACAGAACCATGACCCCGGTGTTGTTACAGAGGTGACCCCATCGCCAGAGCTACGTCTGCCGCCCCCACCCAGCCCGAAGGTGAGTGTTCCTCCTCCTCAGCGTCCCTCCTCTCCCAGAGCTGCTTCCCCAAGCCCAGTGACACTGCTGGCTCCCCTGGGGCCTGGCTGAAGAGCAGTCCAGGATGCTGCTTTTCCACACCCCATCATGTGGCCTGCACGTCCCAGCTGGTCCCTTCATGCAAGGTGTCAGCCGCACGTGTGGGCGGCCGTGCCCTAGCCCTTCCCCCAGGCACCTTAAGGGGGTGGGCGGAGCGTGGAGCTGTAGCAGCCACCAGGGTGACAGGAAGGGAATGACGCCTGGTGGCCCCTTCCTTCCCCGCTCTGCAGAAGAGGCCCCCAGGGCCCCCATCTCCCAGGAGTCCCCCTGCTCGCCGCCGCCGCCGCCGCCAGTTACTGTTCTGGGACAAGGAGACTCAGATCTCCAGGGAAAAATTCAAAGAACAGCTGCAGACCAGGGCCCACTGCTGGGAGTGTGTGAGTGCGGCCCTGGGAGGGCACAGGTGTGGGCTGGGGGCGGGGCCTGGGAACCTGATGTGGGTTTGCACCTCCACAACTTGCCGTGCTGCGTCCGCGGCCCCACCTGGCACATTCACAGGCACCCGGTAGTCCTTTAGCACGAGCAGGGCAGGCAGGCTGTAGTCTGGACAGGTAGGTGAAGGGGCGCCGAGGCGTGGCTTGCTCCTGAGGCTCCTGTCTCCTGCCACCACGCAGCCCATGGTGCAGCCTCCGGAGAGGACCATCACAAGCCCCACGGAGCTGCTCCGGACCCCGACGTACCGTAAGGAGGGCGGGGGTTGGGCGCAGGGCTCTTCAGGACCGAGTCCTCCCTCTTGGTGACAGGGCTCTGTCGCCACTGCCCCTTCCCCATCAGCCGGCCGGCTTCCCCTGGAACTACTGGCTTTGTGGACCCGCTGTGCCCAGACCCCCGCAAGAGCGCTCAGGCGAAGGCCGCCCGAGGAGGTGGAGGAAGAGGAGAGAAGGGCTGAGGCTGTCAGTGAGATCGAGGTACCCACACCCCACCCCTCCGCCCCCGCCCAGCGCACGCTGCAGGCTCACTGGCCCCGGACGCTCGTGAGGCCGGGGTCTGAGTTCTCCTCCTCCCGTCTCCAGGTCCTGAGGGAAGCCCAGGAGCCCAGCGGTCCCCTCATGGTGTCTTCAGGTAAGCTCGGGGGAGGGGTCTGGGCCCGCCCGTGGCCCAGCTGTGAGGGACTGGGGTGAACTAACGCAGGGCACTCTCCAGTCCTCCCGCCCGGAGGGGGCTTCCCGAGCCTGTGGGAAAGCGCTGATAAGAGAGAACACAGCTTTTCCCAAGGCAGCACACAGCACAGACAGCTGGTCTGGCTGGGTGCCCCAAGGCAGACTGCTCAGTGCCAGTCACACTCCCCTGGGCCCCCTGCCGCCCCCACAGAGCTCTCCCTGGAGCCCGCCGAGGAGGAGAAGTCGCGGATCAGCCTCATCCCCCCAGAGGAACGCTGGTGAGAAGCCAGGCTGTGTAGGCCCAGCCTGCAGTGTAGCCACCGGCTAGGATGGGCGTGCCCTGATCCCAGCCACAGCGCCGCCTTCCAGCTCCACTCAACTCCCATGTCTCCCTAGGGCCTGGGCTGAGATGGAACAGCCAGAGCCCCCGGCGTTGCCGGTGGTGCCGGAGCTCCCAGAGGTGCCCTTGGAGATGCCCTCCGAGCTGCCACCAGAGCCTGAGCTGCTGTCCCTGGAGGCTGTGCACAGGTGCTGGGGTGGGGGCGCCTCCGTGGGGAGGGCCAGGCTGGGGCCTTGCTCACCCTTCTCCATCCCTACAGGGCAGTGGCACTGGAGCTGAGGGCCAAGCGGGAGCCTGACTTCAGCAGCCTGGTGTCCCCGCTCAGCTCCCGCAGGGTGGCTGCGCAGGTCTTCTACCTGCTCCTGGGTGAGTGCTGGCCGTGTGTGCACACGGGGTGGTGAGCCCCCCGCACAGGGCCATGTGGGGACTCCTGCCTGCCCTCTTCTCCCTCCTGACCAGTGCTCGCAGCGCAGCAGATACTGCATGTGGAACAGAAGAAGCCGTACGGGCGCCTCCTGATCCAGCCAGGGCCCCGGTTCTACCGAGGGTAACGCCCATTTTACAAAGCTGCCAGGAAACTAGCTCCATTAAACCATATTCTGCCTCACTGGGCCCTGCCTGCTTCATTTCTGAACACATACCTCTGTCCAAGCAGAAAACAAGCTGCCTTTATTACGGTATGATGTCATGACTCCACTTGTGACAAATCCAGCTCCAGGGACACCCCTGTAAGGCAGCAAGCCGGCTGACTCAAAGGAGATCGACTCTTTGGTAAGGTGCAAGCTGGAGCTGGCTTGAGAGGTGACCTTAGGTCCTGGGCAGGCTCTGTTCTTTCGGGCCTGGCTGCAGCCTGCAGTCTAGCTGAAACCCAGCAGGGCCTGGAGCTCCTGAGCCTTGTCAGCTGGCAGTGAGCCCAGGGCTGTATGGAAGCTGTCGATGTGCTGTTTGGCCAGGAACGTCAGGAGCAGCAGCAGCGCGGCCTTTGTGTCTGGGTGGACAGTGCAGAGGGAGAGGTCCAGGCCCCTAAGCCCTGGCTGCCCCAAGCTCTGGAGCCCCGCCACCCCCTCGCCAGCCACCCTCACCTGGTGGGATCTTGTTTTCCGCCAGAGTGACGCTACAGATGCGCAAGAGCTCAGGAGCCACATCTACGACCTGTAAGGACAGGCAGTGTCCCCCAGGGCTGCTTGAGCTGGGGCCTGCCTCACAGGCACTAAAGGCAACAACAGAGAAGCAGCCATGGGGCAGGTGGCTAAGCATCGCTGTGGTCACACATCTCACCCCGCCCCGCCCTCCAAAAGCAAGGGCGTTCCCAGCACAGTGGTCTCCAGGTGTACCACAGGCGTGCTACAGCAACACCAGGACATCTGGCCGAATCTAGCTACGTGCTTTGAGCTGAGATACATGAGGTGCCCAGGGCTCTTTCTAACTGCAGCCCAGTGAGCCCTGTCTAGAAGTCAGCCCAGGAAAGCTTCAACTTGTGGCTTCCACCAGAGGGTAGAAATGGAGCTGCTGAAGGAGACACACTCAGAGGAAGGAAGCATCGCCTCTCCCTCCGCAGAACAGGCTGCCACTACTCACAGACAAACCAGACAGGGCTAAGGACACTGAGACTGTCATCCTGCGCCTAGTACCAAGACGCCAGCATCGAGTACCTGGTCAGGGCTGCTCTGGTACAGGAAGCTGAAGAGGTGGCCTATAGTGACCCACTCCTCCAGGTCCTCCTTCAGTGGCAGGGCGTGCAGCAGGGCAGCCAGCACCTGGACACACGGAAGCCTCAGGCCACCTGCCCTGCCCTCCCCGTCCCTCCCTGGCCTTGATGCCCCTCCCTTACCTGAGGCTCTGGTTTCCTCGTGGGACTGGCCATCAGCAGGCGGGCGAGTGCTCCACAGATGTTGTCCCGGACACGATCTTGTCGCTCCCGTGCCAGGAGGGGTAAAAGGAGCCCCAGCAGCTTGGGGAAGTGTCTGATCCATAGTCAAGGAATGGGCACACACGCAGACCTCACCCATCCCTGAGCCCTGGGGACACTCCCACACCTTCAATGTGTGCTCGGCAAGCCAAGGATACTCCTGAGCAGGGCGGCCCCCGTGCTCTGCCAGCACGCCGAGCCCAAAGATGGCGTTGCTCCGTACCTCGGGGTCTGCCTCCCGGGCGGTGCTCATCAGCACAGGCAGCAGCCGGGACACAAACTGAGCTGAGGCCGAGCCCAGGCCCTGGATGGACTCCGCCAGAGTCCCGACGGCAAAGGACTTCTCGGCCACCGAGCAGCCCTGTTTCTGACGGGGGTGGGTGGGGAGGAGTGCAGATCAGCCTTGGGACTGGGACACACGGAGGGGTAGTCATGGGAGGACTGCAGTTTGAAGCCAGAATGGAGCACTCACTGTCTTGCAGAGCAGCAACGGCAAGAAGCCAGCAAAGAAGGGCGCAAAGGCATCTCCCCCCGCCGCGGCTGCCAGGGCAGGGATGGCCTCTCCAGCGTGCTCTAGCAACATGGCGTCATACTCAGCCTGCGGAGCCAGGTCAGGGGCTGGAGCTCCAGGCCAGTCTCCCCACCCTGCCACTGACCACAGGTGATCCTGCAGCCGCCCAGTGGCAGGACTGGCCCAGCTCCTTCCTCCGCTCCCCCACTCCCACCTACCCCTCCAAGCCCATCCCACTGCCCTCCTTACCTGGAGCCCTGCTGGCTGAGTGGGGTCAGGGTTTTGTCACTCTGGCCATCACCAATCACTTTAGCAGCCTGGCTCCCCAGGCCAAGCAGAGTGCACCATCCACCTAGCCCCTGGGGGACCACCTGGAGTTCTCACCTGCTCCTCCTCCTCTTCCTCCTCCTCCTCAGGGTCCTGACAGGCTGTCTGTGGGCAGGGGCAGCCGCTTAGCCAGGCCCTCCCCAGCCCTGAGTGCTCTGAGCAGCCCCAGCCCTGTCCCCGCAGCGCACCGCCTGCCTCACCTTCCTCTGCAGCACGGCCTTGAGCGTGGTGCAGAGCTCGGCGAGGCGCCCGGGCGGCTGCAGCGTGAGGGCCCCGCAGCCACGCAGCACCCCTGTCAGGGCCTCCAGCACAGCCATCACCACCTGGCGCTCCTGCTCCCTGCTCACCGCCTGCATGTAGGATGGCACCACCCGCGCCAGGGCAGCCTGCAGAGCTGGGGACATTACTGGCGGTCAGGCCCTGTGTCTCCCCCAGGGCCCCCACCCGCCAGCCTCCCGTTCTCACCAGCAGTGTTGGGTTCTGATGGGCACCTCTGACAGGCCTTGTGCAGCGCACAGCAGAACTGGCCCAGAGCCTCGTGGGCTGCTTTGCGCACGTTCAGGTGAGGACACTGGGACGAGAGGTGGGTTACACCGCTGTGTGCACCATCAACATGGGCCCCCCAGCCTCTGCACCGACCCCACTGCCGCAGCCCACTCACCTCCAGCAGTCGGAATACTTCCTCAAAGGCGCTGTCCATGTACGGAAGAAAGGCCACGCTGTGGACAGACACACAGCTGTCGGGGAGGGGCCCCGGGCGCGGGCGGGGGTTTCGGTGCCAGAGGGCCATGCTCACCTGGTGTTCACGGAGATCTCCCCCAGGGCGGCACAGGCGTCCTCCTTCTCATCAAAGAAGGCGTTCTCCACGCTGTACCTGGCGTAGGGCGGGGAGGCAGCGGTGAGCAGGCACTCGGAGCAGAGCCCGGTACCGGGCCCACGTCTGGGTTCCTCTGAGCACAACAGCACCCCCTCCGCACCCCGAGATCTCGGAGTCGTCGTCATCCTCTTCCTCCTCGTCCATGAGCTCCTCCTCTTCCTCCTCATCGCTCTCGTCATCAAACAGGAGGAAGGAGCTGCTCCCGTCATACTGAGGCTGGATGGAGGAGGCACAGCAGGGACGCCGGTTCAGCGGGGCCCAAGAGGGGAATCCCATCGAAGGGCTGGCCTTGCCCAACCAGCCCACTCACCCTCTGCTCACCACAATGCCCTCAGTGGAACGCAGCGACAACAGCATGAGCGTGGTGATCTGTGGAAGGTAGGGTGCCAGGCCCTCGCCCATCAGCCCCGATAAGGCTGCGAATAGACTGTACCTGTTGGAGAAGACAGAAGCTGTATGGCCCTGCCCGCCACAGCCAGGCAGGATAGCGGAGCCTGGGGAAACTCGCCTGAGGTCCAAAACCAGAGGGCAAGGGTCCTCGGAGGGAACCGCGGATCCAGTGTGGGGGCAGGAGGGGCGGGGCACTCACGTGCAGCGCCGCAAGTCAGGGTCATCCACTCGGTCGCACAGGCCCAGCCCCAGCTGGCAGCATTCCTCAGCCAGGGGCCTCATGGGCTCCCCAACTGCTCGCGCCAGCACCCCCAGCGTCTCTGTGAGAGCAAGGGCTCGGTTAGCACTGGGACGTGGACGTGAGCTAAGAGACCACAGCGGGAACGAATTCAGAAATTCTAGCCTGAGCTGGACACGATGTGGAAAACACCATCTTCAACAAGGGAGAAGACACCTGTGCTGTCTTGGGGGCGAGCTCTGTGAACAGCTGGTGAGCCCCAGGGCCCCCCACCCACTCACCTAGGCTCTGGGTCTGCACAGGCTGGAGATCCTCGTGGCCCGTCACCAGGAATCCCCGCAGGTGCTCTATGATGGTGGGAAAATAGGGCAGCAGGGAGGCCTGGGCGGCCGTGGCTGCAGGAGGCAAAGACAGAGCCCATGAGGGGAAGGCCAGGGGCTGCCAGGCCTGTGGGATGTGTGGAGGAACCCCTCGCCCCCAACCCCACTGCTGCCACGGCCTCACCAATGGCTCCCAGGGAGCTCACAGCCAGCTCCTTGGCCCGGGGGCTGCTGGGGCTCCTCAGAGGCTGCAGCATACACTCCATAAGCTCCGGAAGGTAGGGCTGCACTTTAGGCCCTGTGGGAATGGGCGGTTGGCTACCACCTCACCCGGGTCTCCCTTCTGTGTGCCCACCACCCCGAGGGCTCCTCTGTGGCCATACTGCAGGCAGAGCTCCTGCCCCTTCGGCCGAGGCCCTCCCAGCGCTCCCTGCTACTGCCGTTACCAAGGTTCTCCACGAAGTTCTCCAGGGCGTAGCAGGCCTTGGCTAGGTGCTGTGTGTGCCCGGGACGCACTGACTTCAAGTAGGCGAGGAGCAGCGGCATCACCTCCCCTGAGTAGCTGCTGATATGGGGCTGGGGGCACAGCAAGCAGGGCTCGAGTCAGCTTCACCACGTCACCTGCAGGGCACACGCTTGGGTGCCAACAGCAGCAGGGATGCCAAGGGGAAGCTGCTCCCTGGCCTGGGTGGGGGGCTCCCAAGAGGCAGCTGCCCACGTCCAGCCTTGCTGACCTGCAAGTTCTCCGAGAACTGGCCCAGGGCAAAGAGCGCAGCATTGCGCACCACTTGCGAGGGATCCTGCAGGCCTTTGCACACAATCTGCAGCAGTGCAGGCAGCAGCCTACGGGGGGGGGGGGGGGGGGGGCACAGTCTGAGGGGCAGACCCAGGGGTCCTAGGCTGACCTGTTCCGTTCATTTTCCCCAGGAAAACTAAGGCTGGGAGGCTATGTCACTTCCCTTCCAAGCTAGGACACTTTGGAGGGCGAGGGGAAACACGGGGCTGCCATGGGACGCACAGCCCTTCTCCCCGGGGGCCACCCGCACGCCGGGCCAGGGGAATGGACACCTCTGCCTGATGTGGTCTCCAGCTCCGTCGGACAGCACCGCCAGCACCAGGAGCCCAGCCTTGCGCTGGTACGGACTCTCGCTCCGCAAGGCCTCCTCCAACATGGGCATCTAGGGCAGCACACGGCACTCTCCTCAAAGCCTGGCAACGGCCCACCCACTCTGTGGCAACAAACAGCCTGTCACACCGCAGGGTTGGCACACCATAAGGGCAGAGTCACACTTACCAGCTGGGGACAGAGCTTCTCCGGGGGCAGGTGTAGCGCCAGCATGTCCACAACCTGGGAAGAGACAGGAAGACCATGGGACTCTACCTTTGCCTTCCCGATCTCCCACAACCACCTGTCACCCTGCCCCTGGCCCATGCCACATCCTACCTGGACAGCAAAGTGTTTGGGAGTCTCCCCTGCCAGCCCGATCTCCAACTCCTCTTCTTCATCCTGGTCCTCAGGATCCAACTGGCCCAAGGGGGGCTCGGCAGCCATGATGGGGAAAAGGGTTTGCAGCAAGGGAGGCAAGAGGCGATTCTTCAGCAAGGCCTTGAGAGGGAGGGGACAGTGTGCCTGGGACTATGCACCCAACACAGGCCCACATGAAAAATTCCAGCCTGGGGGCTGGCGCTGCGACATAGTAAGCTAAGCCTCCACCTACGGCGCCAGCATCCCACATGGGCACCAGTTTGTGTCCTGGCTGCTCCTCTCCTGATCCGGCTCTCTGCCTATGGCCTGGAAAAGTAGCAGAAGATGGTCCAAGTGCTTGGGCCCCTACACACACATGGGAGACCCAGAGAAATCTCTTGGCTCCTGGCTTCAGATCAGCCCAGCTCTGGCCATTGCAGCCTTTTGGGAAGTGAACCAGAGAATGGAAGATTTTTTTGTCACTCTAACTCTGCCTCTCAAATAAATCTTGGGGAAAAAAAAAAGCCTTCCAAGCCATGATGGCTCCAGAAAGATTCTCAAAGCACGTCTGTCCGTAATACCTTAGATAACCTGAGATGGACAGAAAGCCCCAGGAGTGCAACTGAGGGGATGTTGAGTTGGGGTGATGTGCATCAGAGGGCACTCACCTTGCTCTTGACTTTGACCAAGAAAGTGAGGCAGCAGAGAATACGCACACGTATGGCATCTCCCAAGGCCACGTTTCTAGCCACCTGTGCAGAGACTAACAAGAATCAGAGCAAGGCAAGGAAACACCCAAGGAACAAGCAGCAGGGCCATGACCAGCCCAGGCTCACCTCGAGGCAGAACGCGAGGACCTCGGACAGGTGGGGAGTGACCACAGGCGCCTCTGACTCCAGCAGCTCATCTAGGGCTTCCAGGGCCTCACACGCCTTGGCCTGACAGATAGGCACAGCATTAGCAGGCTCGCTCCCTGCCTCCCCGGGCCAGCGTGGGTACCCCCGCCCACCTGGCCTCACCTCGTCTATGGGGATCAGACTCTTCACGGCAGCAATGAGCTTAGGCACCAACATCCGTGCGAGAGGCTGGGGGACAGGAGACGAGCTGAGCCACAGAATGCATGACGCGGCCTAGCCCTGGGCCCCAGAAGCCACGGGCTCCTCACAGCTTGGACTCTGAAAAGCAGCCCTGGCCCGGCAGCCAGGCCCGCCACCCGCGATGCCCCTTTCTCCACCGTGAGCATGGACTGAAGGCAGGCCGCGAATGCGAAGTAGTTCTGCAAGCTGGAGGGGAGAGGACACGAGGCCCAAGGAGGGGGAGCCGGGGTGGTAAGGGTCCTGTCTCACCACGTTGTCGGTGCTGAGGTAGGGCGCCACGGCGGCCAGGGTGCGCAGCGAGTAGAAGAGCAGCCCAGGAGAGCCCACCTCGCCAAGGGTCTCATTCAGCAGTCGAAGAAGCTCTCGGTGGTGGGGTTGGAAGGCGTCGGGCCGGGAGGTCACCACCACACTGAGCAGCAAAAGCCCCATCTGCCCCGGAGGCGGGGAGGCAGCTTACTCCCCGCCCAGCGCTGGGGCCGTGCCGCCCACCCGCCCGCCCAGCCCACGTGCGACAGTACCTCTCTCTCGGGGAGGTGCGGGCTGTGTGTGCTGTGCTGAAGAAGCTGCATGAGCTGAGGCCAGGCCTCCAGGCCTTCCTTTCGAAAGATGGTGGCCGAGAGCTGAGCCAGGCTGAGGCTCACCGAGTGCCTGCACACAGGAGTGATCCCCCTCAGCCGCCCTCCAGCACTCCCCAACCCTGCACACAGTGGCCCAGCCTTGATGGGGCCGCACCGGGTCTCGGCCAAGCTGCTCTGCGGAGCCCAGCAGCGCTGTGGGTGTGTCACCTGGGGAGCCTGCGTTTCCTTCTCACTGTTCTCGAGGGCCACGGGGCTCAGCACTGCCCCTTCCCAAGAACTTCAGTCTTCAGCACAGCCTGGGACTCCCCACTCCACCCTCCTCCAGGACTGAAGTTCCGACCCACCCCAAGACTCAGACTACAGCTGAAAGGCAGGTAGAAACCCAGAGAGGACTCCCCTGAGAGTCGGTTAGGGTCCGAGAAAAGGCGGTGGGCACTTACTCCGTCTCTTTCTGCAGAGCCGTCAGGACCAGGGACTTGAGGCTGGAACACAGACGGCGGGCGTCTGGTACCCGGCCTGCCCGACAGCAGGCTCAGCCCGGCCCCGCCCGGCCCCGCCCCAGGCCCAGCCCACCTCTCCCGCTGCTGCTCTGCCAGCCGTCGCCAGCGGGTGATCAGCCGTCTGCGGGTGAGCACGGCGGCAAACTGGCGGATCTAGGACGAGGAAGCAGGCGTGAGGGGGTCCAGGGAGTAAGGCGCAGGGCGGGTGGCGGCGGGAACCTCGGCGGGGAGGGGCCGTACCTGAGGGTCGGCTGCCGAGGCCAGCAGGTCGCAGAGCGCCGGCAAAGCTGCAGAGTCCCGAAGAGCGGTCCGGAGCTGCTCGGTGGCCTGGGGCGAAAGCCGAGGGTCAGACCCGGGCCTTTCCCATAACCTCCCGCCCGCCCCGGCACAGCCCCTTCCCTCCCATACCCGGCGGATGCGCTCGGTGTCAGGCAGCAGCAGCTCTCGCAGGACCTGCTCCAGGCCGGCGGGCTCCATGGCAGCAGCGGAGCCGCCGCTACCGGGCCGGGAAGGGGGGGCGGGGGGAGGGACAGCACGTGGAGGCTCTGACACGACTTCCGGCGGAAAGGGCGTTGCTCCGCGCCGCTTGGTCGCTAGGGAGATCAGCTCACTTCCCACTGAGCGCTCCGGCTCCGCCGCTTCCGTCAGGCTTAGCGCGCCGGCTGAGCCGGGGAAACAGGGCCCTGGCAATGTAGGTTCCCCACGCCGAGCGTTCCCAGCTCGTTCAGCGGCCAGACCAAAACTTCCAACTACAGGACCCTTTTTATTAATAAATTTTATTTTGACAATTGTAAAAAGAAAAATCAGGACCGCAACTAAAGGCAACTGAGAAAGTTCAAATATATACTCCTGATGTAATCAGAGATTTAGAATTTCCGGGCCCGCTCTGGGAAAGGCAGGCCCACAGACAAGGGGGAAGGCGACGACAATACCATTATTCAGTTCAGTCTCTCGCTCGGGAGAGAAGCTGCGAGGAGGCGGGGGCAGGGAGAGAGGGAGCGAAGAGCCGCACTCAGTCCATCTTGAGGTTTACATAGATGTAACGGATGAACTTCAGGGAGGAAAAGAAGGAGATGGTGCCCAGCATGAGGAAGAAGACGTAGCCAGTGAGCAAGGAGTAGCCAAAGAACTCCACTGTCTGTACCGCCCCCGACATGTTGGAGCGGCGGGCGTAGTAGAAGACCGAGTAGAGGAAGATGAAGAGGCCGGTGGAGCCGACGCTGAGCACCGAGCGCCACCACCAGCGGTAGTCCTCGCCCGACAGCTGGAAGTAGGTGAGCGCGATGGAGATGCAGGCCCCCACGCTCAGCAGGATGGCGAAGACAAAGAAGAGGATGCCGTACAGCGTGTACTGTTCCCGACCCCACACTGTGGCGAAGATGTAGTACAGCTCCACGGAGATGGCGCTGTGGAGACGACACACGGCGTTAGTCACCGCTCCCGGAGGCTCAGCCACTGCGCCAAGTGCGGCCACTCTGCTGTCTACCCCCGATTTCCCGGTTCTGTGGGCTTTTTTTTTTTTTTTGAGGGGGGGCTAAGAATCGTTGCCTTCATTTCAAGAGCATCTTCGTGAAAGGCTGAGCCAAAGGACTTTGTCTATCTCCCTGGCACAGAGAAGTGCTCAACAAACTGAATGAGTAATCAAATGGGCCGAAGCCCCCCATGATGCCCACACACTAAAATTAGAAACCAACAAGACTCAGGGAAGGGCATGGTGTCTGAGAGCTTTCCAAATGGACCACTCTCGGATCCGGCCTGGCTCAGGCTCATTCCTGCTTGGGGCTAGGAGGAGCCATTCCAGTCAATAACAGGAGATCAGGGTTTAGCACTGAAGCTGGGGTAGCATACTGAGCAAGTGGCAAAGGAAAAGCTGAGGTCGGGAACCTGCGAGTGGTGGGCATGGAATACGGGTGGGTACCTGAAGGGCAGGAAGCCTCCAACAGTCATGTGGATGAGAGTAGACTTGTACCAGGGCTGGGGCGGGATCTCCCGGGCGATGTTCTTGGTGCGACAAGGTGCATCAAAGGAGCTAGCGTTGTTCTTCCCGAAGATGCCTCCAATGACAGTGAGGGGAAAGCCCACCAGCAGCCAAACCGTGAGAAGCAGCAGGATGGTGGTGGCCGGCAGAGCCTGTGTCGAGCCGTTGGCCCAATGCACCGAGTTCACCACACTCCATGTCAGGAAGAAAGGCACTGCGGGGATGGGCCCCCAGAGGGAGGGTCAGCGCGAGGGCTACATCCCTGCGGACACCCTCTCAGACAGGACCTAAAGGGGAGAGAGGTGAAGCAGCCTGCCACTCTACCAGTGATCGGTGCTCCCAGATGTCTGCTAAGCTGGCTACCTCCACAGGCCCCCTTTCATAGTCCACTGTTCTTTGTTCTTGAACCAACACCCCTCCCCAGCCCAGGGCCATCAGGGATCAGGGTGGCTGCTACATAATGATCTGAGCGTTAGGTGCATCTGCCTCAGGGGGCCCCTCTTGCTGTGGCATTAGTAATTCCCTGCCAGGGACATTCCTTGGGATTCAACCCCTATTCTCAGAAAGCCTTGATTCAATTGTAAAAATGATGGGACAGAAATCAAACACATAGGACTAGAAGCAGTAAGGTTCTTGATGCAGGCTAACACTGCCTTTGAAAGGGTAATGTTGTTTGAAAGGCTAGAGTGGGTCTAGCTCTAAAATTAAAAAAAAATTTTTTTTAAATTATTTTACTATAATGGTTAAGAATACAGAATCCAGACCGGCACCATGGCTCACTTGGCTAATCCTCTGCCTGCGGCGCCAGCACCTGGGGTTCTAGTCCCGGTCGGGGCACCGGATTCTGTCCCGGTTGCTCCTCTTCCTGGCCAGCTCTCTGCTATGGCCAGAGAAGGCAGTGGAGGATGGCCCAGGTGCTTGGGCCCTGCACCCCATGGGAGACCAGGAGGAAGCACCTGGCTCCTGGCTTTGGATTGTTGCGGCACGCCAGCCGTAGCGGCCATTAGGAGGGTGAACCAACAGAAGGAAGACCTTTCTCTGTCTCTCTCTCCCTTTCTCACTGTCTAACTCTGTCTGTACAAAAACAAAACAAAACAAAACCAACCAATCCAGAGTCAGACTGCATGGGTCACTACTTTTTGGGGGATACAGCTCAGGTAAGTTACTTAACCAGCCTAAAGTTCAATTTCCTCATGCGTGCAATGGGGACCACATGATCTACCTCAAAGTTATTGTGAGAATTAGATGAAGGCATGTCCAGTGCTCACTCTGCCTGGAACATTTTTTTTTTTATAGATTTTTTTTAATTAATTAATTAATTTATTTATTTAGACAGGCAGATTGGACAGTGAGAGAGACAGAGAGAAAGGTCTTCCTTTGCTGTTGGTTCACCCTCCAATGGCCGCCAAGGCCGGCGCGCTGCGGCCAGCGCACCGCGCTGATCCGATGGCAGGAGCCAGGAGCCAGGTGCTTTTCCTGGTCTCCCATGGGGTGCAGGGCCCAAGCACCTGGGCCATCCTCCACTGCACTCCCTGGCCACAGCAGAGGGCTGGCCTGGAAGAGGGGCAACCGAGACAGAATCCGGCTCCCCGACCGGGACTAGAACCCGGTGTGCCGGCGCCGCTAGGCGGAGGATTAGCCTAGTGAGCCGCGGCGCCGGCCTGCCTGGAACATTTTAAGATGATACCTTTATTTGAGAAGCGAGTTAGAGAGAGAAGGACAGAGAGAAAGGTCTTCCATTCACTGGTTCATTCCCCAGATGGCCGCAATGGCCAGAGCTGGGCCAATACAACGCCAGGAGCCGCTTCTGGGTCTCTCACATGGGTGCAGGGGCCCAAGCACTTGGGCCATTTTTCTATTGCTTTCCCAGGTCATAGCAGAGAGCTGGATCAGAAGTGGAGCAGCTGGGATTCGAACAGGCGCCCATATGGGATTCTGGCACTGCAGGCAGAGGTTTAGCCTACTACACCACAATGCCCGCCCCAAGATAATACATTTTAACTATTCAAAAGAAATGCATTCTTGGGGCCAACAGTGTGTTATAGTGGGTTAAGCCACAGCCTGTGACCCGCCATCCCACGTGGTACCAGTTCATGTCCTGGCTGCACATTTCTGATCTAGCTCCCTGCTAAAGACCTGAGAAAAGCAGTGAACGATGGTTACCCATGTGCGAGACCAGGATGAAGCTCCTGGCTCTTGGCTTCAACTTGGCCCAGTGCTGGCCACTGTGTGTATTTGGGGAGTGAACCAGCAGATTAAGACCTGTCTCTCTCTTAACTCTGACTTTCAAAATAAATAATTAAATATTTTAAAAAATTAGAGAGAAAAGGGGACCAGCACTGTGGCACAGTGGATTAAACAGCCATCTGTGATGCTAACATCCCATATAGGTACGGCTTCGTATCTCAGCTGTTCCACTTCCAATCCTACTCCTTGCTAATGCACCTGGGAAAGCAGTGGAAAACAACCCAAGTGCATGGGCCCCAGTACCCATGTGGGAGACCTGGAAGAAGCTCCTGGTTTTGGTCTGGCCCATTTGGAGAGTTACAGAAAGACAGAGGGAGGGAGGGAGGGAGAGAGAGAGAGAGAGAGAGAGAGAGAGAGAATTGTCCGTCCACTGGTTCACTACCCAAATGGCCATAACTGCCAGAGCTGGGCCAAAGTCCGGAGCTTCTTCCAGGTCTCCCACGTGGGTACAGGGGCCCAAGGACTTGGGCCATCTTCTACTGCCTTCCCAGGGCACAGCAGAGAGCTGGATCGGAAGTGGAGCAGCTGGGACTTGAACTGATGCCTGTACAAGATGCTGGCACTGCCTTTACCCACTATGCCACAGTGCAAGCCCCATAAAAGTATATTTTAAAAAGTGCATTCTTGGGGCTGGCCCCGTGGCACAGTGGGTTAATCCTCCGCCTGTGGTGCTGGCATCCCATATGGGTGCCAGTTCTAGTCCCAGCTGCTCCTCTTCCAATCCAGCTCTCTGCTATGGCCTGGAAAAGCAGTAAAAGATGGCCCAACTGGGCCTCTGCACACGCATGGGAGACTGGGAAGAAGCACCTGGCTCCTGGCTTTGGATTGGCGCAGCTCTGGCCGTTGCGGCCATCTGGAGAGTGAACCAATGGAATCAAGACCTTTCTCTCTGTCTTTCCCTCTCACTGTCTGTAACTCTGCCTCTCAAATAAATAAATAAAAATCTTTTAAAAAAATGCATTATTTCTGATGGTTTTCTAATTCTGTTTCTGTCACCTGTATTCTTTCCCTCTAACTCCCTCTGTCTCACTCTGTCTCCATCCCAGGTTCTGTAATGTGGTCTTAGTCCTTAAGTCCAGATAGCCCCACCAGGGAAGGGGAAGTCCTCACCAGAGAAGAGACTGGTGGTGAGAATGATGTTCCACACCCAACGCTCGCCTCCGATCTGCCGGTAGAAGTGGCTGGACACGTAGCCAGAGATGCAGCAGGTCAGGGCATACAACAAGATAGCTGCCGAGTTAATGGCCCCGTGACGATGCACATTGAACATGCCCAGCAACGCCATGACAATGATGCCTGCAGGTGGTAGTGCAAAGTCTGTGTTAGCTCACATCTCTCCCCCTCCTAGCAGCTTTAAGGAATCAGCTTCCCTTCTCCCAGACCCAGGGCCTCCAGCAAAACAGTATCCCCCAGTTCTGCTGTCCGGCAAACCACCTTTCACTAGAGCCACCCCATCCCTCCCGTGTGCCCTGCACCATGGCTAGAACAGATCCACTTACTCCCTGGTTCTACCCCATGAGAGAAATTCCTGATTCTTATCACCTCACCAGTGCCAAGAGCCAGGAACTGGGCACCCACGCCAAGCACAGCACAGAGCAGACCACGGTACGGAGGGAAACGGAAGACATCCGTATGGATAATTTTCCAGCCATTGTCACTTTGGTCAAAATCGTCACCAGAGCCTCCCGAGGTGCTCTCCTCATCCAAGTTGTATCGGGCCAGGTCATTCCGAAGCACACGCATTAGAATGACAGCCACGAAACCCACCAGCAAAAACACGAGCACCATGGAGTTGATGATGGACAACCAATGGATTTCCAGCGTTCGGGGAAAGAAGCCGCCATCGTCACCACGCCGCCTGTCGCTCCGATGCTCCACTGCAGTCTCAGACCAGCGTACGCTGTAAGTGTGGGTGAGGCCTAGCACCTCGTCAGATCGCAGCCCATCCAAACTGTGGGGCTTCACATCCCGCACTGAGACGTTGGCAAATATAATTCGATCCCCATGGAATTCTAAGTGGAAGTCCAAATGAGTCCAGAGTCCTATCTTGTGGCTGTGTGGCAGGAATCCACTCTCCTCCATGTAGCCCACAAAGCCACGGATTGGCAGGTCATCTACCACAAACTCAAAGTAGTACAGTTCCTCAATGGCCTGGCGCAGCTGCTCCACCTAGAAAGAGGAAGTCAGGGACCAATCACACGAGGCCTTCCTGCCTTCCAGTAACGCATTGCGTTACTGACATCTCGGGCTGGATAATTCTTTGTTCTAAGAGGGGTTGTGTGCATGGTCAGATGCAACATCTCTGATCTCTTTCCACTGTATGCCAGCAGCACCGCCGGTTGTGGCAATCAAAAATGCCTCCCTGAGGGCTGGCGCTGTGGCATGGCAAGAGGACCCACCTCCTGCAGTGCTGGCATGCCATATGGGCGCCAGTTCGAGACCTGTGCTCCTCTTCCAATCCAGCTCTCTGCTATGGCCTGGGAAAGCAGTAGAACAATGGCCCAAGTCCTTAGGCCCCTACACCCATGTGAGAGACCCGGAAGAAGCTCCTGGCTCCTGGCTTCAGATTGGCACAGCTCCGGCCATTGTGGCCAGTTGGGGAGTGAATCATCAGATGGAAGACCTCTCTTTCTCTGCCTCTCCTTCTTTCTCCATGTAACTCTTCCAAATAAAGAAATAAATCTTTTTTAAAAAATGCCTCTAGACATTGCCCAGTGTCCCTTGGGGGACAGAATTGCCTCCTGTTGAGAATCACTAGGTCAAACTCTAAGAAGTCAGAGAGAAAGAGATCTGACAGGGTTAAGTCCTAGAAGAAGGAGGGAGACAAGCTGTAAGAAGGGCTGGCATAGACTAAGAAGTGCTAAGATTTGCTCAAGAAAAAGCATGACAGGGAAAGTTAGGTAGAGAATAAAGGGGTCAGTTAAGAATAAGGCAAGAGATGGGTGTGGAAGGAAACAGAACTACTTGAGAGTGACAGATGGAACCGTACTACCCACAGAGAAGCAGGGGCTAGCATCTCGGCCCTAAATTCCCGAACCATGTCATCCTCAAAAACTCACTTCTCAGCAAGTACATTTCTTAGTCAGCTAAATCTAGTAACATCACCTGCTCTGCCTGCCACGTGGGGTTTGTAGTTAGAATCAAGTCCGGTCATTTCCATGGGGGCACCTTGAACTATAATTGCAAGGCCCTGGGAGTGCCCGGGAAGGGAGGCTCAGCGCTGACCTGTGCAGAGCTGAGCTGCATGTGACACAGAACTCGCTTCTCCACGTTCTCCCGAAAGCGGATCTCATACAAAGACTCGGCCATTCGGTCCCCGTCCAGCACTTCACCCAGGCTAAGGCTTTTGTGACGAATCTTCTCAGGGCAGCAGACGGGGAGCTGATAGTAGTGATACGTTTCCTGAGGGTTGTGGTAGGGTCCCACTTTGTTGACATACAGAATGACAGGGTCGCCGGCTTTGTAGTGAGTCGCGCCGTGCACTCCTGGCCTGTGGCCTGTATCCAGCAGCAGGATCAGGACTGGCAACCACTGGCAGCTCCAACGTCGAGGGTACCCTAGGACTGTCATCCTTAAATCCGCAGAACCTGTTCTGAGGGATTCCTGCGACCACAGAAACCAAGGGTCAACTCCCGAACTGCCGCTCACGGGCTCCGCCTCCTCCCATTAGCCTCCCGACCTCCACCTCACACCACGTCGACCCCTAAGCCCTACAGAGCCGGCTCCGCCTCTGCCCGCCAGACCTCCCAAGGTGAGGGTGCAGCCCGCCCTCCCGGGGCCTCGCCGCGCGCTAGCCCGTTTCCATGGCAACGCCGCGCGCCCTCGCACCTCGGGTCCCTTCCCGCCACAGCCCCGGGTTTCTCAGCGCGCGGGAAGGGCCGGCCACGGCGGCGTCAGCGGCCTCTGCAGCGCCGTAGCTGCTCTCGGCTCCTGCCGGGGTCCCCCCCAGAGCGGCGCAGCAGCGGCGGGTTGAAGAGGACCTGACGGCCGACCTCCACCTGACTGTCCGCTGCTGCGCCTGATCACAGCGCCTGCGGTCACACCACGCTGGATACGTACTGGGCTCCGTCAAGTACTTTGCCAACGAGTTCTCTCCAGCCGCAGGCCCAGCCAGCCTCCGGGGCCCCCCGCGAGGCGAGGCTCGCCCGCCCCCACAGTGGGGTCTTCCCGGCGATCTGGAGAACAGCCTAGGACACGTCGGTCTTACCACTTCCGCCCTCGCCGGCGGGGACCTCAGCCCGGCGGAAAGCTCCGGTCCTGGAGGCTCGCAGAGTCTCTGCTGCTGCGGATGCCAGCGCGCTTTCCCGGGGTGGATCCTTGGCCGAGCCCGGGCTGCAAGGACGCGCACCCCTGCTTGTGCCCGGGAGGATCTGAGGCTCCCGCAGCAGCCGCCTCTGGATCACGCGGGCGAAGGCCTAGAGCGATGGGCGCCGTGCGAGCCCAGCGAGGGCCGGGCCGGCAGACGGAGCTGTGTTCGGGTCCACACCCTGTGGACGTCCCGGAGCGTCTTTCGGCCGGACCAATGGGACTTGCTACCGGCCTTAAGGTCGAGCCCCGAGGGGCGGTTCGTGGCCCCTAGCCCGGGCAGGGTTGAGGCTTTGCGCATCGCTTCCGTACCAGGGTCTGGATCTCACTGCCCTCCTCTCTTAACCCATCACGAATGGCCTAATGTCAGAAGAACGAATACATTACAGTGTCTTCCTGAAGTTGCCCTGTCTGTGCCCGGCAGTAAACAAACCAGACTGGAGCCAGGTCGGGTGCAGGGCCACGCAAAGACACAGGCCATCAGGCGCTGTTCCCCCAGGCGTAGGCAGCTCCGAGAGGTTATTGTTCATCGCAGGTAAAGAATCTTGTCCGCCTCTCGTCGTGCGATGCCCTTGTTTTTATCTGTGTGTTGTGTCTGGGGTTCTTTTCTGTATTGCACATAATTTTGAAAAACTTCGTTCTTGTCTGACTCAGCTGTCTTAAGAGGGGGTTCTGCTGGGGGTTCCCCTGGAAAACTGGCCTCTCCTTTGGACATTGACGTCTCTCTGGCCCTCTGGGAGCTGTGGCTGGGAAAGCTGCCCCCCCTCCATTATGTTGAAAAGTCCTTCATGTACCCACTTCCATGATTGTTGCCCTTTCTGAGCCAGCCCTTTTCTCTGCAGATGTGGGTGAGGTTCCAGGAAGTAGAGGGTTGGGTTTTGTAATAAAGTTATTTTGTGGGCCAGCACTGTGGCATAGCAGGTTAAGCCGCGGCCTGCAGCCTCAGAGCCCTGTTTGAGTCCAAGCTGCTCCACTTCCGTCTGATCCAGCTTCCAGCTAATGGCCTAGGAAAAGCAGCATAAGATGGCCTAAGTGTTTGGGCCCCGACATTCACCTGGGAGGCCTGGAAGAAGCTCCTGGCTCCTAGCTTTGGCCTGGTCCAGCCCCCACCATTGTGGCCATTTGGAGAGTGAACCAGCAGATGGAAGACCAGTGTCACCAAGCCCCTTTCACTTATTTCTCTGCCTCTCTGCCTTTCAAATAAAATAAAAAATAGTTGCCAATGCAAGAAACTTAGCACCCCCTCCCCCCGCTTCTTTTAAAGATTTATTTATTTGAAAGGCAGAGTTACAGAGAGAGGGCGAGAAGAGAGATCTTACATCTGCTGGTTCACTCTCCAAATGGCCGCAAAGGCCAGAGCTGGGCAGATCCAAAGCCAGGAGCCTCTTCCAGATCTCCCACGTGGGTGCAGGGGCCCAAGGACTTGGGCCATCTTCACTGCCCTCCCAGGCCATAGCAGAGAGCTGGATGGGAAGTCAAGCAGCTGGGACTCGAACCAGCACCCATGTGGGATGCTAGTACTGCAGGCGGTGGCTTCCCTGATACACCACAGCGCCGGCCCCTCTAGCCCTTTCTTTCAATGCCTCCCCTCAAATATCAGTGTCACCAAGGCCCCTCCACTTCTTTCCTGAATATCTTCCAAATGCTTGCCCTCTACCGTTCTCTCTCACTCTCCCCCATAAATTACCATGACAACTATCCTGCTGGTCCCCTTGGTCATTTTCCACATTGCTACTGGAAGGATTTTTCTTTTGTGACCAAGACCTCAGGGTAAGGGGTTCCCAAGCACCAGATTGATTGAAAGAGCAACAGGAAGCTATCTATCTACTGGGTCACTCCCCAAAAGGCTGCAACAGCTAGCACTGTGCCAAGCTGACGCCAAGAGTCACTAACTATCCCAGTGTCCCGGGTGGGTGGTAGGGTCCAAATACTTGGCCATCTCTTTGCTGCCTTCCCAGGCAGACTAGCAGGGCTAGATCAGGAGCAGAGCAGCCAGGAATTGAACTGTTCCTCAATATTGGATGGGATGCAGGTGTCTTTTTTTTTTTAAGACTTGTTTTTCATTTATTTGAAAGTCAGAGTTACAGAGAGAAGAGGAAAGACAAAGAGAACTTCTGTTTCCTGGTTCACTCCTCAAATGGCTACATTGGCCAGTGCTGGATCAGGCTGAAGCCAGGAGCCCAGAGCTTCTAGGTGTCCCACATGGGTGCAGGGGCCCAAGTAATCGTCTGTTTCCCACTTTTTTTTTTTTTCCCCATTAGCAGGGAGCTGGTTTGGAAGTGGATCAGCTGGGTCTCAAACGGGCACCCATATGGGATGCTGGCATTGCAGGGAGAGGCTTAACCCATTACGTCACAACAGTAGCACCCAGGATACAGGTGTCTTAACCTGCACAATAAGCAAAACAATCCAGTTCCCAGTTTTCTTTTACAAGCTCTAAATTTTTACAAAAATGTGTATTTTTTAAGTTTTGTATTTTCATTTTTATTTGAAAAGCAGAGAAAAGTATCTTCCATCTGCTGGTTCACCTCCAAATGCTTGCAACAGCCAGGGCTGGGCCAGGCAGAAGCCAGGAATCTTGGAACTCAATCTGGATCTCCCCAGTGTAGCACAGGGACCCAGCTACTTGAGCCATCATCTGCAGGCACCAAGGGTGATTGTTAGCAGAAAGCTGGAATGGGAAGTAGAGCTGGGACTTGAATGCAGGCACTTCAAGATGGGACGCAGGTGTTCCAAACAGTATCTTTTTTTTTTTTTTTTTTTTGACAGGCAGAGTGGATAGTGAGAGAGACAGAAAGGTCTTCCTTTTGCCGTTGGTTCACCCTCCAATGGCCGCCGCAGCTGGCGCGCTGCAGCCGGTGTACCACGCTGATCCGTAGGCAGGAGCCAGGTGCCTCTCCTGATCTCCCATGTGGGTGCAGGGCCCAAGCACTTGGGCCATCCTCCACTGCCTTGCCAGGCCACAGCAGAGAGCTGGCCTGGAAGAGGGCAACCGGGACAGAATCTGGCGCCCCAACCGGGACTAGAACCCAGTGTGCCAGCGCCGCTAGGTGGAGGATTAGCCTATTGAGCCGTGGCGCCGGCCCCAAACAATATCATTTTCAAAAGATAGATTTATTTATTTGAAAGGTTGAGAGATTGATCTTCATCTGCTGGTTCACTCCCCAAATGCCTACAATAGCCAGGGCTCTGCCAGGCCAAAGCCAGGAGACTGGGATGCCATTAGGTTGATCGTGTGGATGGCAGAGACCCAAGTACTTGCGCTATTTTCCCCTGCCTCCTCAGGCATATTAAACCTGGATTGGAAGTGAAGAAACCTGGACTTAAACTGCCACTCCAATATGAGATGGGGGCATCCCAAGCAGTGCCCACAACATCCGACCCCCAGGCAGTGTTCACTGCTAGGTAGAATGCATGCCCCTAGTTTGTTGTTTAAGATCTATATTAGTTCTTTGACTTCCATCTGCCGGTTCACTCCCCAGCTGGCTGCACTGGCCACTGTTAGGTCATGCCAAAGCCAGTGGCCTGGACCTCCATCTGGGTCTCCCATGTGGGTAGCAGGGACCGTCTTATGCTGCTTTCCCAGGCACATTAACAGGGAGCCAGATTGGAAGTAACGCACCTAGGACCTGAACTAGCACTCATAGGGTGCCAGCATCACAGACAGCAGCTTAGTCCATTGTGTCCAAATGCCAGCCCCTTATTTGAAAATCTTTATGTATTTTTACTTACTTGAAAGACAGGTCTCCCCACTAGTTCACTTTCCAAATGCCCACAACAGCTAGTGCCGGGACAGGCCAAAGCCGGGAGCTCAGAACTCTATCTGGGTCTCCCTTGTAGGTGGCATCGACCCAGCTTCTTGAGTCATCACCTGCTGCCTCCCAGGGTGCACATTAGCAGGAAGCTGGGATTGGAAGTGAGGCTGGGACTTGAAGCTGGGCACTCTGATACGGGGTGCTGGCATCCCAGTGGCATCTTAACTGCTCTACAAAATGCCTATCCCCACTGTGGTGTCACAGGTAAAACCACTGCCTGCAGTGCCAGAATTCCAGTGCTGATTTGAGTCCCAGCTGCTCCACTTCCGATCCAGCTCTCTGCTATGGCCTGGGAAAGCAGTGGAGGATGGCCCAAGTCCTTGGGCCCCTGCACTCACACGGGAGACCTGGAAGAAGCTCCTGGCTCCTGGCTTCAGATCGGTGTAGCTCTGGCTGTTGCGGCCATTTGTGGAGTGAACCAGCAGATGGAAGATGGAAGACCTCTCTCTCTACCTACTCCTTTACTTTGTGTAACTTTTTTTTTTTTTTTTTTAGATTTATTTATTTGAAAGAGTTACAGAGAGAGAAGGAGAGAGAAAGAGAGAGCACAAGTGAGCGGTCTTCCATCTTCTGGGTCTCCCATATGGGTACAGGGGCCCAAGAACTTGGGCCATCCTCTACTGCTTTGTCAGGCCATAGCAGAGAGCTGGATGGGAAGTGCAGCAGCCAGGACCTGAACTGACATGCATATGGGTTGCCGGCACTGCGGGCAGCAGCTCTACCCACTTCGCCACAGCGCTGGCCCCCTGACTTTCAAATAAATAAAAATAAATCTTTTTTTATTTTTTTAAAATGCCTATCCTGGGGCCACGCTGTGGCACAGTGGGTTAATGCCCTGGCCTAAAGCACCGGTATCCCATATGGGCGCTGGTTCGAGACCCAGTTGCTCCACTTCTGATCCGGCTCTCTGCTATGGCCTGGGAAAGCAGTAGGGGATGGCCCAAGTCCTTGGGCCCCTGCACCCATGTGGGATACCCAGAAGAAGCTCCTGGCTCCTGGCTTCGGATTGGCGCAGCTTCGGCTGTTTCAGCCAATTGGGGAGTGAACCATCAAATAGAAGACCTCTCTCTCTCTCTCTCTCTCTCTCTCTGCCTCTCCTCTGTGTGTGTAACTATGACTTTCAAATAAAAAAATAAATCTTTAAAGAAAAATGCCCATCCCTATAAAGAAAAATGCCCATCCCTAAATATTCCTTAAAATATTTTTATTTTTTTCTTTTCCCTTTCCTCGTCTCCCCTCCCCCTCCCCATTCCCTTACCTGAAGGCAGAGAGGGAAAGATCACCCACTGAATCAACTTTCCAAATCCCTCAATAGCCAGGACTGGGCCAAGCCAAAGCCAGAAGCCCCAAATTCCATCCTGGTCTCTCAAGCGGGTGGGGGGACTGAACTACTTAAGCCTCATCTCAGGCCCAAGCTCTGATTTTGATGTACACCAAAACTTGGCCATGAGTATATAAGATAAAGTCAAAGTGACAGTATGCAAGGTCTCAAACTTGGATCCTAACTATCTCTCCAGGTATATTTCCCTTCTGGGAACCCTATCCTGGATTCAAATTGAAATCTTTAAAGTCATGTTGTCTCAAACCTACAAATCTCATTTCTGTCTGGACTACCCAGTCTCCGTGCCCTACATGCATGCCTAGAGAACATTTTTTTTTTTTTGACAGGCAGAGTTAGACAGTGAAAGAGAAAGGTCTTCCTTCCGTTGGTTCACCCCCCAAATGGCCACTACGGCTGGTGCGTTGCACCAATCCGAAACCAGGAACCAGGTGCTTCCTCCCGGTCTCCCATGTGGGTGCAGGGCCCAAGGACTTGGGCCATCCTCCACTGCACTCCCGGGCCGCAGCAGAGAGCTGGCCTGGAAGAGGGGCAACCGGGACAGAATCCGGCGCCCCGACCGGGACTAGAACCTGGTGTGCCGGCGCTGCAGGCGGAGGATTAGCCTAGTGAGCACGTCGCCAGCTGAGAACATATTTTTAAATAGTAAAAATATCACCCTCTTTAAACCTTCCCTTACATCCTACAGGATTATTTTTTTTTAATGATTTATTTGAAAGGCAGAGCAACAAAGAGGGGAGAGAGAGAGATACCTTCTATCTGCTCTTTCGCTTCCCAAATGGCTGCACAAAGCCAGGAACCTAGAACTCCATCCAGGTCTTTTTTTTTTTTTTTTTTTGACAGGCAGGGTGGACAGTGAGAGAGAGAGACAGAGAGAAAGGTCTTCCTTTGCCGTTGGTTCACCCTCCAATGGCCGCCACGGCCGGCGCACTGCGGCCAGCGCACCGCGCTGATCCGATGGCAGGAGCCAGGTGCTTCTCCTGGTCTCCCATGGGGTGCAGGGCCCAAGTACTTGGGCCTTCCTCCACTGCCTTCCCTGGCCACAGCAGAGAGCTGGCCTGGAAGAGGGGCAACCGGGACAGAATCCAGTGCCCCGACCGGGACTAGAACCCAGTGTGCCGGCGCCGCAAGGCAGAGGATTAGCCTAGTGAGCCGCGGCGCCAGCCCATCCATCCAGGTCTTGTGTGTGGGTGGCAGGGGTCGCAGCAGTTGAGCTATCATCTGCCGATTTCCCAAGCATATTTGCAACAAGCTGGTTTGGAAGAGGAACAGCCAGGATTCAAATCAGCACTTTGACATGGGATGCTGATGTCTCAAATGGCAGCTCAACCCGTAGTGTCACAATGCCAGCCACTTCCAGTTTTTTTTCTTTTTTTAATACTTCATCTCAGGGCTGGTGTAACCGGTTTGCAGCACTGGCATCCTGTATGGGCAGCAGTTCGAGTCTCAACTGCTCCACCTCCAAACCAGTTCCCTGCTAATGCACCTGCAAAAGCTGCGGAAAATGGCCTAAATGCTTGGGCCCCTGCACACCCACATGGGAGCCTCAGAGGAAGATTCTGGCTCCTGGCTTTGGTCTGGCTCAGCTCCGGCCACTGCAGCCACTTGTGGGGTGAACCGGAGGATGGAAGGTCTGTCTCTTCCAAATAAAATAAATAAATAACACTTCATCTCACAGAACTGTTACTTTGCTTAAGTGTCTGTCTTCCTTGCCAGCTGCCAACTCCTCGTGGGGAGGCTATAATTTGTCCATCTTTGCATCTTCAGAAGTTTGCAGTGTTATGTATGTACTAGCAGTTTGATGCCTGTTCCTTGAATAAACCATTTACTCTGAACCATGATGAGAGGCTAGAGCTGCCACCAAGCCACCTACCAAGGACTGGGGTGGGCCTTCTTACCACACTGAGGATGGAGAGCTGGCTTCCAACAGAATTTTGCAACTATCCTGCCAGGGTCGACTCTCAACAAAGGGAAGCTCACTGGTAGCCTGTGGCATAATCCGTTTTTGGATTTTTTTGGGTTTTGGAGGATGGAAGATGAAAGAATTCAGATCCTTTGTTCTTTGCTCTCCCCTCTAAAATCTTAGCATAAAATCCACATTCCATCATTTCAGACTCGGTCTTGCCTGTTTTTGATGCTTCTTGCATTGTTTCATTGCAGCTACCAAGCAAAACCCTAATCTGGGATTCAGTTATCCATCAGTTTCAAGACACTAATGGAATCTCAACACAGGTTTTGTAAATTTGTATCCTCCAACCCCATTTGGGCCCTTGCTGCCCAGTGATCCTGCTCATTTTCCAAACCACCTCTTTTCCATTCTCCACAACCCATTCTTTTCAAACTTCTGATTTCACCTCTCTTCTAGTCACTGAACCTCCCTTGAGAGTCCAATGGGAGATGCAAGCAAAAACAAAAAGCACCTCAACTGATGTTTGGTCAAGTGCTGTGTCCGACAAAGTGTTAGTGTTGGGAAGCACCTAGAAGGGAGGAGCACCTTAGGTGTGGACAGGCAGTACAGCCTTCCTTAAAAACAGCTGCGATTGGGCCAGTGCTGTGGTGCAGTGGGTTAGCCATGACCTGCAGTACCAGCATCTCACATGGGCACCAGTTCTAGTCCTGGCTGCTCCTCTTCCGATCCAGCTCTCTGCTATGGCCCAGGAAAGCAGTGGAAGATGGCCCAAGTGCTTGGGCCCTTGCACCCACATAGGAGACCTGGAAGAAGCTCCTGCCGTTGTGGCCATTTGGAGAGCGAACCAGTGAATGGAAGACCTTTCTCTCTCTCCCTCTCTCTGTAATGCTACCTCTCGAATAAATAAAATTAAAAAAAAAAAAAAAGAGAGAGACCTGAATTGAGGGAGTGGCATTGAGCTTAGAGAGCCAAGTGTCTTATTTAAGAGATATTAAGAAGTAGAAGAGACATGATTTGGTGATAAATTATGTGTAGGGACTAAGGCAAGAGGAAGGGTCTGAGATGACATTTAGGTGTCTGCGAATAACTAGTGTACAATTTACGGTGAGTTTGAGGTGCCTAGGAGAGACCTGTCCACGTGACGTCCAATGAGCAATTAGGCTGTATCTGGAACTCCAGTGATGGCTGGGACAGAGATGAGATCAGGAGCAGCAAGCACATTGAGGCTCTGGGAGTGATAAGGATGAGGTCTTAACGAAAAAATGTGAAGGTCTGATAGAACCCTTAGGATAAGATTGAGATAAAAGGAGACTGATGAGGCTCCCAAGGAGGCTGAGGATGACCAGAGGCATGGGAGGATATTAAACTAGAGGTCAGGGTTATGGAGAATGCCTGTCAAGGTTAGATCCCTATAGCAGGCTTCAACACCTTGAACTTCTCTGTAATGCCCCTGTGCTTCTCTCATGCTCACTGTAAGTGCAAGGGGCATGAGGTCTCTACTGGCCTGACTGGTCATTTTATCCTAGTACTGCACACTGGCAGAAAGGAGGTGCTCCGTGCACTGGACAGCTGGGGGGAGAGTCTCACCAGATTGCAGAGCATGTCTCTGGGAACGAATCTGTTCCAAACCACACTGCATTTTCAAGCTTCGTGGCCAGTGACAGAAGGTGGATTGTGATGTGGATGGAACATGAAACCTTGGTAAGTTCCGTAACCAAGGAGGAAGAAGTACCAACAGCCAGTGGAGACCGAAAGAACTGCTCCTCCTATCCCCCTTCAAGTTGCTAGCAGAGGGCTGGGCCCAGCATCCCAGACTTAATGTGACTCCATAGGCAAGCATCCAGAGACCAGCTTCACTTTGGTACCCCGGCCTTCAGTGGCTAGAGGTGCTGGCCTTGGAGTAGACAGGAGGCTTCCAGGTAGCCAAGCTCCTTGCTCTCAGCAAGCCCGGCAGTATGGGGAAGGGAGATGCGGTGGAGGCGGCGGCAGCACCAGCCACTCTGGCTTACCGATCTGTCATGGAGGAGTATGGCTATGAGGTGGGCAAGGTCATTGGCAATGGCTCCTACGGGACAGTGTACGAGGCTTATTACACAAAGCAGAAGGTCATGGTGGCCGTCAAGATCATCTCAAAGAAGAAGGCCTCCGAGGATTATCTAAACAAGTTCCTGCCCCGTGAGATACAGGTTGGAGAGTGCTGGGAGAGGGAGTGGCAGTTTACTAAGCTGCATGAGGTTTTTCAGAAGGGATGTGGTTAGGAAGTGGTGGGGCCACCCCCTCCCCCCAAACTGGGACTGGGCATCTGACTAAGCAGCTAGGAAAATTAATGTCAACTCAACCGCTCTTGCCTACCCACTCACCTCCAGCTCTCCCCAGAGTGCAAAATAAGGTCTACCTCCAGGCAGCAGCCCTGTGCTGCAGAGGTCCAGTAGCAGAGGGCTGGGAGTGCAGCCAGGGCCCACCCTTCTCGGGTTTGATGGGTGCCTCTTCTGGGGGCAGGTAATGAAAGTCTTGCGGCACAAGTACCTCATCAACTTCTATCAGGCCATCGAGACCACGTCCCGCGTGTACATCATCCTAGAGCTGGCACAAGGTGGAGACGTCCTCGAGTGGATCCAGCGCTATGGGGCCTGCTCTGAGCCCCTTGCTGGCAAGTGGTTCTCCCAGATGGCCCTGGGCATCGCCTACCTGCACAGCAAGGGCATCGTGCACCGGTGAGGGCGCTGCCACTCGGACGGGGGCCTTCAGGCGCTCAGGGGGCTTTCCTGTACAGCTTCTGCTTTCTGCCTTTTCCTCCTTTGCACTTTCCTCATTATCCAGGTCCATGCATCCACTCTATTTCAATCCTCTGGTCAAGGACACTTACATAAAGTGCCCAGTGTGTGCAGACCCCTTTATGAAATGCAGTAGTGAGACCCCAGTGGTCCTCAAGGACCTCATAACACCTTGGCTCTCTCCTCCTGACACTGGTCTCATAATGGCGTCTCCCTCCCACCTGGCCCATCCTCAACCTTAGCCTCCATCCTTCAGCTCCCGGTCTAATACAAAGCCCTCTCCCCAGCCTGACCCCCAGCCTTTCTGCTGCTGGTAGGGACTTAAAGTTGGAGAACTTGTTGTTGGACAAGCGAGAGAATGTGAAGATATCGGACTTTGGCTTCGCCAAGATGGTGCCTCCTAACCAGCCTGCGCGTAGTAGCTCTTCTTACCGCCAAATGAACTGCTTTTCCCACCTCAGCCAGACCTACTGTGGCAGCTTTGCATACGCCTGCCCCGAGATCTTGCTAGGCTTGCCCTACAACCCTTTCCTGTCGGACACCTGGAGCATGGGAGTCATCCTCTATACTCTGGTGGTCGCCCGTCTGCCCTTCGATGACACCAACCTCAAGAAGCTGCTCAAGGAGACTCAGAAGGAGGTCTCTTTCCCGCAGAACAACGCCATCTCCCAGGAGTGCAAGGTGCTGGCTCCCCCAGGAGAGCTGAAGCCTTAGAGATGACCCATGGGGAGGGGCGAATTCCCAAGCTAGGCCACCCAGCCCTGGGCGAGCCAGCCCATACTCTTGTCCCTGGGGAGGGCTCATAGGGCCATTCACGGGGCCCCATCCTTAAGCAGATTCCCACTACTATCCCTTTAGGCTAGGAGGGGCTTGTGCAAAGGATTTCCCCAAGAATTCCTCCCTCCCCTTTCCAGGGAGCTGAATACTTGGCTTACCAGGATAAAACCAGGGCCACACCCCTTTCACTAAAGTAGCATAGGCGCTACCTTGTATTCTCTTTGGGTCCAGCTGCTTACTGTGTGGCACAGTGCAGGGTAAGCTTAGCCAGGACCTTTCTTTCTCCTGCCCTAGAACCTGGTCCTTCATATGCTATGCCAAGCAGCCAAGCGTGCCACCATCCTGGACATCCTCAAGGATCCCTGGGTGCTCAAGTTCCAGCCTGAGCAACCCACCAATGAGATCAGGCTGCTAGAGGCCATGTGCCAGCCCACCACCAGCAGCACCAGCAATCGGCAGCAATCCTTGGGCAACACAACCTGAAAATGGTTGCTGGGAGGGGAGGGAAGGAAAGAAGGGAGGGACTGAGAGAGGGGCAAAGCAGGAGGGTCCAGGGCTAAAAATCTTTTATACCGTAAATAAATCTGATTTAGTTTCATCAGCTATGTTCAAAGATATTCTTTGCTCAAGGGAACCTTAGTGGGGAATACTGCTGTGGGTACAAGGTGGATTTCTGTCCGGAGCCTGTCACCAGTCCACCTTGACACCTGTGTAAATCAGTGTGATTCCACCTGCGGCTCGTGGGGTGGGGCGCTCAGATGAACACTCTGGGGAAGCTTTCTTTTTCTGACTACGTCTTTGTGCTCTCTGAACATCCATGCAGTGGGGGAAAGCCCTGCTCGCTCCACCTGAGGCTCTGCTTGTCTGCAGTCCAAAGTGATGGGCTTTTAGTTTTTGTTTTGTTAAAGATTTACTTATTTGAAAGGCAGAGTGACACAGTGACAAAGAGACAGATCTCAATCTTCTGGGTCACTTCCCTGATGGTTGCTACACCCGGGGCTTGGCCAGGCCTAAGCCAGGAGCTAGGAGCTCTATTTAGGCCTTCCACATAGGTGGTAGGAGCCCAGGTATTAGCGTCACCACATGCAGGAACCTGGATCAGAGGGATGGAGTAGCTGAGACTTGAACCAGGCACTCCGATGTGGGACGTGAGTGTGCCAAGTGTGCCAATCTGCTGTGCCACAATGCCTGTCCCCGACCCTGTTCTTTTAGGCAGGGCTCACAGGGTATATGAAGTACCCTGGTCCCTTCTCTCTCCTGTGTCACTTTAACTTCTAATTGAATCAATGCCAGGGAGTCAGAGCTCCGTACACTATTAGCCCCAGGACACAGAAGTGACAGTTCAAACGAAGCCTTGTAGCAGTGAAAGATACTAACTACGGATTTGGATAAAGGTAAGCTACGTGCCCTTCTGCCCCTGTATCCTCCCTCCCTGGCCCTGAAAATGTGCTTTGAAAAAGGAAAACGGGTAGTAAATCACAGACTGTCTTGGGAAAGCACAGGGGAGACTCAGAAATGGCTCCCCGTGGTTCTGAGAATGGATGGCAGTTTCCTGAACCTCATGCCAGGCATCTCTAGGACAAGCCAACTGGAAGATGAAACAGTGTCCCTGGAACACGGGTCAAGATACTGGGGACGCCATTTGTTCTGTGTTCAGTCCCCTTCGTCACTCTCATCACGCCCATCATTATTCAGTGCTTGAAACCAGGCTCCAAGAAACGGGGCTCCTGGTGCAGAACAGTGTTTCAGGTGTAGAAAAGGAGGCGCCAGGAGTCCACCTGCCCGCGTTTATTTGGAACCAGGGCATTGTACCTGCGATCAGCAAGAAGGGAGCCCAGGGGCTCCCTCGGCAGCAAGTTCCCCCATCAGAGCCGAGCCGGGGATGGGAGAACAACAGCCCCCTGCCCCAGACAGGGTTCTCCTCCACCCAGCAGGACCTCCCCGAGAAGCTACACCGCTTTAGCTCAGCATGTGGCACTTAACGAAAGTGAACCAAGGAAGGCAGCGTTAGGAAGACAAGAACCGGCTCATCACGATACCCACTCAGCCAACTGCTTTAGTGCTTCTTCATCTTCATCCGCTTTGGGAGCTTTGGGAACAAGGGTACCCGGAGAAAGAAAGGAGAAATGTTAAGGATGCAGCTAGCGGCTTCCATCCACCCTGTGCTACGACACGTATAAGCTGCTGGGTTATCTGTCCCCAGCCAAGAACCTGAAGGAAAGGTCCTCTTGCTTGCTCATTCCAATCACCACCTCTGTGCAAACTGGAAAAAGGTGCCACACAGCTCTAACCCAGGGCATACACAGCTTGCAGAATGGAGCCCAGGCTGGGTTCCGCCCCCATTCCCTGTAGGCTAGGTGCTTTTACACAGTCAGCCTGCGTCTCCCCATCTCCCCGTCTCTCCCATCCACCTCTCAAGTCCTGAGACAATAGAACAGGCCTGGGTACCTGTAGGCAGACGTGCAGAGGGAACACTAGGCAATTTGACCGGGGATTCTTCCTCCTTGTCGCCAACATTTAACAACTCCTGGGCCAACTCTTCCTGTTCAAGTTCCTCCAGTTCCTCCAACAGTTCATCCTGGATATGAGACAGTCAGACTGCTCAAGACAAAGAAAGGAGACTTCTACCTCCAAAGCGGACAACATTTGGAGCCCCCTCCCAAACCTGCCCCAGCAGCCTTTTTGGGACATTCCTTCTGGCCAGTCCCCTGCTTCCTCCAAAACTCTCTGACCCCTCACTCCTAATCACCTCATCCACGTCATCTCCAAAGCCCACAGGCCGAGAAATGGCATCTGAGATCTGCTGGGCCACCTCCTGTTGTTCTGTGATGTCCGCCATCAGTTCATCCACCTTGTCAATGTCCCTGAGAACAAGATACGCAGGCAAGAAGTGAAGCAACATCGCTCCTGACTCTCTCGTCTCAAGTGAGCGGAAACCCGTCTCGCCCGGGCCTCACAGAGCAGCCCATGGCTGTCCGTTAGAAGAGATCCCTGGAAACTTCTAAAGAGGCAAGTCTGGGTTGACAACAGCAAGTGTCCAGGTTGCACTTCTCTCCCCGAAGGATCTTTTAAGAGTGAAGGAACTCATCTTTCCTCCCTAGAGCACTCCAACCAGCAAAACGATCTTGCAGGACGCAAGGAGGCAGGCGGAGGTCTGGCCATCGTAAGCAGGATGGAAATCCACATTCAGAGGCTTGCAAGTTCAGAATACGTGCCGCCATCCCCAGTGCCTGGGCCCCCTCCTCCCCTCCCCCCGTACCCACATGTCCTGGTAGGCCTTCTTCATGCCGCGGGCAGCCAGCTCCATGGTCCGCAGCACTTCTGCGTTGGTGGTGGCATTCTCAATGGCCTCCCGCTGGAACTCCAGGGTGGACAGCGTCCCGTCAGTTTGCGCCAGCTGCTGCTCCAATCTCTTCTTCCTCCGCAAAGCCTGCAGGGCAGCTAAGCCAGCACGCACCCTGAACACCCCAGGCACAGGCACCTGCTTCCCACCCAGCCCCCGCCATCGGCTCCTTTCCCTCCTTACCTCTCTTATTCTTGGTCCCATGCTTCTTGGCCGTCTGCAGCTCCTGTTGAATCTTCTGCTCCAGAAACTCCTGCTTCTTGATCAGTATTTTCTCTGTTTCCTTCAGTTTCTGTATTGCTTCTTCAGGGGTTGGCCCCTTCTCCTTCTTCCCTGAAGAGTCCAGGGAGGCAGGCCCATATTGTGTGAAGGAAAAATATTAGCCATCAGCTACTGAATGCACAGTGGGCACTAGACATTTGACTGTGTTATTGTTATTCCCTAAATGATTTTCTACAATGAACGTACTATCTTCACTTTACAAATGTGAAAACAGGCACACAGATTTCAAAGTTCTGCCTAGGAGCCAGCACTGTGGTGTAGTGGATGAAGCCACCACCTGCGGCACCGGCATCCCATATGGATCCTAGTTTGAGTCCTGCCCCACTTCTGATCCAGCTCCCTGCTAATATGCCTGGGAGAGCAGCAGAGGATAGCCCAAGTGCTTAGGCCCCTGCACCCACGTGGGAGACCTGGAGGAAGCTCCTGGCTCCTGGCTTTGGACCGGACCAGCTCCAAACAGTGTGGCAACTTGGGGAGTGAACCAGCAAATAGAAGATTGTTCTCTCTCCAACTCTGCCTTTCAAATATATCTTTAAAAAAATCCCAACTTAAGAGATTGAGCAGACATGTAAATGTGGCAGCATGACTTCCAAAGTCAATGTCCTTTCTGCTATTAAAGCTGCCTCTTGTGTCCAGTCACTTTTTATAATCACTGTCCCAATTTACTGTCCTAAGAGATGCCCGAGGTCCCAATTTCACAGAATCAAACTGAATGCAGAATAAGGGGCTAGAGAAAAAAAAATCTGATATTTCAATTTCCCCCTTAATCTATATTTATTTTAGATTTTATTTATTTGGAAGTCAGAAACAGATGGGGCCAGCGCTGTGTCATAGTGGGTTAAAGCATCCTATATGGGCACCATTTCGAGTCCCAGATGTTCCACTTGTGATCCAGTTCCCTGCTAATGCGCCTGGGAAAGCAGTGGAGGATGGCCCAAGTCCTTGGGCCCCCCACATGAGAGACTGGGAAGAAATGCCTGGCTCCTGGCTTCAGATTGGCTCAGCTCCACTTGTTGCAGCCATTTGGGGGGTGACCAGTGATGGAAGACACCCCCCCTCCCCCACCTCTACCTCTCCCTGTAACTCTTTCAAATAAATAAAATCTTAAAAAAAAAAAAAAAAAGAAAAGAAAAGAAAAGAAAAAAGAAAAAGAAAGAAACACAGAGAGAGAGAGAGATCAATCTTCCATTTGTTGGTTGACTCCCCAAATGGCTGCAACAGCCAGGGATGGGCCAGGCCAAAGACAGGAAGCTAAGTACTTCTTCCAGGGGCCCAAATATTTGGATCATCTTCTACTGCTTTTTCAGGTGCATTTGCAGGGAGCTGGACTAGAAGTGGAGTAGCCAGGACTCAAACCCGCACTGCAGGCAGAGGCTTAACCTAGTTCGTCACAGCACTGGCCCCTATTTCTTTTCTTTTTTTAAAAAATTATTTATTTACTTGGAGAATTACAGACAGAGGAGAGACAGATTGTCTATCCACTGGTTCACTTCCCAGATGGCTGCTATGGCCAGGGATGGACCAGGCCAAAGCCAGGAGCCTCTTTCAGGTCTCCCACATGGATGGCAGGGACCCAAGCACTAGGACCATCTTCTGCTGGTTTTCTCAAGGCACTATCAGGGAGTTGGATCAGAAGTGGAGTAGCTGAGACTGGAACCTGCACCCTTGTGGGATTACAACATTGGAGACAGTGGCTTTACAGGCTATGCCACAATGGTGGCCCCAAAATACTTAAAAAAATTTATTCCAATATTATTTAAGAAAAAAAATAAGTTTGGGGCCAGCATCATGGTGTAATAGGGTAAGCTACAACCTACAATGCCGGTTCAAGTCCTGGCTGCTCCACTTCCAATCCAGCTTCCTGTTAATGTGTCTGGGAAACCAGCAGGGGATGGTCCAAATGCTTGGGCCCCTGCCACCCATGTGGGAGACCCAGATGAAGCTTGTAGCTCCTGACTTTGGCCTGGCCAAACTCTGTCTGTTGCAGCCATTTGGGGGAATGAACTAGCAGATAGAAGCTCTCTCTCACTCTCTCTCTCTCTCTCTCTCTCCTGTCTGTCCCTTGCTCTGTTACTCTTTCAAATAAAGAAATCTTTAAAAAAAATTTTTTCAATTCCTTTTTCTTCTTTGAGACATAGAGAGAGATCAAGATCTCCAGCCACTGGTTCAGTCCCCAAATACGCACCACAGCCGGGGCTGGGTCAGGCCAATGCCCGGAGTGGGGAACTCAATCTGGGTCTTCCACATGGGTGGCAGGGACCTAAGCACTTGAGCTGTCACCTGTTGCCTCCCAGGGAGCACATTAGCAAGGAGTTGAATTTGGAAGCAGAGCCAGGACTCCAACCAACCCAGGTACTCCAACATGGGATGTACACATCCCAAGTGGGGTCTTGAACACTGCTTTGTCAAATGCCTGCACCTCCTCTATACTTCCAACTGTCATTTTCCCACATACAAATCTGATGGTCTTTGTTTGCTTTACACCCTTCCGTACTCCCTGCTGCCTCCATGACAAAAACCCAAATCTTTCTAGATGCAAGGTCCTTCGTGGTCTGGTCCTTGTTTGACTTCCTGTCTACACCTGTGTATTGTCTCTCTCTTGTTCCGAACTACACTGTCCTGCTTTTCTTTCTTAAAGGCTGCTACTGCTTCCCGGAGTTCCTCAGCGCTCCCGGGCCAAGCCTTCTGGAACCCCGCCCTCAACGCCTAGGTCTGCACCCTCCCGGCTTTTAGGAGCGCTCCATCACCGAGCGGCTGCACCAACTGTAAAAGCCTCTTCTCCGGTCTTCCCCCACCACAGAGGAGCTTCGGGAAGTCTTTCTCGTCCCCATGCAAACCCCTCTAGCCCAGCCCAAAGCAGCCATGTGCGTTTTGGAGAGGCCTGGAGGAGGCGAGCTCCAAGCCTGTCCGGCGGGAGCCCGCCCGCCCGGCCGCCACGCCCCCGCACTCATCCCCCGCCGGGCTCCAGCGCTCGGTTCCCGCAGCTGGGAAGGCTCGCGGGCGCCCCGACAAGCCGGGGCCTCCCGGCACCGAGGCGCGCCTCACCCGGCGCTCTCGGGCCCGCCTGCCTCCGGGGTCCCCCCACCCCACCCCGCTCCGGCCCCTCGCCCGGGCTCACCCCTCCCGAAGAGTCTGCCGAGCCCACTCATGGCGACCTCGCCTCTCCCCTCCGCCCCTCGGCGCTCCCACACTTCCGCCTTGCTCCTGGCAGGCCGAGTCTCCTCGCCCGGAGCCGGCCCGGGCCAATCCCTCCTCCGGGCGCGCCGCGACATCATCAGCACGCGCCCGCGGGCCCGCCGCCGTCGCGGGCCCAGCCGCCGCTCCATTAGCTTCGGCGTCGAAACAGCCGCCGGCCCCCCACGCCCACCTCCACCCCGGCGTGTTTGTGCCCTGGAAGGCCATGACCGGGGACAGGGCTAGTGGCAGAGTTCTTCGCGCCCTCCACGGGGCTCGGGGGCCAGGCGGCACAGCCTCGGGCTGTCCCAGCTTATATGGCGGACGCTGATGACGCATCTCTCGCACGCGGGTCTGGGCGCCTCAGAACAGCCGACCCGGGTTCGCACAGGCTGGAAACACAGATCTCTTCCGTCACACACAGATGACACTTTAATACGCTACAAATGCACCAGAAAACGCCTTGCTGATTCCCTTTCAGAGTTGGGCCTCTGCTGAGGCTTATCCGCAGGGCTGGATCTCAGGGCCCAGCGTGGGCCTTTGCGAACGTCTCTAACCCCTGAGTTAGGGTTTGCAGATTCATTCCATTCTGGACGTGAATGCAGGTTACACCTAGAAGGAAAGGGAAGGAAATCACAGGTCACCCGGCTCCCGGGGCTTCCACGGTGGGCATCCACTGCCGGGCACTACCACCCGACCCTCCTGGGAGCCAGTCCTTTCTCCCACCCCCCGTGGCCGTCCTCACCACTCAGTACCCAGTTGGCCGACGTCTACGATGTTCCGCTTCTCGTCATCAAAGAAGATCATCTGGGAGAAAGGAAGCCCGGTCTTGTGACGCAGCCTGTGTGACAGAACAGGTGTGATCGGGCTGGCCTCCCGGCTCCCCCAGCCTCTCTGCTCGGCTCCCACCCTTATCTCCGCACACCTCTCGAAGTGGGTGACCTTGCTGCCTGGATAGATTTCTCGATGACAGAAGTATCTGACAAGGTCGAAGAGCTCCAGTAGTTGGTTGGCCCCGTCTATCTCACCTGTCCTGCAAAAAGGTGCAACAGACAGGACCTGGAGGGTGGGCAGGGCTGCGAGCGAAGTTAACTTTAACCAGAGGGAAGTCAGTGGGCTTTTTCCAGGATGGGAAGGCATCCTTGGTTCTTATCAACTTCATAGTCTTCCTGTTTGACACAGCTGGTGCACAGCCAAGGTTTATTTAATTAAGAGGCACAAGACAGGGGTCAGCACTGTGGCACAGTGGGCTAAGCCTCTGCCTGCGGCGCCTGCAATCCATATGGGCACCGGTTGGTGTTCCGGCTTCTCTTCCGATCCAGTTCTCCGCTATGGCCTAGGGAAGCAGTGGAAGATGGCCCAAGTCTTTGGGCCCCTGCACCCGCATGTGAGACCTGGAAGAAGCTCCTGGCTCCGGATCGGCACAGCTCCAGCCGGTTGCGGCCATCTGGGGAGTGAACCAACGGATGGAAGGACTTTCTGTCTCTCCCTCTGTCTGTAACTCTACCTCTCAAATAAATAGCTACATCTTAAAAAAAAAAAAAAAAAAAAGGCACAAGACAGGACACAAGTAGGTAAGACAGGCAAATCCCTGCAAATGTGCACGACACGGTCAGCTTTTGTCAGCCGTTCTTACCGTGAAGCGGCCGCGATGGGCACCCCAAGGCCCCGCAGTCGCTCCAGGACCTCAGGCACCTCGGGGTACAGCCGGACGTTCTGGCCCCGCCTATCGCGTACGGTCCCGTCGCTGCAGAGGGCGAGACGGCGCTCAGCTCGGGCCGGCCGCGCCGCGCCCGGGCTCCCTAGCCCTGCCTCACCTGCCCTTGTGGAACGGAGGGTCGACGTGCGTGTCGACCCAGAAAGGCCAGAGCGTGTAATCTGCGAGAAGAAGGAGGAAGGGGAAGGTTCAGGGTCTCCGGGACTCGGCAGCGGCCGCTAGGGCGTGAGGAAGGAGCGCGCCCTGCGAGTCTCGCCCCCCGCGGTCCCTCACCCAGATCGAAGACTGCGAGCTTCGGGAGCCGCGCCATGACCGCTGCCCGCAGGCTGCGGGGCTGAGCTGGAGCTTTCTGCAGGGCCCGAGAGCCCCGCCACGCTCGGGGGGCTGAAGAGGCGACCCGGCTTGCCACGGAGAAGCGGCTGCTAGAGCGTCGTCACGCCGTACCGGTGGTCCGCGGGCCGACCGCGCAAGAGCGCCATCTGCTGCTAGCGAGGGGAAAGGCCCTCCGCGAGGTACAAGGCGGCCGCGTGCCCAGGCCCGGCTCCGGTCTCTGCACGGCTCTGGTCGCTCCACCCAGCCTGGCCAGATTCTGCTGAAGCAGAGAAGCCAGGAAAGGCAGGCTTTTCTCCTAGCACCTCTCATTTACCAACTGAGACCTAAGTGATCCGTCAGTTTTCATTCCTCATTCACTTTTCTCCGTATCCGCCCGAGAGCTGCACCGAGTCCTCAACAAGGCTCCAGCCGCAGAGAGTGCGGAGTCTGAAACCCCAGCCAGGCGGAAATGTCCAGTAGGGCCACCGCGGAGAGAATTCACTGTCCTGCTCTCTGTCACCCAGTGTCTGCGGCATGCCGGGGGATGGCTAACCACCGGTCTGGGGTGGTGGAAGTGATTTGTAGTATTTACCCATTGCTGTACGTACATGTTCCTGTAGAGCCAAGTTCAAGCTACTGATGCAGCCACTTACAGGGAATTGCGATGATGCCAGTAACTGGCTCTCATGAGTGGGTAATCACTTCTGAGCAACAGAATACGCTTTTCCTAGAGTGTGAGGGAATCTAAGGTATCACCATTTCGACTGTCTGCTCCTTCAGCTTGGTACGACTCAGTGAGCACTGGGTCCACTATGATTTCAGTGATATTTGTGCAACACAAGGAAGATTCCAGAAGGCAAGGGAATATTTTATTGACAACCAGGGACATAGCCATAAGAGAGGGAAGCACACAGGACTGCAAACTAAAACCCAACTGCCAGCAAGGGCCCTTTGGGCCAGGAACACTGCATCCTGGGGCCCTCACAGTCTCCCACCAGTAGACACACAAGACTGGGCATCCAGGGGACAGGGCAGTGGCTCTGGTGTCCCAGAGAGTGACAGAATATATGATGCTTCATTATGAGCGACAGGGTAAGGAGGTAAAATGGAGGAAGGGTCCATCACTGCCTAAGACCACCTCCTCCTCTCAGAGCCAACACCAGGTGGAGGACTGACCCACCAAGGATCTTGTAATCTGCTGCTGTCTTCTCATCATTCCTGCAGTACAAGGAGGTCCCCAAAAAACAAAACAAAGCAAGCATTAGAAATATCATCTGGAACAGGAGCTCTCAACTTCGGTTGCATAGATCTCTTGAGGGGCAGGTCTATGGACTTGCATGATAAAAAATTCCATCTTAATTTTTACTAACCCTTAATTGAAATTTAGGATTTCTTCATTTTAAATATAGATAAAACCCCAAAGTGTTATTAGCAAGATGAGGGACTTCCTGTGGCAGTTATTAGCCCGACCATTAGAAATTATTTAACGTATGAATAAAGCAGCACAAACTTGGATAATAGTATTTCAATGAGTTTCCTTCAAATTTCTGTTTTATCTTATGGGTAGAAAAAAAACTTATTCCGAGAAGGCGTTGACAGGCCAAAGGGCCCAAGGCACCAAAAAAAGAGGCAGGCCTGATTTACCCCAGTACCTGGCCCCTCCTAGTCTTCGCCTGACAATGTCATGCTCTCATTCTCCCATGACTCACATCTGTTTGCCACTGTAGATGAGCCGCTGCTGTTGGGGGGGGATGCCCTCTTTCTCCTCCACACGCTCCTTGATTCGCTCCACCTGCAGAGGGATAAGTAGTCAGGGACCGTCCAGGAGCAGGCCCGTGGAAGGAGTAAGGGCTACAAAGATACAATGAGGGTAAAAGGACCAAGTTCATAAGCACACTCAAACAAGTGCACACAGCAAGGAAGAGGCACTGGCATACATCACCTTGTCTGTGGGTTCAATGTCAATTTCAATCTCCTTTCCAGTCAGCGTCTGAAACAGGCAAAGGTTATTGTATATTATACAATTTGTCTTAGGTAGAACAACTTGACCGGCTTCAGGGAGCTGTCATCTTCTGAGAGATGCACACACACAGCACTGCTGCTTTGTGTTTCAGAAGACTGATTAGACCTGTACTCATCAAACATTTTCACACTGTGGACAATTCTGTTAGGTCACCTGCCCCTCCACCGCCCGCACCCAATCAGTGAGAATACTGGCAAGCTTTTGGATGATGTAGCAATGAGAGGGATCCTAAGGAACACACTCCTTCAAGTCATGAGAAAGACCGTGTTCTATTATGACTATCCATGTTAGAAATCAGCAGATAATCCAGCTAATTCCAGGCCATGTCAGAAATCACCTCTGACCAATTCTTAGGAATTCCACATTTCATGCTCCCATTTCTTCTCCAGACTTCTACCTAAATTCTACACTGCAGGGCTGACTTCTAACATAGGCAAAGGGCTGCTGATAGCCAAATATGACAATTATACTAATTGTACAGTTAAAAATGTCATGTTCCATCCATCTTGAAGCTCTATCCAGGGGCCGGCTTTGTGGTACAGTGGGTTAGGCTGCCGCCTGCCCCAGCTGCTCCATTTCTGATCCCGCTCCCTGCCAATGTGCCTGCGAAAGCAGCAGAAGATGGTTCAAGTCCTTAGGCTCCTGCACCCACTTGGTAGACCCAGATGGAGTTCCAGGCTCCTGGCTTCCTCCTGGCTCAGCCCCAGCCATTGTGGCCATTTGGGGAGTGAATCGGGATGGAAGACCTCTACCTACTCCCCAGCCCCTGTAACTGTACCTTTCAAATGAATAAATAAATCCTTAATTAATTAATTTGAAAGTCAGAGTTACATAGAGAGAGGAGAGGCAGAGAGAGAGGGAGGTGTCTTCCATCCAATGGTTCACTCCCCAATTGGCCACAATGGCCGGAGCTGCGCCGATCTGAAGCCAGGAGCCAGGAGCCTCTTCTGGATCTCCCACACAGGTGCAGGGGCCCAAGGATTTGGGCCATCCTCCACTACCTTCCCAGGCCATAATAGAGAGCTGCATCGGAAGTGCAGCAGCCAGGACCCAAACTGGCACCCATATGGGATGCTGGCACTCCAGGCCAGGGCATTAACCCTCTGCACCACAGTGCCAGCCCCAATCCTTAATTTTTTTTTTTTTTTTTTTAAAAAAAAGCTCTATCATCTTTAGTGATCCAAACCACAAATACACCATGCTCAGTCTAACTTCAGTCTAACTTACAGGCATTTCTTCTAATGTTTTTCTTGTCACCATGCCCTCCTCCACTCCTTCTCCAAGCCTTAAGAACCCTTTGTAAGATCTCCTGCAGAATGCCCAGACTTGTTCCAAATGCACTTTATCAACAACTACAGCTAGTCAAGTGTTAAACTCTCCAACTTACAATCCAGCTTTCTAAAGGCCAGAGACCACTGGATTCATCTTCATAATCCAATCACAAAAAGCACAGTGTTTGACATATAAGCAGTCAATATTCTGGAAGAGCTAAATACACTGACCGTCATGATATAGTTACAGCCAACATTTTTAAAGTTTTGTTTGTTTGTTTGTTTCTTGAGAGGCAGAGTTAGACAGTGAGAGAGAGAGAAAGGTCTTCCCTTCCATTGGTTCACTCCCCAAACGGCCGCTTTGGCCAGCTCTGCACTGATCCAAAGCCAGGAGCCTCCTCCTGGTCTCCCATGCGGGTGCAGGGCCCAAGCACCTGGGCCATCCTCCACTGCACTCCCAGGCCACAGCAGAGAGCTGGCCTGGAAGAGGAGCAACCGGGACAGAATCCGGCGCCCTGACCGGGACTAGAACCCGGGGTGCTGACGCCACAGTCGGAGGATTAGCCTAGTAAGCTGTGGCGCCGGCCTATTTGTTTGTTTTTTTGTGAGACAAATGAAGAGAGATCTTTCATCTGCTGGCTCACTTCCCACTCACAGCCAAGGCAGGGCTGAGCCAAAGCCAGGAGGCCAGACCTCAATCCTGGTCTCCACTCGGGTTGCAGGTACCCAAGTATTACACCATTTGCTGCCTCCCAGCTTGTACTAGCAGGAAGCCAGATCACCAGTGAGTACCCAGCATGGGAACCAGGCACTCTGATTTGGGATGCAGGTGGCTCAAGTAGAGATGTAACTGCTACATCAAATGCCAGCACCTCCTCCCAAGTATTTATTACTGTTCCCATTTTATAGGTGAGGAAAATAGCTCTTGGGCAGGTTATAAAGCATGCCTATGAAGTCAAAGTGGAGAGAGGTTCCAAACACAGACTTCCTAGCCCCAGAGCCTACACTCTGAGCTCTGTACTCTGCTGAGTCTAGGGTCTAGTACTGGGACCCAGTATAGACTCTTGCAGTAGCTCACAAAATATCATGATTTCTACCGATGAGATTCACACAGACCATCATGAAGAAAGGATTAAAACATTTCTCAGCAGGGCTGGCACTGTGGCGTAGAAGGTTAAGCCTCTAGGGGCCCGCTGCTGTGGCACAGGTTAATCCTAGCCTGCAGTGCCAGCATCCCAAATGGGCGCTGGTTCTAGTCCCAGCTGCTCCTCTTCTGATCTAGCTCCCTGCTATGGCCTTGGAAAGCAGTAGAAGATGGTTCAAGTCTTGGGCCCCTGAACCCACGTGGGAGACCTGGAAGAACCTCCTGGCTCCTGACTGGCTCAGCTCCAGCCACTGCAGCCATTTGGGGAGTGAACCAGTGGAAAGAAGACCTTTCTGTCTCTCCCTCTCACTGTCTGTAACTCTACCTTTCAAATAAATAAGTAAATAAAAAAATAAGAAGGTTAAAACCCTGCCTGCACTGCCAATATCCCATATGGGTGCTGATTCAAGTCATGGCTGCTCCACTTCCAATCTTGCTCCCTGCTAATGTGCCTGGGAAAGCAGTAGAAGATGGTCCAAGTACTTGGGCCCCTACACCCACATGGGAGACAGGCAAGCAGCTCTTGGCTTTAGCCTGGCCCAACCCCAACTGTTGTGGCCACTTGGAGAGTGCACTAGCAGATGGAAGATCTCTCTGTAACTCTGCCTTTCAAATAAATAAATTTTGAAAAAAAAAAAAAAAGAATTAAAAAATAAAAACATTTCTCAGCTACAAAAATGATTCACTCCTAGTATATTTCCAAAAATGCAAAAACAATACCTTTGTATTTACCTATTTGGATGCAAATCAATAAAAAATCACAATATGATTCTCAGGTTTCTATCCTAATCCATGCTGGTCTGTGTGAAGATTTTCACTAGTCTTTGGTAAAATGAGAAAAATAATAACAGAGATTTTCATAAAACTAAATGGTATCTTTTTACAAAATGACAGTGATACTATGTAGTATTTTATTTTTTAAAAGATTTCTTTATTTGAAAGGCAAAGTTAGAGGCAGAGAGAGTAAGAGAAAGAGGGATAGATTTTCCATCCACTGGTTCACTCCCCCATTGGCCGCAATGGTTGGAGCTAGGCCAAACTGAAGCCAGGGGCCAAGAGATTCTTCCGGGTCTCCCATGCGGGTGCAGGGGCCCAAGGACTTGAACCATCTTCTACTGCTTTCCCAGGCCATAGCAGAGGACTGAATCAAAAGTGAAGCAGCCAGGACTTGAACCGGGGCCCATGTGGGATGCCAGCACTGCAGGCCAGGGCTTTAACCTGCTGTGCCACAGTGCTGGCCCCTATATAGTAATTTTTTAAGGCCCTTGCCTGACAAAAAAAAGTTTACAATTCTGAGCTGTCCAAAGACTTTTCAACCAGGCATTTACATTTGTAACTTGGAGGGAAAACTTGGGCATATGTCCAAAGAGGCACATATGAGGTTTACTGTAGCATGTAGCAGCATTTGTAAAAGCAAAACACTAGAAATAGCTGAGTAATTACCATTAACAAGAACATTATTAGGCTATGTTGCATCCATAGAGTAAAATATTACACAACAGTTTATTCACTGATAAAGAAAGATCTAAGAATGTATAAATGTATAGATCTAAGAATGTGTAAATGGGGCAGGGCTGTGGTTTTGTGGGTTAAGCCACTGTCGCAGTGCCAGCATCCCATGTGAGTGCCGGTTCAGGTCCCAGGTGCTCTACTTCCTCCAGTCTCGCTCCCTACTACTGCACCTGGCAAAGCAGCAGAGGATGACCCAAGTGGTTGGGCCTTTGTGCCCATGTGGGAGACCCAGATGAAGCTCCTGGCTTCAGCCCAGCCTAGCCCCAGCCATTGCGGCCATTTGGAGTATGAACCAAGGGATGGAAGATCTCTCTCCTTTCTCTGTCTCTCCCTCTTTTCCTGTTACTCTAGACTTTCAAATAAGTAAATAAAGCTTAAAAAAAATAAAATGTATAATTATATCTAATTCTACATAAACACACATATATGCACAGAAATAAGAATTTAAAATATGAACATCTCATAATAATACTGATTATCTTTAAGAAGGGAGGCCGGCGCCGCAGCTCACTAGGCTAATCCTCCGCCTTGCGGCGCTGGCACACCGGGTTCTAGTCCCGGTTGGGGCGCCAGATTCTGTCCCGGTTGCCCCTCTTCCAGGCCAGCTCTCTGCTGTGGCCAGGGAAGTGCAGTGGAGGATGGCCCAAGCACTTGGGCCCTGCACCCCATGGGAGACCAGGATAAGTACCTGGCTCCTGCCATCGGATCAGCGCGGTGCGCCGGCCAACCAATAGCAAAGGAAGACCTTTCTCTCTGTCTCTCTCTCTGTCCACTCTGCCTATCAAAATAAAAAAAAAAAAAAAAAGAAGAAGAAGGGGAATAGGGCTGAGGGGAGACTATATCAATAGCAACTGCCCCTTTATCTGTACTATTAAAAATTTTTTACAAAAACATTCCTTTACCACATGAATCATAATATTCATTTTGATTTGATAATAAAAAATTAGTAAAAAAGTTTCTAAAAGGCAGCTTAGAGCTGCTCTCCCAAGAGTATGATGCTTGGATTTTATGACATTAAAAAATTATTGGCTTATAAAATCTAAAAAGGGTGCTTTGTTTCAAAAATTGACTGTGGAAGTCCATGGGTGCTTCCAGAGAGCAATCTGACAATATGGTGTCCCAGCAACAACACTTCTAACAATCACGATAATATCCCAAAATAGACCTACAAGGGCAGGCATTTGGCACAGTGGTTAAAACACCTGCATCCCATGGCCGGCGCCGCGGCTCACTAGGCTAATCCTCTGCCTCGCAGCGCCGGCACACCGGGTTCTAGTCCCGGTCGGGGCGCCAGATTCTGTCCCGGTTGCCCCTCTTCCAGGCCAGCTCTCTGCTGTGGCCAGGGAGTGCAGTGGAGGATGGCCCAAGTCCTTGGGCCCTGCACCCCATGGGAGACCAGGAGAAGCACCTGGCTCCTGCCATCGGATCAGTGCGGTACGCTGGCCGCTGTGGCCAGCGGCCATTGGAGGGTGAACCAACGGCAAAGGAAGACCTTTCTCTCTGTCTCTCTCTCTCACTGTCCACTCTGCCTGTCAAAAAATAAATAAATAAAATAAAGGCTGCAACTATACACTTATCTTAAAAAAAAAAAAAAAAGACACCTGCATCCCATATCAGAGTGTCTGGATTTGAAGCCCAGCTCTGGCTTCTGACTCCAGCTTCCTGCTAATGTGCACCATGGGAGACCACAAGGATAACTCCAGTGGTTGAGTTCCTGCTGCACACAAGGCAGACCTGTTACTGAGTTCCCTGCTTCCAGCTTTGGTCCAGCTCAGAATTGGCCACCTGGAGACTTAACCAGTGGTAGGAGCACTGTCTCCTTTTCTGCCTCTCAAATAAAAGGGAAAAAAGTACCTATAGTCATCGCAGTCTTTTGATGCTGAAAAATTAGAGACAATCTAAGTAGCAAACAATTGGAGGTTAAATAAGTTATGGTGTAATCACAGGAGAAAATTACACAATCCTCAATGTTTAGAGTTAATAATTATTTGCAATATATTAACGATATACTGCCGGCGCCGCGGCTCACTAGGCTAATCCTCCACCTTGCGGCGCCGGCACACCGGGTTCTAGTCCCGGTTGGGGCACCGGATTCTGTCCCGGTTGCCCCTCTTCCAGGCCAGCTCTCTGCTGTGGCCTGGGAGTGCAGTGGAGGATGGCCCAAGTCCTTGGGCCCTGCACCCCATGGGAGACCAGGAGAAGCACCTGGCTCCTGGCTCCTGACTTCGGATAGGCGTGGTGCGCTGGCTGCAGCGGCCATTGGAGGGTGAACCAACGGCAAAAGGAAGACCTTTCTCTCTCTCTCTCTCTCACTGTCCACTCTGCCTGTTAAAAACACACACACACACACACACACACACACAATATACTGTAATTTGGGGCCGGCGTATGTCACAGTGGGTTAATGCCCTGGCCTGAAGCGCTGGCATCCCATATAGGCGCCGGTTCTAGTCCCAGCTGCTCCTCTTCCGATCCAGCTCTCTGCTATGGCCTGGGAAAGGAATAGAAGATGGCCCAAGTCCTTGGGCCCCTGCACCTGCACAGGAGACCCGGAAGAAGCTCCTGGATCCTGGCTTCAGATTGGCGCAGCTCCAGCTGTTGCAGCCAATTGGGGAGTGAACCATCGGATGGAAGACCTCTCTCTCTCTCTGCCTCTCCTCTCTCTGTCTAACTCTGACTTTCAAATAAATAAATAAATCTTTAAATATATATATATATACTGTAAATTTAAAAGAAAGCAAGTTATAGTACACACAGTATAATCCCAGTTTCATGCAAACAATAACAGACATGTGCACTTACATGCTTTCAAAGCCTGTAAGGAGACACGGAGATACACAGACACAGGCACGCGTGCGCACACACACACACACACACACGAACATATCTATACAAACATCAGTGATTTTATCTTGAGGAAAAGCAGCTTAAGGAAGACCTGTACACTATGGTTTCGTACACCACATCTTGGTCTAGACTGTACACTTTAGAGAAAGTATACTATTAGGAAAACCCAGCTGGAGGTGTAACAGAGAAGTTAAGACATGAATTAATGAGCCCCTAGATCACAATGTTAACGAGTAATGAGGATGTAAAGGAAAATCAAGTAGAAAGAGGTGTCACATAAAAACTAGTTCCTATAACAGAGCAATGACTCTTATTAAGAACTGTGCTGCAGATACCTGGCAGGTTGATGTGACCAGCATGAGATGGGTTTCAAGAAGATGGCTTACGACAGAAGATGAGGCACTTCATTGTAGACCCCAAAGGTGAGGTGACAAGAAAATATTTAAGTTAGGAAGGATTACAAAAGATACGGATTACAGAGGATTACAGAAAGATACAGAAGTCAGTTACAGAGACAAGAGCTGAAAAACGACTGATTTATAAAGGAACTCTAATAAAACCTATCATCTATATAGCAGCTAATCGACTGCTTTCATATATATTTAATATATAAAGAAATGCAGCAACAATAAAGCAAGAGATGGAGGACAGAGATCTGCTTGAAGGCAGAGAGTACTGCAGGAAAGGAGACAGGCAATTTTCCTTAGAACTACATCAAAACGGATTAAAAGGGGCAAAACGTAGTGCTAGTCAAAGGACAGCATCAGCATCTCCTGGGAGCACAACTGCTAAAAACGGAGCCCAAGACGGAGCCTCTCTTGCCCCCTCCACCCCCACTTCCACCCCCGACCCAGGATCAGAATCGGCATCTTAGCGAGACCCCAGGTTTTCCCACACACTCCAAAGTTTGAGAAAGTCCCCCTGGAGTTAACATGTCGGTAGGTTATGAAGTCAACTGAGAATAGAACGGAGAACCAGAGTGGCTCTCACACAGTAAGCTTTCTTGGTATAAGGATCACGAGTTAAAATGTGGGTTGAAGCTTTAAAGAAACACTTAACACAAGAATAATAGGTGCTGGCCTGTTAAGCTGTGGTCTGCTACACCGGCATCCCATATGAGCACTGTCTGGAGTCCTGGCTGCTCCACTTCTCATCCAGCTCTCTGCTAATGACCTGGAAAAGCAGCGGAGGATGGTCCAAGTGCTTGGGCCTCTGCACCCACGTGGGAGACCTGGATGAAGCTCCTGGCTCTCGGCTTCAGCCTAGCCCAGCCCTGGCCATTGCAGCCGTTTGAGGAACCAGCAGGATCTCTTTCTCCCTGTCTCTCCTTCTCTCTCTGTAACTCTGCCTTTCAATTTTCTAAATCTTCTAAAAAAAAGAATAATAATAACCTCTTCTTTGGACTAAGAAGACATGAGAGACCATAAACACCGAAAAGATAATAAAAGCATTAACCGGTGCTTCTCAAAATTCTGACAATGAACCACACTAAAGAATACAGCTGAATTAGCAACACCTATGTGTGTATAAATTCATATAAAATGAAAGAAATTTCTCAAAGCAGTACCCTTACCCAGAGGTATGCCCTAATATTTTCTATTTTTAGAAAATGTTGCTTGCAATTAGGGTCATTACACTGGTTTCAGGTTGCTATTAAAGGAATAAAAAACAACGACCTTCAATATGCTGTTGGTCTCAACCCTCAGCTAAGGAACGTCTAGGAGGCAGGGACATATGCTGAACTGATGAAATTATGATCGACTCAGCTATAAAAAGGCCAATCTGGTGTTGGACTGCATCAATCGTCAGTGGTTTTGTCTCTCTCTAAAGAGGAAAGAGCATCTAGGACTAATCAGGTTTGGAAACTGGGGAAGAATCACGAGAGGCTGAGACAGGGGATGAAGGAGATGAGGTTAGTACCAAAGACTAGGGCACCGGTAACTAACCTGCCTCAGTCAAGGAGTGAGGCTGCTCCATGTGCCCGGCTTTGGTTCCTGCAGGATGGCTGAGATACACCTTGGCAAAGGCTCATAGTCTAGCCCCGGAGATCCCCTGGGTCCCCCAGGCTAGCTGTGCTGGGAGAGGCAGGTAACCTGGGCATGAAGAACAGAGAGCCGAGCTTATTCCAGGGTCCGACAGACGGGAGAGTCAGCCTGCTGCTGGCCTTTCTCTACGACTGCGGGGGTCGAGTACGGGGAGACCTTGGACAAAAGCGGCCTCCTTCTGGGTTATGGGACAGTTCTGACGAGAAAGCAGGGACCCCCAGGGCCGTCAGATCGCGACAGGCCCAGCTCTCCAAGCCCTCCGGAGTCCCCCTAGTTCCCATAACCCCTCGCGCGCAACCCCGAGACTGTCAGCGCCCTCCAGGCACGGGAAAGGCGTGGTTTTTCTTCCCCGCTTCTCCCTAAGGCCCAGCGGCCAGCCCAGTACCACTGCGTCTTGGCAAGGCTGGAGGTGCTCCCACCTTCACTTTAATTAGCATCTTCTTCCCAGTTTGGGGCTGCACACGGATAAACTGCTGCTGCTACCGCTGCGGTCGCTGCTGCCACTCCCCGGCAATCCTCCTGTAGGAGTCACTTCTGCTTCCGGGTCACTGCCTGGCTCCACCCACTCCCCCCCTTCTTTCCTAGGGGTTCCCAAAAGGCTCAAGAATGCTCTCGCGTTTCGCTTCAGTGGCGTCGTAAATAAAAGAAGGCAGGCAGCTTGGTTACTGCAGAGATGACGCCTCCGCGAATCTGAGAGTTCCCAGCGAGCTTGGGCTAGCGGAAAGCTGGGGGCGGCACGAACTACCACTCCCATCATGCCCAGGGGCAGCCCACCGTTCCACTCTGGGAGTTGTAGTCCCCCGCCCCGCGGGTCCAACGGCGGCCTCGCTGTGCGAACTCTGTTACCCAGGAGGCCGCGCGTCCGCCGCCGAAGCTGGAATTCCTCGGTCAGTGGTTCTCGCCGTCAATTAGCGAAACCTGCTGGCTTGCCCACAAGGCTCCGCGGGGTCGCACGAGGCTAGTTGCTAAGCAGGGGGAACCTTTGGTCAACTGCCACCTGGGCCAAGGCAACAGGAAGTAAGTACCCCTATTCCGGAAGCGGGCGAGCCTCTTACTCCTAACTGCTGTTTGCAGGGGGCGGGAAAAGGAAGAGTAGTGGGCTAAGGAACGCACCCTCAGGATCGCTCACAACTCCTTCCCACTTCTTCCCCCCGGCGATCAGTTCCTGGAATGGAGACCGCGAGAGCCATCGCAGCCACGGGACGGGATGGGTCTGGCCGACAGGCCTCAGGGATCACACCTCGATCTAAACAAACTTAAGCGAGGAAAGAAATGGACCCTGCCGCCAGCCCCGACGGGGCGACGCGTTAGGTCCTTTGTGACTTTTCCTACCGTTCAGTCCTCAGAGTCGTTGCTACCCCGAGGACTCCGCCATGCCTCACATCGACAACGATGTGAAACTGGACTTCAAGGATGTCCTGTTGAGGCCCAAACGCAGCACCCTTAAGTCTCGAAGCGAGGTGAGCCGGCGTTTGTGCTTGCTCTTTCTTGACCCCAAGCTCAAGAAAACTGCCTGACATTTGTCGGAATGCCAGACATTTTGTTTGTTTTTGAGGCATGAAATGCTCAGTTTTCCGTTCATATTTTGCAGGTGGATCTCACAAGATCCTTTTCCTTTCGGAACTCAAAGCAGATGTACACTGGAGTCCCCATCATCGCGGCCAATATGGATACCGTGGGCACCTTTGAGATGGCCAAGGTTCTCTGTAAGGTAGGACTTTCCTTAAGCCTCCCCCGAATCCTGTCCGGTTAGCCCGTTAGCTGCAGGTATGTTTGCAGCCCCACCCACATCCCCAGTCAGCCCTCTGGCAATTAACAGGATGCTCCGTTTACTATTGTCTCTAGTGCTAAGGCTCTTTGATCTGACAAGCTCAAATAACTACCTGAAGTATGAGGTTCAAAGCCAAGTTTTGCCCTCAATTTTTTGGTATATGAACAGAATGTCCCCTTTGTTTTCCTGTCTAGCAGTGTATGCACCTTGCAGGCTTTCCCCACCAATCAGGTCAGCCCTTTCCAGTCACACAAATCCCTCCAGTTTCACCGCTGTTCACAACATCAAGTATTCAGTTAGTCCAGAAGCTAAAATAATTTGAGCGTTCAAAAATTCCTAACTAAAATAAAAACAAAGAGAAAAATTCCTAACTAGAATGTCTTAGAGAAAAGTAGTTGATTGTCTCTTATGTATATATATATATTGCATATATATATATATATATATATGAATGAATCTTCCTGTTCTTTAAGTCCTAGGTCCCTGGGAGTTTCTGGCATGTGCCTCAAATGGAATGTTTTTCTTGTATACAGGTTTTTCACTTTGAAAAGATCACTGGAAGATCTTGTTCCTGTCAGTAATATTACCTCCGTCTATCCTTGTAGCTGAGAAGGTAGATAGCCACCACCTACCTGCTCACTCTGAGGACATATGCACTCTGCTGGTTGATCCCTATAGCCCTGGATGGCGGATTCTGCTGCTGTTTGTGGCTCCATTAGCTTTGAGGACTTCATCTCCCTTTTTTACTGGTGTCTTTGTGGAATGTCTGTTATTTCTCTGAGCTTGACAGCTTTGTGGTTGTATTACTTTATTCCCATTGCCATTCACTAACTACTTAGGAATCCTGCTGCTGCCTGTTGTCTGCCTGCCCTGTCCAGTGGAGTTGGGGCATGAGTCTGATGGCAGAGTTAACAGACATGCTGTGAACTTTGGTGGGGTCTTAATGCTTCATTGAGATTGGCTCTCAGTATTACTGAATGGTAAGAGTTTATAGACAGAGACAGGTCTTAGTAGACAATAAAAAGGTTGGCCGCAAGCAGGCAGCTTTCCAAAGCCTGGTGTGTAAACAAATGTGTTCATCATGCCCACATTATGCCCGTGTATCTCCAAGGCTTGCCAGTCTTAGTGATTTTTCTTTATCAGCATGATGGTAGAGTGTTGCTACAAAAGCAGAATTCAGTGCCAGATTTAGCTCGTGTTGCTGATGATCCTTGAGTGAATATAGCACTTGCCTTGTTGCTGGCTGATACATGACTTCCTTGGGTTTGTCAGTTGCAAGGTTTGTGGTGTCTCAGCCAACTGCTGTCTCTTGTCTGTTGCATGTTTGCACTCCTAAAGCACAAATGCCAACATTCACAGTGGCTCCTGAATGCCTTTCTTACTGTATTAGGATACTGTTTACAATTTGTTGTTTAGAGAATATTATCATCTTTGAACATAACTGACTAAATGAAGTAGACTTGGTCCATGTCCCGGACAAGAAAATGTGTCCTTTTCTCCAGTAGAGATGGAGAAACGATCAGGTAGCATGGTTCTTTATTACTCTCATTAACCTTATGGTCTTACCTTCAGCAGGCATCTGGAGCTACTGCTGGTAAGTGAACCAACAGTAGATTAGTTAGTCTTAGATTCTCTGAAGAGGAGGGGCTGGGTCAGTAAAGACAAATGCTGGCTCCCTCTGCTTTCTCCATATCTAGTGCTTGTCCCCCTGCTCTAAAACAGTCTTTGTCACCTTTAAAGTCAGAGGCAGTATATGTGCTGATAGGTAAAATCTAATCTGGATGACTCAGTACTTTGTTGGGAAAATTTGATAAGCACTAGTTTATGATAATAAACCCTCAGGAATTTAGAGAGAGAATAATGGCTGAACTCAAGTCCCAAATCAACTGTTGGCTTCCAGTTGCTTTCCTTTAGAACTGTAGTCATTGTCTGTTTCAGAACAGTACAGAAGTCTATTTCTAGAAAAGCTCTCATCAGGTTTGCTCTGTCGATGGTTTTCTTTTTCTCCAGTTCTCCCTCTTCACTGCCGTCCATAAGCACTACAGGCTCGATCAGTGGCAAGAGTTTGCGAGCCAGAATCCCGACTGTCTTGAGGTAACACTGGGCCTATGCACTCCTTATCCCACTGTTTCAGGAATCATCTGGCTTCCCGGGGACCAACCCTCACCCTCCACCCAGCTAATGGCCCCATTTCTCTCACAGTATCTGGCTGCCAGCTCAGGCACAGGCTCTTCGGACTTTGAGCAGCTGGAACAGATCCTGGAAGCTATTCCCCAGGTGAAATACATCTGCCTGGATGTGGCCAATGGCTACTCTGAACACTTCGTTGAATTTGTGAAGGACGTACGGAAGCGCTTCCCCCAACACACCATCATGGTACGTTTTGTTATCCTGCCGCGGGTACCTTCCATTTCCACTTTTCTTGCTATGCCATTTTGTTATAGTTCATTTCTCCTTGGCTGTCTGATATTCCTAGTTCACATACTCATGTTACCGGATGATTGTTCAGAGCTCCAACTTAAAACGTGTTAACTGGTCAGTACAGTTTCTCTAACCATTAATTGATAAGTCTTTGTCCCTGACATCACCCATCAAATCACAATCGAACGTGGTTCATCCCTGTGGTACACATACATCTGCTCACTGAAATGGACATGTACGACATGGTATAAAAGGAGTCACATGGGAACTGTTTTATTTATTTTTTTTACAAGTGTAGGGGAGTGATGACAAGGCCTCATTTTCTTCACCACATTGAGGTGCATCTCTGCACTCTCCATCAAAAGTAGATACACCTGGGCAGATGGGATTTAACCTTCATCACCATGTCTTCCCCCTTTCCCTTGAAGCCAGTTCTATGACAGAACTATTTAAGGACATGATATGCTGGGGCCTCTTGGTGCGAAAGGGGAGACAGATAAGTCCCCTCTGTGTTTGGGCTAGTAGTTCCTTTTGCCTCACGCAGTGCTCCTCCCTGCCACCCTGTGTCTCCCTGCTGACTGAGGCCTTAAAGTGCATCTGGACTTCAGCAATAACAACATTGCTCACTTAATTCCCCTACTTCAGCTTGGTGCAGGGGGACAGATGGGAAGCAGGACCCTTCGAAGTGACTGGAGGCCCCCATAGAGCCCAGCACATTGGACCTAGGTACCCTGACTCTGTAATAATGTTGGAAGGCTCTGGTTCAGGCATACTACATAGGAGAATGCACAACCTCCCTTCATTTCTGACCCTAAGGATGCTCTTTTTGATCTGTCTCAGGCGGGGAATGTAGTAACAGGAGAGATGGTGGAAGAACTAATCCTCTCTGGGGCTGATATCATCAAAGTAGGAATTGGGCCAGGTAAGCTGGTTTGTTGGTGCCCTTTTCCAGCCCTTTGGTGGCAAACACCTTTGGGATATTTCACTCCCATCTTTTGTTGTGTTCATCCCAGGTTCTGTGTGTACTACCCGGAAGAAAACTGGAGTAGGCTATCCCCAGCTCAGTGCAGTGATGGAGTGTGCAGATGCTGCTCATGGCCTCAAAGGCCACATCATCTCAGTAAGGCCCAGGGGCAGGGCAGGGTGTGAGGCTGCCACACAACTGGCATTCCTGCAGGATACGGAGGCTGGAGTAGAGATGGAACAGGACTCTCGGGTCCCTGGCAGCTCTGAGCTGGACGGTTGGGACATTGCCAAGAGGGCTTGGGAAGTCCATGCTGTCTCCTCACAGTGCTCCTTACTTTGCAGGACGGAGGCTGCAGCTGTCCTGGAGATGTGGCCAAGGCTTTCGGTAAGGAGGTTAGCAGGGCGCAGAAGGATCCTGTAGAAGAGCATGAATTATTTCTGAGGGTCTGAGGGTATAGGCTCAGGCTGGGAAAGGCTCGGGAAGCCATTTCCTTTCTTTCATATTGTGAACTAATAACCCAGAGCCTGTGGGTGTCAACTGGGGCAAGCCAGCAGGGGAGATCTGCAGACTGGGACTCATGGGCCAGTGCCATCTGCATTATCTGCTGGCTGCTGGACAATGTAGATTGGTGAGCTTTACCCATAAAATCACTCCAAGGAATGGGGTTGCAAGCCTGCATTTTTTTATAGCTTCCTGGGTAACCCTTACATTAAAGTGGGAGATCTTTGCCCTTGGGATACTTCGAAGCAAGTCTTATTCAGCTGGGCACAATAAAATGAAATGACCAGAAGATGGCAAAAGTAGCAGAAAGAGCAAAAGCCAAGTGGGGAATCTCCAGAGGCGCTTCTGAAAGTCTTGGAAAACCAGATCTACTGAGGAGTAGCAGCCAGAGCAGACTAGGCCTGTGTAGACTGTGGGAACAGAACCAAGAAATGCTGGCTTCATTGTCAGGACTGAGAGTTTGGTGTGAGTTGCTTTTGAGTGTGGCCAGGTGGCACCCTAGCCAGATTCATCTCTCGTCTCCCTCCTGGATGCTGGCAGGAGCAGGGGCTGATTTCGTGATGCTGGGCGGCATGCTGGCTGGGCACAGCGAGTCAGGGGGTGAGCTCATCGAGAGGGATGGCAAGAAGTACAAGCTCTTCTACGGCATGAGCTCCGAAATGGCCATGAAGAAGTATGCCGGGGGCGTGGCTGAATACAGGTATGTGTTCAGGCCAGGAGCTGAGGGTGCTTGGAGAACATGACCATGTGATGTGGTGGCACAACACATGGCTGCTGGGAGATGGATGCTGTCGTTCTTGGGATTAAAATGGTAAACCAGACCTAAATGCTAGAGAATCACTGGACTGAGGGAATCCAGGTGGAGAAAGTAATTAGTTTTTCCTATTCCAAGGGCCTCAGAGGGAAAGACAGTGGAAGTCCCATTTAAAGGGGATGTGGAACATACCATCCGAGACATCTTAGGAGGGATCCGCTCAACGTGTACCTACGTGGGAGCAGCCAAGCTGAAGGAGTTGAGCCGGAGAACTACCTTCATCCGAGTCACCCAGCAGATGAATCCTATCTTCAGTGATGAGCACTAGACCTGAGCACCTCTGGTCCACCAGGGCACTGGCACTCTACCAGGGACCTCCCGGGTCAACTCCTTCCCGATCCCAGCTGCTGTGCCTATGTATTAACTCGTCATTTCCTAGCATCTCGCTCCTGAGGGCTCCTGCGGTAACTATACTTCTCTCTCTGCACACATGAAATACCCAGGGCACTCAACACTGGGGAGGAAGCAAGGAAGAAGACAGTCTGAGAAAATGAAGTCAGATAATCAAATGGGAATCTGGGGACCCAGCGTCCTCAAGATTACTAAAAAGAACTGACACTGACTGATAGATGAATGTTTTATATGGCCTTGGTCTGGCAGAGGCAGGCTTTCAGAATCATGACATGTTAATGAGCTTCATTAAATGGGACCTTCGCATATCTAAAACACAAAAGTGTTAACATATTTGAAATACCTCAATAAAGAGACCCCATCAACTGCAGAGATGCTGGGCTTTCTGCATAAGGCTGGCATCTTGGTGCAGCTCCAGGGAGAGTGGAAGTGGAGCTGGCACTGACCGGGGGGTCAAGGACAAGGAGCACTGTTATCTCCATTCCAGTGCCACCTCCGGATAACTGGCAGCAGTGGGAATTTACAAAGTACACTCTGGCGTTAGGACGTATATATATTTTTCAGAACAGCAAAAGGACATTTCTTCTGGGCTCTCAACCATGGTTGAGAAGGGCTCTTCTGGACACATCTGAACACTTCCCATGGAAGTAAAAAAGCAAAGAGATTGTTCCAGCTCTGGAGAATCTGGTTGTGTTTCTAAGCAATGACCCTATGCTGGCTTATTCCCCTCCCTCTCATCCAGACGATGTTCTAATAAATGCAAAGTTTAATGATCAAGCAGGACACAGTATTTTTTAGCAATGTAGTTGGGTTACCTGAACCCAGGCTTCTACTTCATTCCCACTAAGTGGCTTGCAGGCCTGAGGAGGCAGCAAATGGACAGAGTACAGAGACCATCTCAGTGCTATCATGGGTCTGGAGCTGTCTACGCATCAGGGGGAGGGGCAGGCATGGCGCTGGGGCCAGAAGAGGGGAAGTATTCACAGAAGGTGGGGATCAAAGTGTCAAATAGTGTTCTGATAGTGTTCCAGAGACTCCTGTAGAGAAGCGGGGTGGGGAGGTCCCTAAGCCCTCTACATTCCGGAGCATGTGAGTCTGTCTGGTTCTGCCAACCCCCTTCCCCAGCTGTCTGCTGCCTACTCACCTGTCTGTCTTTCTGGCTGTTTTCTTCCTCATCGGAGTCCAAAACCAAGTCCCCTATGGTAATGACGGAGCTGCACACAGATGGAGGACACACTGCAGGAAGGAAAGCATTACCAATCAGACTACTGGTGAACACGCACTTCAAGGTTCCCAAGAACTGCCCAGTCCGGTCCTGAGTCAGAATCCCTACCTGGCTTCCTGGCCCTAGGTGGTGATAACGCTAGTCTCAGGGGGTCTCTGTAGCAGTCCAGGCAATTCCTGAAGTGGGAACAAGCAAAGAGGACAGGGTGAAGGGGAAGCAGGCTAAGAATGTGCTCCTCAGAGGAAGAAGCATCTCTGTTCCACTCACTCTTTTTGCTCTGAGCCAGGGACATCGTCTGGGTTCTCCTTCAGAGACCTTTTCCCCAGTGTGTGGGAAGGACTCTTAGACTTCCCATTGGAAGCTGTTCCTGAGCCCGTGGCACCTGCTGGATCTTCTGTGAGTACCCCACATTCTTCCCTGTTTCCAGGCTTGGATCCGACCTGGGTTGCTGAGCCCAGGTTCCTAAATGGAAACAGCATGACGGTGGGGCGCTCCTTATGGCCTCCCTTGGCAGGTGCCCATCGGGACTGGATTCTTCGCCGCCCTAGAGGGGCCAGATTGAAATGATGGCCCGCTAAAGGTTCTGGATGCTTCCTAGATGCTGGTCCTTGAGGAAGGCATGGACCAGGCTTGGCTTTTGGCAGAGGAGTGTGGAGTGCTGCAGGTCTTGGTTGCTGAGGAGGGTTCTGCTCCACGGGCTCTGTCAGGTTCAGTGAGTCGACAGAACACTCTGGAAGAGAAAATGAGACTCCTTGTGAAGAGAACAGTAACAATAAGTCTGGTTTCTTGTGCTTTAGGCCAGGGGTGGGGGACTTCTGGCCCATGGGCTGTATAAGGTCCACAGAGTCACTCAGTCTGGCATTGCCAAGGCATCTGCAGTTAGGACTCAGGGTTCAGTATATCTGTAGCAGACTAATTTTTAAGTTGATCATTTTGTATGGCCTGGAATGATGTTATAAATATTTAAATGGCCTTGGAAAAAATACGGTGTCCCATCCCTGCTTTAGGCCCATGTTTTAATCCCCTGATAATCCCTACACCCCAAACTCCTAGCTCCCTCAGATGGCCCTTGTACCTGAAAGTGTCCACCCCATGTCCTCACTGTATTGGCGCAAGGCAAGACAGGAGGTGACAGAAATTCCAGGCTGCAGCCAATTCAGTATATTCTGAAGCTGTGGGCAGGGGGAGAGAGAGATGCAGATGACGATGACCATTGGTGACACCACCTCCCCACCCTCTGCCCTGGAGCATCTGCCCCGACAACACCTGCTGCGCCTGCAGTGGAGGCAGTGCCTTTTCCAGCTGACACAAGTACTCAAAAAACAGCTTTTCCATGGCCACCAGAAAGGGTTCCCCATACTCCTGTGCAAGTTCCTGCAGAGGGGAAGGCAGCAGGTCAGAGGCGGCTTAGAGGGCCTAACAGCCTCCAAAGCAGCCAGTCTCACCTGCAGCTTGGAGGCCAAATCCCCCGGGGCCTCCGACAGTTGCTTCACCTGCTGGCAAAAAGTTTCCTGCGCCTCCAAAATCTTCCTCAAATCTTGCTTTGTCTGTTGGGGAATGAAGCCAAGTTAGAGGCCTCAGGGCCCGGGGGCTGGAAGGGGGGGCAGCACTTGTCGCACCAAGTGTACCCGGAATTGGGGCTTGTCCCGCCTGCTACTCACAGCTTTGGGGTCCCTCACTACAGGTCCGGACTCTGGGAAGTGGTCGTTCAGGGCGTTCAGGACCTGCTCCCACGGCCGGCCCTGCAGGATCAGCTCCACCACCACCTGCACAATACTCAACTAAGACTCCCCGTTTGGGGGCGAGCTACCCTTGCCAACAGGTCTCACCCCCAAGCTGTCGTGTCAGGACCTTGCATCCCCACCCTTTCTCCTATTCTCTTTCCAGGTCCTATTCGCTCCAATACCTTAGCTTTTAGGCCTATACACAGGCGCGCATGGTGCAGGTAGCGAACCAAACCCGGGGCGGCCGCGCGCAGGGTCCGAAGAAACTCCAGTACTCGCGGAAAATGCTCTACGCGGCGTCCGCGCACAACTTGCCAGCTGGCTGCCGCAGCGAAGCGCAGAGTGCCGGGGCCGGCTCCCAGAGGCGTGTCCATGGCCGCGGGTCTCCGCCCTGGGGCGGGCCCTTCGGGTTCCTTCCACCGAGGCCAGGCCGCCCGGTCCCTCCTAAGGGCGGGGTTTCCGGCGGCCCTCCGTGCTTCGCCGTGTCCGGATGCTTTGCGGGGCGACTCAGCGCTCTTGTCTGGGCCGCCGGGGTGCTGAGGACCCACTCCCAGCCCGGGCTACAGCCCGAATGCAGGAGCAGGCCGTCTCCCGCGGCACCAAGCCGCTCAGCTTTAAACGCCACAGTTGCCTCGAACCTGAGGGTACCTCACTTCCGGCTCTGGGACTGGTTGCCCTTCCTGGAAAAGGGCAACAAGAGAGGACCAATGGGCAGCCAGGCAGAGGGAAATGTGACCGTGCGTCACAAGGCCACGCCCCCGCAGATCCGGCGCCTCTCGGGCTCTGCGCGCGGCCTGCGGTCGCAGCTGTTTTCCCTCTGAGGCGGCTCATCCTGGGCCCTTCTGGCCTCTACGCTGCTTGCCAGGGCCAAAAAACAGTCCTTTGGCTTCTCTGAGGCTCGGCTTCCTGGCCCGTGAAGTGGGGGTCGTGTCACGTCCTTCCATCAGCTTCGCCCGTTTTGAAATACGTAGGGTTCCTTTCTGCGAAGCCTTCTCCAGCGAGCTCTCGCTTCCAGTCAGAATTCCACAGCCCCTCTTACCAGAGGAGGGCGCTCGCTTTTTAGAAATAAAAGTTTAAAAAGAGGCATCCGTTTGCTAGCTTGGCTTTCTCGGGATGGTAGAATTATAATTTCTTGTGGTGTTTCTGTTTTTGTTTTTTTTGTGTGTGTTTTTGTGATGTCTTTTTTGTATCCTGTAACTAAAATAAATTCAAAAAGTAGATAGACTTCCGGTCCCCGTCTCTCTCTCTCTCTCTCTTTTTTTTTTTTTTTTTTTTTGACAGGCAGAGTGGACAGTGAGAGAGAGTGACAGAGAGAAAGGCCTTCCTTTACCGTTGGTTCACCCGCCAATGGCCCCTGCGGCCGGCGCACCGCACTGATCCGAAGGCAGGACCCAGGTACTTATCCTGGTCTCCCATGCAGGTGCAGGGCCCAAGCACTTGGGCCATCCTCCACTGCACTCCCGGGCCACAGCAGAGAGCTGGCCTGGAAGAGGGGCAACCGGGACAGAATCCGGCGCCCCGACCGGGACTAGAACCCGGTGTGCCGGCGCCGCAAGGCGGAGGATTAGCCTAATGAGCCACGGCGCCGGCTCTTTTCCATATTTCTGTTGTACGATTAGCTGAAGCCAGCCCCCTAATGTGGTTGACTTTTGTTTGTCTGCTGATTGTCTTGCCTTGTCCCTCTTATTTCCATCACGAAGCCCAGAACTTGCCACATGGGGCGCACTCTTTAGCCGTTGACCGGGTCAGTTGCCTGCCTTGGCTACCTTGTAGGGATGTAGTGACACTGCCATTTCCTCGGGCCATCTCTTCCATTGCCAGAGACAATGGTCTCCACCCCAAGGCAGTCTTGAGCTGATTCACCTTCAACTGCAAATTGGGACACCTAGTCCCAAAGTACCCCAAGTTACACATGTGTAAAACTCTAGTTATCTTCCATTTTTCCTTCATTTATTTCTTCCCTGACAGTCTTCCTTTAAAAAAATTATTTATTTGAAAGACAGAGTGCCAGAGAGAGGGAGAAACAGAGAGACAGAGAGAGGTCTTCCATCTGCTGATTCACCCCCCAAATGGCCACAATAGCCAGGGCTAGGTCAAAGCCAGGAACTGCATTTGGGTGAGCAGCAGGCGCCCAAGCACATGGGCCATCTTCTGCCTTCCCAGGCACATTAGCGGGGAGCTGGAATGGAAATGGAGAAGCAGAGACTCAGAGCCCCTGGTTTGGGCTTAACTCATAGTAGGAGCTCAACGTGTTTATTTCTTCCCAGCTCTTTGGAGGAAAATATTGCTCCCAATTTTGCCTTTTTGAGCTCTAATAAATAAAGGGAGAAGAGCCAAATGAATGAATGCGAGGCAAATTACAAAGTTTTAGAAAAGTTTAACTCTCGGGGCCGGCGTTCTGGTATAGTGGGTCGAACCGCCACCTGCAGTGCCAGCATCCCATATGGGCACCAGTTCTAGTCCCAGCTGCTCCATTTCCAATCCAGCTCTCTGCTATGGCCTGGGAAAGGAATAGAAGATGGCCCAAGGCCTTGGGCCCTGCACCTGCGTGGGAGACCCGGAAGAAGCTCCTGGCTTCGGATCGGTGCAGCTCTGGCCGTTGCAGCCAACTGGGGAGTGAGCCAGTGGATCGAAGACCTCTCTCTCTCTGCCTCTCCTTCTCTCTCTGTGTAACTCTGACTTTCAAGTAAATGAATAGATCTTTAAAAAAGAAAGAAAAGTTTAACTCTCACAGTAGCAATCCCAAGACAAAAGAGATAATGTTGCATTGTTATTTAATCTTCCAGGAACTTACTTTAAAATAAAATGTATCAATAGTATTTATTTTTTTAAAGGTTAACAGTAGTTTTAATATAGTTAGTACACAATAAAAATGAAGACAGCAATTTTTGGTTAGAATGAACACAAAGATTTACCAGCTTGAAAGATGATTATGATAGCTCTATTTGTAATGGCCGAACATGGAGAACCTTGCTGTTTGTCATAGCAATACATTCAATTTCCAGGATGATTAGCATAGATCAGATAAATCATGTCATATCTATGTGACAGACTTTGTTCATTTGCTATTAAAACTGAAGTGAGGGGCCGGCGCCGCGGCTCACTAGGCTAATCCTCCGCCTAGCGGTGCCGGCACACCGGGTTCTAGTCCCGGTCGGGGCGCCGGATTCTGTCTCGGTTGCCCCTCTTCCAGGCCAGCTCTCTGCTGTGGCCAGGGAGTGCAGTGGAGGATGGCCCAGGTGCTTGGGCCCTGCACCCCATGGGAGACCAGGAAAAGCACCTGGCTCCTGGCTCCTGCCATCGGATCAGCGCGGTGCGCCGGCCGCAGCGCGCCGGCCGCGGCGGCCATTGGAGGGTGAACCAACGGTAAAGGAAGGCCTTTCTCTCTGTCTCTCTCTCTCACTGTCCACTCTGCCTGTCAAAAAAAAAAAAAAAAAAAAAAAAAACATGAGTCGTTATGGAACACTCCTGAGTTGAGGGCTGGGTGTTTGGCAGACTGGTTAAGACGCCACCTGGGATGCCCTCTTCCCAACTGGGAGTGCTTGGGTTTGAATTCCAGCTCTAACTCTCAATCCCAGCTGCCTGCCGTGGCTGCACACTCTGTAACGCAGTAGCTGATGGCTCAAGTCCCTGGAACTCTGCCATCCATGTGGAAGACCCAGGCTGAGTTCTCAGCTTCTGGCTTTGATTGACCTGCCTCAGCTCCAGCTGTTGCGGGCATTTGGGGAGTGAGCCAGCAGAGAGATCTTTCCCCCTCTTGTCTGTCTCTGTCTCTCAGCCTCTCAAACAAATAAAATAAATAATACATAATTTTTTAAAAAACAAGCACAACCGCTAGAGTTGTTTAGTCCATTAACTCAAGAAACATAAGTCACATCTTGTAAATTCCCTTTTTGAAGATTTTTTTAAAAAGATTTTATTTATTTATTTGAGAGGTAGAGTTACAGACAGAGAGAAAAGTCTCCCATCTGCTGGTTCACTCCCCAAATGGCCGCAATGACCAGAGCTGGGCTGATCCAAACCCAAGAGCCAGGAGCTTCTTTTGGGTCTCCCATGGGTGCAGGGGCCCAGGCACGTGGACCATCTTCCACTGCTTTCCCAGGCCATAAGCAGAGGGGCAGCCAGGACACAAACCAGCACCCATATGGAATGCTGGCACTGCAGGTGGAGGCTTAGCCGGCTATGCCACAGCGCCGGCCCCGTAAATTGCTGCTTTTAAGTTTGTGAGTAGTAAACATGCACTGTGCACCGGTATGCTAGGCCACGTTCTAGGCCCTGGGACATGGTGTGAACAAGACAGGTGGGAGTCTCATCTCTTTGCAGCTCACATTTGAGAGAGAGGAGACAGGAACCAATAAATACATGAATACATTAACATTGTGCTTTGGAGGACACTCAACAAAGCGATGTGCTAAGGAGAATGGGAGGCAGGGAAAGTAACCAAATTGGGTGGTCCCAGGAAGCCTCCCAGAGGAAGTGACATTTGAACCAAGACCTGAATGGCAGGAGGGGCTGGCCACAGACCTGCGGGAAGAGAGCTCCTTCCAGAAGGGGCAGATGCCAAGCCACCGGCCCAAGGTTGCAGAGTTTGAGAAGTGGAAGCGCCACTTGACTGGAGCAGCCCGAGCCAGGGGCATGTAGTGCAGATGAACATGGCAGAGTCTGTAGGAGCCCAGGAGGTCAGGGTAGGATTTTGAATGATTCCAAGGGCACCAGGAAGGCCCTGGAAGGTTCGAAGGAGGTGAGTAGCAGGGTTTATGGTTTAGGAAGAGTGCTGGCTGTGCAGAAAGTGGGTAATATTCAAGGGTAAGAGTGGAAAGCCACCAGGGGCTACGGCAGTCCTGTCAGAAGGGCACAGGGCAGCAGTGAGGCTGGAGAGCACAAAGAAGCTGGTGTGTTTTAGAGGCAGAGCTGAGGGGCTGTGCTGATGGCTTGGATATTAGAGGGGAGAAAAGGGACGAGTGAAGAGTGACTTATGGCCGGCGCCACAGCTTAATAGGCTAATCCTCCACCTAGCAGTGCTGGCACACCGGGTGCTAGTCCCGGTCGGGGCGCCGGATTCTGTCCCGGTTGCCCCTCTTCCAGGCCAGCTCTCTGCTGTGGCCCGGGAGTGCAGTGGAGGTTGGCCCAGGTACTTGGGCCCTGCACCCTATGGGAGACCAGGATAAGTACCTGGCTCCTGCCATCGGATCAGCGCGGTGTGCCGGCCACAGCGCGCGGCGGCCATTGGAGGGTGAACCAACGGCAAAGGAAGACCTTTCTCTCTCTCTCACTGTCCACTCTGCCTTCAAAAAAAAAAAAAAAAAAAGAGTGACTTACGTGCTTTTGGCTTGAGCAATGGGTCGTTATGGTAACACTGAGGTGGGGAAAATGAGGGGGAGAATAGTTTGGGGTTGGAATTAAGAGCTCTGTCGGGGGCTGGCACTGTGCGCAGCGGGTTAAAGCCCTGGCCTGAAGCACCGGCATCCCATATGGTCACCGGTTCTAGTCCCGGCTGCTCCTCTTCAGATCCAGCTCTCTGCTACGGCCTGGGAAAGCAGTGGAAGATGGCCCAGGTCCTTGGGCCCCTGCACCCACGTGGGAGACCCGGAAGAAACTCCTGGCTCCTGGCTTTGGATCGGCATAGCTCTGGCCGTTGCAGCCATCTGGGGAGTGAACCAGCGGATGGAAGACCTCTCTCTCTGTCTCTACCTCTCTCTGTAACTCTGTCTTTCAAATAAATAAAATAAATATTAAAAAAAAAAAAAAGAGCTCTGTGGACCACTCCAGGCTTAGGCTGAGGAGCCAGAATGCCCAGTCCCACTCTATTCTAAATTGGTACATGACTTCAAAGCACCCAACACCTGTGCCTCCATTTCTTCATCAGCAGAGGGGGCAAAAAGGCCTCCTCTATGAAGTGATCATGAATTTGACATGGGTTATTATGGGTAGATCTATACCCACACTCTTCTTTACTCAGAAGTTAGCCAGTATTTTTTGTTTGTTTGCCGGCTCACACCCCCAAATACCTACAACAGCCAGGAGCTGGGCCAGGCCAAACTCAGAACTCCAGCCTGGTCTCCCACATGGGTGGCAGGGATGCAAGTACTTGAGCCATCAACCCACTGCCTTCCATGGTGCACACTAGCAGGGAGCTGGAACGGGGCGCAGAGCTGGGACTTGAGCCCAGCCTCTCCTATACGGGACGCAGGTCTCCTAAGTGGTAGCCTGAACCGCTGTGCCATAACACCTGCTCACCCCCTGGCAAGTATTTCTATGGGTTAATGTCTAAGGATGTGACCAAGAACAAATCAGAGCACGCACACTGCTCCTGCGTTGATGTTAGTTGAGGGAGGGGAAGCACAGTAAACAAACAGTGAACATATTTAATTTGTTGGATGGGGATGGATGCTTTGGAGGGAAAAGTGTAATAAAGAGTGAAGCAGGTTGCAATTTAAAATAGGTTGGTGATAGAAGGCCTTACTAAGATAGTGACACTGGAGGAGGAGGGCACTTGTGCAGATGAAGAGTGTACCAGGCAGGGAAGACAGCAAGTGCAAAGGCCCTGAGGTGGGAGTGGGTGTGAAGGGCTCAAGAAACACCAAGAGAGGTAGGAGACAGTGAGCCGGGGTAGGGGACAAATGGAAGGAAGAGCAGCCCTGAAGGTCAGAGCCTCAGGGAGGGCCATGGCTGCTCTTTAACCCGAGGGAGGGGTCAGAGGGTTGGGTGTGAGCTGGTCAGCAACGTGACCTGATCTTGAAAAACTCCACTCTGGGGCTGGCACTGTGGTGCAGCAGGTTGAGCCGTGGCCTGCACCACCAGCATCCCATATAAGCACCAGGTTAGCTCCCTGCTAATGCACCTGGGAAGACAGCAGATGACAGCCCAAGCCCTTGGGTCCCTGCCACTCCTGTGGGAGACACGGATGGATTCCAGCCTCCTGGGTTCTGTCTGGCCCAGACCTTGCCATTGCAGCCATTTGGAGGAGTGAACCGAACCAGACAATGGACTATTTCTCTCTCTCTCCCTCTCTGTTGCTTTGCCATTCAAATGAATAATAAATCTTTTTTTAAAAAAATAAAAACGTGGCCGGTGCCGCAGCTCACTAGGCTAATCCTCCACCTTGCAGCGGTGGCACACCGGGTTCTAGTACCGGTTGGGGCGCCGGATTCTGTCCCAGTTGTCCCTCTTCCAGGCCAGCTCTCTGCTGTGGCCAGGGAGTGCAGTGGAGGTTGGCCCAAGTCCTTGGGCCCTGCACCCCATGGGAGACCAGGAGAAGCACCTGGCTCCTGCCATCGGATCAGCGCGGTGCGCCAGCCGCAGCGCGCCAGCCGCGGCGGCCACTGGAGGGTGAACCAACGGCAAAGGAAGACCTTTCTCTCTGTCTCTCTCACTGTCCACTCTGCATGTCAAAAAATAAATAAATAAATAAATAAATAAAATAAAAATAAAAACATTTTCAAAGATGAGTTGACTTTAAAAAATTCACAGAAATACATATGGAAAAAAAGTGTGCATGTATTTCAATTTTTTTGGCACCAAAATACCCATTTTAAAAAAGATTTATTTATTTGAAAGAGTTACAGAGAGGCAGAGGCAGAGAGAGGTCTTCCATCCACTGGTTTACTCCTCAAATGGCTGCAATGGCTGGATCTGGGCCAATCCAAAGCCAGGATCCTGGGGCTTCTTCCAGGTCTCCCGCGTGGGTGCAGGGACCCAAGGACTTGGGCCATCTTCCACTGCTTTCCCAGGCCATAGCAGAGAGCTGGATCGGAAGCGAAACAGCCGGAACTCCAACCGGCACCCTTATGGGATGCCTGCAGTGGCTTTACCTGCTATGCCACAGCGCCAGCCCCCAAAATACCCATCTTTTAATTCCACTTTCCACAAACTTTTTTTTTTTTTTTTTTTTTGACAGGAAGAGTGGACAGTGAGAGAGAGAGAGAGAGAAAGGTCTTTCTTTGCCGTTGGTTCACCCTCCAATGGCCGCCGCGGCCGGCGCGCTGCGGCCGGCGCACCGCGCTGATCCGATGGCAGGAGCCAGGAGCCAGGTGCTTTTCCTGATCTCCCATGGGGTGCAGGGCCCAAGCACCTGGGCCATCCTCCACTGCACTCCCTGGCCACAGCAGAGAGCTGGCCTGGAAGAGGGGCAACCGAGACAGAATCCGGCGCCCCGACCGGGACTAGAACCCGGTGTGCCGGCACCGCTAGGCGGAGGATTAGCCTAGTGAGCTGCGGCGCCGGCCTTTCCACAAACTTTTTAATATGAAGATTTATTTTATTTATTTGGAAGGAAGAGTTACAAAGAGAGTTCTTCCATCTGCTGGTTCACTCTTCAAATGGCTGCAACAGCCATGGCTGGGTCTCCCACGTGGGTGCAAAGGCCCAAGTCCTTGGAACATCTGCTGCTTTCCCAGGCACATTAGCAGGGAGCAGATCAGAAGTGGAGCAGCTGGGACTCGAGCTGGCGCCCACATGGGATGCCGGCTCTGCAGGCAGCGACTTAACTCGCTACACCACAATAGCAGCCCCACGGATGAGGGGCGCAGCCTACAGAACTATGTTGATGGCATTTTCTTGACTGGGGGGGAGGATGAAGATTTTCTTCTTTGTGATCTGATGTATTTTGGTTTAGCAGACAGACACTGCAAGGCTCACGTTGCTGCTCAGAGCACCCCAGCCTACTTCTACCCCAAACAAGAGGGAGCCTCGGCCCCTTCTCTCCCACAGAGGGTGCGTCCTGCCCCACCCTGGGGGCCGTCACAAGAGGTGTGGTCTGTGGTGGTGGAGACCGATCATACTGAACTGGAGGCCTCCCCCCTGGCATTGAGCAGCTCCCATCTCAAGGGCTGCTGAGTGGGCTTCTCAGAACCAGGGCCACCAGAAATGCCACATGCAGCCCCCTAGCACAGACCGTGACCCCACGCTCCTCAGCCTGGCATGGACCAACAGATGGACAGAACAGTGACTTTATTAAAAAAAATAGTTTATTGCCATCCATGCTACTGAGTGTGAGTGAAGATTGGTTCTGCCCCGCAGGTGCCCGGCTCTCCCACCTGAGCTCCTGGGAAGCCGCTCTGAGGTGGAGCCCCGTCTTGGGGCAGTGTCCTTGTTCATGTGACTCCAGTCCCATTGCTGCTGGCCCAGGGCTAAGCTTCGCCTCGAGACGTCATAGGGATGGTCTCTCCCGAGTAACTGTCACCTCCAGCGTGTAGGAAGCCCCTGCCCCCGGAGGCTGGGGCCACGTCCACCTGGATGACGCCATGCACCTGAGAGAGCTGCGGGCTGTCCAAGCTGGCAATGAGCTGGCGGGGTCCTGGTCGCACCGGCACGAACGTCTGGCGCAGTGTCACTGTCTCATTGCCCCCGATGTCCCTGTGGGTGCAGACAGGGTCAGGGACCTACAATAACCAGTGCGAGGGATGCAGTAAAGACTGACTCAGGGCCGCCCAGAAGGAAGGAGCTGGAGGTGGAGACACTCAGGCATTCTAGGCTCAGCTGTAATCTCCACACCCACGAGCAGGCCAAAACCTGAACCCCAGGGCCGCCTCCACATAGCCAGATCAGCAGCTACCCACACAGCAGCCGGAGCTGGGAGTCTCCCCCTCACCTGGGGCTCCGCCCAGCCTGCTCCCACATGCACCTGGACAGAGCCTGCTGCTGCATCCCAGAGGCCTCCCACGGCCTCCCTTCTCTCCCTTGCTGCTGCTCTGGCCTTAACCAGACCACTCCCATCTCACCGGAGGTTTCTAAGACCAAGAAAACTCCACAATGAGAATTTGAGACTCAACACAGCACTGCCAAATGCTTTCTGTCTTGCCAAGAAGAAGATGAGCTGTTCTCCACCACAATCATCTCTCCAAAGACAAAAGCGCATTTCAATACACCAAAATATTAGGAGGAAGTTTGCTCAGGCAAACAGGGAAGTCCTTGCTGAGATCCAGGGCTGGCATCTTGAAACTGACAAACACTCCCAGGTCTGTGCCCCTCCCTAACACCCCCGGCCGGCAAGAGACCAGGCCTTGGGGGGCGGCACCCCACTGGGAATCACCATCTCACCAGGCTTCTAACTGGCCTTTCCATTCTGCTGGTCACTCAAGGGTGAACTAAATCCTCCCAGGGCTTGACTCCTTGGTACGTATGGGATGAGGCCCCAGCTCCCTAACCTGACACCCAGGCTCCCTCCAACTCAGCCCTGCCACCTCCCCGCCACCATTCCCACCTCCCCGCCCCCTGCAGCACCAAATGTCTTCCCCTTCCCCGAACTCATGCCCACTGATCATCATGCTTTGCTGTTCACAGGAAGACTCCCTGGTCTGCCTCCCCACTCTTCCTCCAAGGCCCAGCTCACCCCGCCTCCTCAGAGAGGCCCCCGGAGCACCTCCTGTCCCTGGGACAGGGGTTCTCAGCCTCCTCTGAGCTCCACCCACCACCTGCACGGTGCATTTTATGCATTGAACACAACTGCATTTACAGAATCCCAGCCTCCAGCCTCCTGCTGCAGCTGAGCATACTTTGGGGTCCCTCTTGGGAGCCACACCCCGGCAGTCCCCACTGTCACCCAAGGGAATAAATCCACACCCCCAGCTCCCAGGATGAGCCATCCGTGGGGCAAAGTATTTGGCTTCCAGCCTGCTTCTGAGAGGTTCCTTCTTCTACCACTTGCTAGCTGTGTGGTTTAGTTCAGGTTTCTTAGCTTCTCTGTTCCTCACTTTCTAGCCCATAAACTAGAAGTGAAAGTAAAATGAGCGGACAGGATCAGACGGCCTTGAAGGCACCGCTGAGCTCCAGGAAGGAGGGAAGCAGGATACAGAACAGAAGAGATGATCATGGGAAGTCAACAGATAAAGTCTATAACTTAAAAGGTAGATTATGTTCTGACTGGTTATATGTGGTTTCTTAAAAGATTTATTTATTTTATTTGAAAGGTAGAGTTACTGACAGAGAAAGCTCTTCCATCTACTTGTTCACTTCCCAAAAGGCTGCAACATCAGGGCTGGGCCAGGTTGAGGCCAGGAGCCACAGGCTTCATCTGGGTCTCCCACATGGGTGACAGGGGCCCAGAGCCTTGGGCCATCTTCCACTGCTTTCCCAGGCCCATCAGCAGGGAGCTGGATCAGAGGTGAGCAGCTGGGACTTGAACCAGCACCCATGAGGGACGCTGATGTTGCAGGAGGTGGCTTAACCTGCTGCGCCACAATGCCGGCCCTTATAAATGTGTTCTTAAATTATATCCACTTTTTCATACATATAAGGTTAAAGGTTTTTTAGGCTCAGATCAGCCTTCCAAAGTCTATTTAAGGGGTTTGCATTGTGGTGCAGACCGTTTGCCATGCCAGCATTCCATTTTGGTGCAGCAGTTTGAGTCCTGGCTGCTCTGCTTCCAATCCAGCTCCTACTAGTGCACCTGGGAAGGCAGCAGACGATGGCCCAAGTACCTGGCTCCCTGCCACCCACGTGGGAGTCCCAGATGCAGTTCCAAGCTTCTAGCTTCATCCTACCCCAGCCCTGGTTGTTGTGGCCATAAATGGAATGAATCAGCACATGGAATATCTTTCTCACTGTCTCTCTCCCTCTCTCCCTCCGTCACTTGGCCTTTCAAATAAATAAAATCAATATTTTTTAAAACAACAAGTTATTTAACCCAAAGTATAACTGGGCTGTACTATCTCAGAATCTAACCCTTATATCCCAATGACATTTCCAAGAGCAAGTGCTTGCCAGCTTCCAGCGGGGAGCTGGTCTTCCGGTCAGGGAAGGCCTTGGCCATGCCCCTGTTTTCGAGGTGAGCTGAGCAAGGAGGCAGTTGCTGAAGCCGGAACGTGAATGTGCCTGTGACCGAGAGCAGGCAATGAAACCAGCTCCAGGAGTCACCAGGACGTCCGCACCCAGCCACGCTCGTCCTTGGATTGTCCACCACGTGGCCAGCGCGTGGCATCCTTTTAAAAACTCCTCTTGGACTTTTATTCAGAGGCACGTAAACCAGATACACACACCTGCCTGACCTGGGCACACACAGACACGCAGACACACACGTGCACACACACAGATACACACACCTGCCTGACCTGGGCACACACACACAGACACACACATGCACACACACACAGATACACACACCTGCCTGACCTGGGCACACACAGACACGCAGACACACACGTGCACACACACAGCTGTCGCTCCCCCTCTTCGTGGAGGAACGACACAAGACCCTGCGCTGTTCTTTCGTCTGCTCGGCCCTCCCCAGGTTTGCTGCTGGTTCTTCCCGGGTTGGCTACTGTCCCTCCACCTCCGTGGAAGGGCGGTTCCCCCTGCCACATTCCCCACTTCCGCAGGGGAGCGGCACACCGCCGGCCGACTCTCTCGGGGGCTGCACAGGTGTTCCCTCAGATGTTCCCCTTAGATGTTCCTGGTGCATGTTGTCTCTCTCCTCCTTTATAGTCCTCTTCCACCAATCCTAACTCGGCTGCCCACACGCCGAGTACGCTGCTCTCCTCCAATCAGGAGCAGGATCAGCTCCTGGAGGTCATCACTCAAGGTGGCAAGAGGCAGCTGCGTAGAAGCTGTTTCCTCCTCTCCCAGCGCCATATTGTGGGAGAGCAGATGCATAGAATAAGTCTTAATTCCAGTAACTTAGTCTAGTCCGAGTTGCTCCCCACAACAGCAGTGAGCGGCATGTCTCAGTGCTGATGGCACGGGCAGGGCCGCGCACCTGTTCACTTCCTGTGCTAATTACACTTCGTTTCAGATGACATCAACCGTTCCCCCACATTAAACCTCCTCTCGGGAAGGGAAATTGGTTGAGGGAATGATTCAGGCTCGGGGGTGGGGGGAGTCTGGGGCAGCCTTGCAGCCAGCCTGGTGGCTTCTGTGCTGGGGACAGCAGTTGTGGGGAGGAGGAAGTCCTGGAATGTTTATTAAGTGGCCAGTCACCAGGCTGGGGTGGCACACCTCGAGGTATAATGGGGTTCCATACCACAGTCTTTGATGTGCAAATGAGAGGCCAAGTAACACCCATCTTGGAATCCCATATATGTGAACTGGCAGCCTAGGGACTTCCCTCTGGAGGTTTCCAATGTCCTGGAGGCCCTGGCCGGGGCTCGCAGCAGGCCACAGGCCATCATCCCAGGAGGGCTCGCCTTGAGACACCACCACCTAACCCTCTCGCTCACTGAGGGGACCCTCGGGCAAGCCCCATGGCTGAGGACTGGCCAGGTCTCAGCACAGTGGACCTCACCCTACTTCCAGGTGGGGGCAGGAGTCAAAGGCCCCATGGGCTGCTGAGCAGAGTCCAGCTCTGGGAGTTTCCCAGCCAGGGTGGCGGGGGTGGGGGTTGGGGGGGAGGCCCTGACTTCCCTCCATCACCATGTGACTGTGAGCTAGAGCCATCTGCAGGCATGCCTAGAGGGGCAGGCCAGCAGGGGGATCTCAAGCCCCACTCTCAGAGCTGCCAGACAGCCTGGCGAGGCACCAGGAGGAACGTGCCCGCTGGTGTGGCAACACTGCATTCCCGGGAGAGCGACCTTCTCAGCTTTGGCCCTGATGGCAGAGTGGTGGTCACCACCAGGAGGTGCGAGGAGGAGGAGAGGCAGGGCCGGCCAGGGGCCTCTCTTTGCCCCCGGCCGCCCCCTCCGCAGGCTGTCACTCTGTCTGCAGAAGGCAGCGCCAGCCCCAGCCTCAGCCGGCAGAGGGCTGAGCTGAAAGGTCAATCTCTGACCTTCTCTGATTTCCTTGGCCCTTTCCTGGGGAGGGCTAGGCCGGGGGGCGGGGGGGGGGGCAGTGTGTGAGTCTGTGTCAGAGCTCAAGCCACGGGCCCAGGAACACAAGCACTGTGTGCGCCTTCACTGGGCTGGGAGCCTAGAGGCAGGGGGGCTGCTGTGGACCTTAGGCATGGGCTATCTCAGCCTTCATGGCACAAACCAGGCAACAAGAGGCTGAGGTATGCCTCTGTGGGGAGGGCGGTCTGCTCTTCATGAGCCCTGAGACCCTGTGAGGCCAGGCCACCAACTTCCCTGTCTGTAAAGTGAGCTTGATGATGGCAATAACAAAAAGAACCACTACCCAACAGAGGACTAAGTCTGTGCCAGGCTCTGTGCTAAGCCCCCTGGTGTGCTCTGGGTATCCCCAGTGGACAGGCAGAAATACTGGGGCTTAGAAGGGCTAAGTTGCCTGCCTAGGGGCACATGGGAGTGATGGCACTGAGACTTGAACCTAAGTCTTTAGGATTCCAAAGCTTTGCTTTTAATCATATGACACTCTCTAATATACTTTAAAGAGTTCTCGAAATGAGATCATAGTCCTCAAAGTGCCTGGTCAACTTTTTCAGTGCTGGGCAAATGTTAACAATGAGTTACTAATGGTTCCCACGTGCAGTTTTAGCACCGTAATTAGATGGTGAGGCTGAGCAGGGACATTGGGCCCAACACGAGGCACTCAGCCGGCCTCCTTAAACATGGGTTGGACGGAAGTGAACTGAGTCAGGAGGGACTGCTGGCTGAACCCTAGCTGCTAGGAGCAGTCCTGACCAAAAGAGGGAGGAAAACTGGGGGAAGAGGGGACAGCAGTGGGTGCAGGAGGGGAGCCCAGACTCACCCCACGTTGAGGATCTTGGGTCTCTGCAAGCCAGAGCCCTCGAGCCGGAAGACGACGTTGGTGAGGGTGATGGGCAGTGGGTTCCTGAAGACGATCTGGACTTCGCACTCCTGGCCGACCACGGCCGCTCCCAATAACTGAGCGAGAAAGAGGCCCACCACCCACATCAGAGACCCCAAGAAACATATGCAGACCACACGCTGCCCCAGCAGGGGCTGGTCCCTTAGAATTAAACCTTCCCTGAGCCCCACATTTCTGTCCCAAGACAAAGGCTCCCCAACGTCAGACAGGAAGCTCCAACCCACTCCCCAGTTAAGGCTATCACAGAATGAGGGATATGAAGTTCCCATTTTATGGATGACATCCCATAGCCAGTCCTGGGCCTTTCTCCCCGACAAAAGGCTCCTCTGGCCAGCCTGGCTCAGTACCCTCTCTTCTTTCTTTGATTTCCCTCCGCCCATGGTCACTACTCCATGGCCCACCCTGATGCCCCAGCAAGCTGCACGCACCGTGAGGGAGAGATCTGGGGTGCGCACGCGGAATGTGTGCTGCTTGGCCAGCACCTGGCCACTCTCCTTGACGTGGCCTGAGACATTGAGCAGCATGGCCCCCTGGTCCACGAGGTGTGGCCGGTACTCCTTGTAGGCCACAGGCATGACCACGCTGTCCGCTGGGGAGAAGAGGGACGGAGTCACCAAGGCCCGCTTCCCCAGACGCAGCCTGCCCTCCCCACTGCGGGGCGCCCCCCGGTGCTCCTGGGGGTCTCTGTCCGCAGACCCCAGGGCCGGCCATCCAGGGGGCAGAGCTGAGCAAGGAGCACTTACAGGACCCTGCTGCCAGCACCACTTCCTTCTTGGATTCCTTGAAGATGGAGCCGGTGACACCGGTGTAGAAGGTGACAGAGAGGTAGAGGTGCAGCTTCACCGTGCGGCGGCTGCTGCTGCGATTGGTCAGCACCACAGAGACCGTCAGGTCCTGCCCCATCACTGCGTCCTGCGCTTCCACCTGCATGGCCACATCCTCCGCAGAGTCCCGGGAGTCGTACACATTGGGTTTGCTGCCATGGGCAGCTGCCATCTCCACTGCCTTCCGCTCTGCATCCGAGCCTAGGGGGCGAGGGTCAGGGGTGAGGTTCCAGCTTCCACTGGAGTGGACATGAGCTCAACAGGAGCACTCGGCGTGGGGCCCGGAGCTGGCTGCGCTGAGGGTACCTTCTGGGTGCTTATAGATGTGGGTGATGTCCTCTCGCATGTGGGATCTCACAGCCTTGGTGACGATGAGTGTGCCAATGGCCTTCTCCTCCACGTACACAATCTTGAAGCTGCCATCGTCCTGCCGCTGCCAGTACACCTTGTCACTATTCACCTGTTGGGGTGGAGACAGCCGTGAGCAGAGAGGGGCAAACCAGAGGGTGGGCTGCACCTCTACCCGCCTTCCCCTACTCCCTGATCTCGGAGTAGCAAGTGAAGTGCAAGGGCGGAGCCTCCTGAGGAGCTCCATGGGGAGACTTTCCAGGCTGAGCCACTGCAGGCCAGAGAGCCGGGGAGAAGCCAGCCAGGGAGGCTCCTCGCAGCACCTGCTGGCATTAATAACAGTAATCCCTTATGCTGGGTCCCTGGCTTTACGACTTCCGAAGCAGTTCCATACCCATTATCTCTTTGATCCTGAGCGCAGGAAGCAAGGCAGCCGTGATTATCCCCATTTTACAGTGGTGGCAAACTAAAGACTCGTAGGGTGAGTGACCAGCCCGAGGTCCCAGGGCTCGCCAGGCCCAGAGAACCCAGGATGGAAGCGGGCACTCTCATGTGTCCAGAGCGCCTGAGGCGGCACCTGGAGCACAGCCTCACCTCAGCGAAGATGAAGGGCGTGTCATACTTCATGTAGACCAAGCCATTCTTGACGGACTCCACGGAGCAGGGGCCGCAGCAGAAGATGCCTAAGGAGTGAGGCAGGCGGAGGTGAGAGACGCAAGGAGGCCCCGGGCAGCGGTCACAGAGGGCCCCGCCCCTCCTCCAGGCCCAGGCCCTCTGCCTCGTCATCTCCGGACAGCGCCATCAGTCTTCACCCGAACTGAGGGTCGGGGATATCCAGTCTGACCAAGGAAGGGAACATGAAGGACGGAGCAGCTCTAGTGGGCTCTCTCAGTCCATTTCCCCCAGCCCAGGGCTGCCCTGCAAGAGGACAGGGGTAGGCAGCAGAGCCGCGGACCAGCCTGCCTGGAGAGCCAGGCCACAGGCGTGCTCTCTGCTGGCTCAAGTCGGAGGTCCACTCTCTGTGGACCCCATCCTTCATCTGGACCAACCCAGGGCCCACAGTGGTTGGGCTGACTGGGTAGGAGAGCAATGACATCACCACCCCATTCCAGAAAGATCCAAGACAACCTCTTGGCCCGGCAGCCTGCTGGGGAGTGGCAGTGGGGAGTGGGGCAGGTGGGAAGCAGAGTCTTTCTGTCCCTAGAAGAGATGGGCTGACAGGAGAGGTCAGAGCAGGAGGTAAAGACATCCAACAGAGCGCGTCTCAGAGGATGCCTAACTCCAAGACCTCTCACGCATGGGCAGACAGGCTTGGGGAAGCACTGTAGGCACCAGGACCTCACGAGAGGGCTGGGAGCAGAGGGAGTGGAGGGAGTCAATACTGAGTGGCTACTGTGTGCTGGGCACGTTGCTAGCCCTCTCTGATACAGGATTTGTCTTCTTCTCCCAACTATCCTGCACCACATAGATTACCCCCAAATCACATCGCAGGGGGCGAGAAGACGTGGAAAAATGCATACTGTGAATAACCTACACGAGGGTTTCAACAGCTTTTGCATCAAAATAAACATCTCAGAATTCAGCTTTCCAGGGACTTTTTGAAGTACTCTCAACAAAATACCAAGGTGCAAGGCCCTTCCTTGCCAAGATCACACCTCTAAACAGTGATCCAACTAAAGGCAGCACCTGCCTGGCTGGCTCCAGAGCCCCCTGCCTGCCACTCACACCACTTCCCAGAGCAGTGGCAAGAACTCAGATCTCAGGCATGGCGCTGTGGTGTAGTGGGTAAAGCTGTCGCCTGCAAAGCTGCCATCCCATGTGGGCGCCGGTTCATGTCTGGCTGCTTTACTTCCAATCCAGCTCCCTGTTAATGTGCCTGGGAGTGCAGCAGAGGGTAGCCCAAGCACTTGGGCCCCTGCACCCACATGGGAGACCTCGAAGAAGTTCCTGACTCCTGGCTTTGATGTGGTCCAGCGTTGGCCGTTGCGGCCATTTGGGGAATGAACCAGCGGATGGAAGATCTCTCTGTCTCTCTCTAACTTTGCCTTTCAAATAAATAAATAAATCTTTTTTTTTTTTTTTTTTTTTGACAGGCAGAGTGGACAGTGAGAGAGAGAGACAGAGAGAAAGGTCTTCCTTTGCCGTTGGTTCACCCTCCAATGGCCGCCGCGGCCGGCACACCGCGCTGATCCGATGGCAGGAGCCAGGTGCTTCTCCTGGTCTCCCATAGGGTGCAGGGCCCAAGCACTTGGGCCATCCTCCACTGCACTCCCTGGCCACAGCAGAGGGCTGGCCTGGAAGAGGGGCAACCGGGACAGAATCTGGCACCCCAACCGGGACTAGAACCCGGTATGCCGGCGCTGCAAGGCGTAGGATTAGCCTAGTGAGCCGAGGTGCCGGCCAAATAAATCTTTAAAAACAAACAAAAAAAGAAAAACAACTCAGATCTCCTAGTGTTGGGCCAGGCTGTTCCAGCACTGTGGGTGTCACCGGGTGTGCAGCTCAGGGGCCCTGTTCACACAGACGGAAAGGAAGGAGGAATGCAGGCGAGGTGAGGGGAGAGGCTGCGAGGCAGGCGGCCGGCCGGAGGGGGCTGGCCTGGCTGCCTGGGGCAGAGTGTCGAGGCGGGAGGGGAAGCGGAGGGTATGGAAGGTTTACTGTTTGCAGAACTATGTATGAGCACAGAGGAAAAGCCTGGCTGGTTATGTCAACCGTGATTATATCTCAGGGCTGGGTTATGGGGGCTATTATCTTTGATGTCATCTGATCTCTTATTTTTCTGTATACGTAACTCAGAGTGAACAATGGATAGACAGGAGAGAAACTGGGTGAAAGTTGAGAGCATGGGAAAGTTGAGCAGGTTAAGCCTCAGTCTGCAACACCGGCATCCCATTTTGACGCCAGTTCAAGCCCAGCTGCTCCATTTCCAATCGAGCTCCCTGCTAATGTGCCTGGGAAAACAACAAAGGATGGCCTAAATGCTTGGGCACCTGTACTGAATCAAACTCTTGGCTCCTGGCTTTGGCCTGGCCCAGCCCTGGCTGTTATGGCCATTTGGAGAGTGTACCAGGAGATGAAAGATCTCTCTGTAACTTGCCTTTCAAATAAATAAAATAAACCTTAAAAAAATGAATCACCAGGGGAACTTTTAAAATCTTAGATTTCTAGAAGAATCTACCTCTGGAAAATCCAATGTATCAGATCTGGGGTGAGACCTAGGAATTTACTTTAAAAAAACCCTGAGAGAGAATAGGGAATTCCTACTTTTATGTTATTTAATTCTAAAATTTCCCCTTCCTTTGAAGCAAGTATTACTTACAATAATGAGTGTTTAAGCTTTAAAATATATATGCTCTGCTCTGGTGCAGCTTTCTGCTAATGCACACCCTGGGAGGCCGTTGATGATGGTCTGAGTGATGGGTCCCTGGCACCCACATGGGAGACCCAGACTGAATTCTGGGCGCCTGGATTCAGTCTGGCCCAGCCCTGTTATGAGCATTTGGGGACGTGAAATAGCAAACGGAAGATCTCCCTCTGTCTCTACCTTTCAAATACTATGAAAATAAGTAGGTAAAATTTTTTAAAAATATATAAATAAAAGGTTCTGCAATTGATTATCTCTAGGACACATCAGTTAACAAAGAAATCAGGTAGGGGAATTTCTCACTGAATACTCTGGAATCTTTTCACTCTTCAACCATCTGAGTACATTAGCCATTACGAGTGAGTCAAATAAGCCATTATAAATAAATAAAACTCAGGGGGCCGGCACTGTGGTGCAGTGGGTAAAGCCGCCGCCTACAGTGCTGGAATCCCATATGGGTGCCAGTTCGACTCCCGGCTGCTGCACTTCCTATTCAGCTCTCTGCTATGGCCTGGGAAAGCAGTAGAAGATGGCCCAAGTGCTTGGGCCCCTGTACCCGCATGGGAGACCCAGAAGAAGTTCCTGGCTCCTGGCTTCGGATTGGCACAGCTCTGGCCATTGCGGCCAACTGGGGAGTCAACCAGTCGGTGAAAGACCTCTCTCTCTCTGCCTCTCCTTTTCTCTCTGTGTAACTCTGACTTTCAAATAAATAGATAAATAAATATTTTTAAAATAAATAAATAAATAAAACTCAGGCAAATACAGTCATATAAACAGGTGATGGCACAGGCACTTTGCACAGCAACTAAGATGCCTCTTGGGATCCTGTACTGTAATGGCTGTGTTTAGGCCCCGGCTCTGCTCTCCCTCCCTGCTTCCTTACCTGCACGCCAGGAAGCAGCAGGTAAGGCCTCAAGCAGTTGGGTCCCTGCCACCCAGGAGAGTGACCTGGGTTGAGTTTCTGGCTTCTGGTTTGGGCCTTGCCCAGCTCTGGCTGTTCCAGGTATTTGGGGACAGAACTAGCAGATGGACACGCCCCTCGTCCCCGCCCCATATCTCTAATAAATAAACAAATGTTAAATTTTAAAAAGGTGACAATACACCAATGACCACATGCTGGTTCAGTAGATAAGGAACTGTGTGGTTAAAGGACTTGGCTCTCAGGCCCAGGCCAGCACCAACCCTCTGGAGTTTACTACCCAGGTCAGGGAGACGTGGGAAGGGGTCAGGTAGGGTGCAAGAGCCAGGGTCCAGTCTCACCACTGCTGGTCTCCTGGGGCGTGGCATCCACAACCTGCCACCCATCGAAGCCCGAGGGCAGATCTGGCCTCTTCATCCAGCAATCATTCCACACGTGGAAGTTCCTGAGTGGACATGGAAGGAGGGCTGGGTCTGAGACTTCAGTGCAGGGCCTCCCCAGCACCCGGCCCAGTCCCTCCCTCCACATCCAGGTCACTGTCCCTGGGCACGGATGGGCACGGCCCCAGCCTCACCACACAGAGTCACGGTTCAGGTGCTCTAGCGGCTTCATGTTCTCATCAAAGTAGATGTCCATGGTGAGGGACGTGTCTGTGTCGTGCGCAGAGTTGAAGTTGGTGACAGTCCGGGTGGCAAGGCCCAGGCAGCGCAGCACTGCGGAGGGGATTGTGGTTCACACAGGGACAGGGGCAGATGAGGATTCAGGTCGGGGACATCAGAGGGCAACTGGGGTTGCCAAGCTGGGCCTGGCCCACCATGGTCAGGGATGCAGGGTCCAGAGGCCTCTGGACCACAGCACACATGGGGTGAGGGGAAGTCAGGCCACCTGCAGGGCTCAGGCTCTGCCTGTCCCTTCTCCCTCCTCGCCCTTAGGCCTCTTTCTGCTATTAACACTAATTAATGATAATTAAGGCCAGCCAACCACCCACCCTCACCTGCTTCCTGCACGGTAGCCACAGCTGGGCCGGGTGGAGTGAAAATGGAGCCTGGCTTCCCTCCCTGCCCCTTCCAGGGCCCAGGCCACTCCTGCCCTGGTCCCTCCACTACCTGTGGTGGTCACACCAGCAAAGACCCAGCACTGGCCATAGGGGACGGAGTAGCCGGTGCGGAGGTAGCTAAGCAGGATCTCCACGCTGCCCACCCATGCTGAGGGGTTGGTGCCTCGAGAGTAATCGCCAGACCAGTTCCCAATGAGGACTCCATTGTCATCCAGGGAGTTCACCTGCCCAGGACGAGATGGGGGAGGAGAAGGGCTCAGGGCCTGGTTGGGTCCCCGGCCCAGCCCCTGACCCTGCAACCAACCCTCATCCCTAAATGCTTGAAGATCTGGATGTCAGCCTGAGCCCCACCCACTCCTCCCTGCAGCCATCTCTCCCCCTCCCACCCTGAGCTGACACAGGAATGTGAATCCTGGGTGTGCCAAGTTTGGGGTTTGGTCCTACATTCCACATGAGTTAGGACAGAAGCCAGAAAGGGTGGGGAGCGGGCAGGAGAGGGGAGGAGGTGGACCCTTCCAGCAACAGCGCCTTTGGGAGGGCAGGGTCAGGGCTGAGGGCCTGTAGGACTCCAAGTAGAGCAGCACCCGCCTCGCAGGGCGGGGGTGGGGGTGGGGCAGACAAACTGAGAATGGAAGGTGCTCACCATGGCAGAGATGACCCGCGAGACACTGACTGGGTCCCCACGGCCTCCATAGGGCATCCCCCGCCGGTCCAGGATGTACAGGCAGGCATCCAGCACCCCATGGTCAAACTGGAAGGAGGGAGGCAGACAGGGGTGACCGGGGTCCACTGCAGTGGGGCTCAGACCCTTGGCCCCACCCCCGACCCAGCCCACCCCTCTACCTCTGGCTGCCCTGGCCAGCCATACCTGGCCATAGTTCCAGGTCCGCTCGCCAATCTGCGCTTCAGTCCCATAATAAATTCTCCCAGACTCATTCAGCACATATTCCTGCCGCCAGTCCTCATGGTCCACGTACACAATGTCCTCTGTGTGCCCAGAACACACACAGCTGGTGATCTTGAGCTCCCGCCCTGGGCCCCACCTGCCCTGTGGTCAGTTCTCCAGGACTCACGTCCACAGAGGAGAATGACAGGGTGCCTCTAGGCCGGACGGAGGGAGCATGACAAAGACAGTGGCAGAAGGCTGGCTGCAGCCAGGGCCCCGCACTGGGCAGGTGAGCAGGCTGTGACCTTGAGCTGGTCACCTTCCTACCCTGGACGATGGGAGGTTGGCTTCTTGTAGGACCAGGCAGCCAGGCAAGCAGCCCCGGGGCCCTGCCCACCCTCTGTCCCTGACCCTAGCAGGCTCACCTGGGCACCAGGGATTGAAGAGGATGTAGATTTCATTGCGGGGGTCAAAGGGCAGCTGGAACTCCCCTGCCTCTGTGCGTGTGCGGACGGTGAACTGGAATTTGCCAATGATGGCGCTGGCGGGGGAGTGGACCCGCAGGTTCAGAGTCTGCCCGCTGGCCTTGGTCACTTGGGCCTTCCAGCCTCCGCTGTTCCCCTTGCCTACTGGGATGATCACGTGGGTGCCCTTGCCCACCTCGGGGTTGTTTCCTAGAGCGGGGAAAGCAGTAATTAGCTGATGAAGCCTTCCTTAGGAGAGAGGATGGGGCCTGGGACTTCTCCCAGCCCCACCCAAAATGCCAATGAGCCAGTGTGTGTGTGTGTGTGTGTGTGTGTCCCTGAGTTGGGCCATCGCCTTAGTCTGTGACCATCTCCCTCTAAGCAGCCTTGTATCCACCCAGTGCCTGCCCACGTGTCAGGGCAGACTCCCAGTGCAACACCCCAAACCTGTTCCCCTGACACTGAACCCAGAGGTACAGAGGAGAGCCCAGGGCCCGCGTCACCCTCGCCTGTCTGGCTGCCCCAGTGCCTGGGCTGGAGGAGCAGAGCTGGGTCCTGGCTGGGGCAGACCTCTCTTGCCCTCTGTGAACATACAGTCCAGGCCTGAAGGCCAATCCCCACCAGTCTCTGGGGCTGCAGCTCCCAGGGCCCAGGGCACCCCTGGTGGAGGTGGTAGGGGTACCCGGAAAATTAGAGGCTGGGGTGGGCAAGGTTAAGTCCTAATCAAAGGGTGAGAGGAGTCGCCCGCCCCCGGCAGCTGCATAATCACCAGGCTGGGCAGTCAATGGCCACCAAACAACGCGGTGAGAGAGGCACCTGCCCTGGGCCATGGGGACAGAGAGAGAGACAGAACGAGAGAACGCAGAGCCAGCCACACCCCGGGTAAAGGCAGCAGACCCAGGAAGAAGGACCTACAGAGGCAGGAAAGGTGGTGACACCAAGACCCTCCCAGGGGCACGCTCCCACAGAGGTGAGGACCGGGCAGGGAAGGAGCCTGGAGACCTCTCCCTACAGGCTACAGCCTTCCCCCCTCCCACTCCCAGTCGCACTGACCGATTTGCAGCTCCAGGGCGATCCGATCGGACGACTCGTAGGGCCGGGACAGGAAAAGGACTAAGTGGAAAGGCTGCCCGCGGCGCACAATCAGCTCTTCATACTCAAACTCATCTGTGTGGTGCTCTCGGCGGTTCTGGTCCGAGCGGGAGCTCAGCAAATCCACACCGGTCACCACCAGCATGCCCTCTGCAAGGCCACATCTCTGGGTCAGTCCCCACAGGGAGCCCGGAAGCCCCCATCAGCCTCCCACTACCCCCACTCATGCCCCTTTGGGGATACCACAATGAGTCTCAGGTCCCATTAAGGCCAACAGGCCAGCCTCACCTCTGATGGTGCCATCTCCAGCCGCATTTACACCGCCGCCCCGGGAGTCAGGCCTTCCGCCCCGAGAGCTGGACCCCCGATCCCTGGAGCCGGAGGGCTCGCGCCCCCAGTCGTCATCTGCCGCATTCCGGCAGGAGCAGCAGCCACAGCAGCGAGCCCAGAAGGAACGGCCTCGTCCTCCACGAGAACGAGAACCTCTGTCTGGCTCAGGCTCGGGCTCCGGCTCTGGTGAAGGCGTGGCTGAGGGCTGCAGGGGTCCCCCACGCCAGCGGCCTACGTCGGAGCGGCCCATGTCAGATCGGCCCATGTCAGAGCGGCTCATGTCGGAGCGGCTCACGTCGGAGCGGCCCATGTCGGAGCGAGGACCATCCATCCTGCCTGCCAGGGAGAGATGGGGTGGGGGCAGCGTCTCAGACCTCCTTTACCCAGGATGCCCCCATTAGCCCCCCAAGAAGCCCTCCACCTATGCTGCCGATTCAGCCCCAGCCAGATGACCGAGACTATCCGAGCTTGACCCAGACCTTTCCCCCAAAGACTGCATTCAGACTCACCCAAAGAAAGCTTCCTACACTGCAGAGAACAGCCTTGCCTGCCCCTCTACCACATCCCAAACCCAGACGCCCCATGGAGGGACCTACTCAGGGACCCAGGAGGGGCATGTTGTCCCCTGGATGTATATGGCCACTCAGACCAGAGTGTGCGTGCAGCACCCCAGGCAGGGTCCCTGCACCTGCCAACTCCTCAGTCTAGAGGTCCCAGATGCCTCTCCCACCCATTTCTTAGCAGACACCCCTCTCCCCCACGTCAAGGCTTCCCACAAGACATGCAGGTGCTGTGGGAGGCCTGGGGTCCTTGGCTTCCCTCTCATAGGGCAAACCTCCACACAGGACTGCCGCAAGGGGTGTGGTTCAGCAGGTGCAGAGAGACCGGCTGGGTTCCCGGACAGCAGAGTCCCAGACAGGTACTGGCAGGCCCGCACTCCACCTTTCTGGAGCCCTCGGCAACGGGGGGCTCAGCACCCGCAGTAACTGTCAGAGCCCCTCACCTGGCAGCGGTGTTGACGACGGCAGCGCGAGTCCCCGCCCGGCCGCTTAGGTCGGGACTGATGGATGGGCTGGACGGGCCGGACGCCGTCGCACAAGTGGAAGATGTGGGCCGGGCCAGGGAGGTGGTTTATGAGGGGTGGGGAGGGCGGGGCCGAGGTCCTGGAAGAAGGGGAAGCTCGGTTGCTCCATCCCCAGGCGGGGAAGTGCTCGGCCTCTGGGGGCTGTCTCATGAGATAGGGGCAGGAAATGGGGACGGCCCACCCCCTTCCCCTTTCGAGGAACTGATGACGCTGGGGGCGGGCCAGGGTCTGGGCTGAGGCCAGGGTGAAGATGCAGGGCTTTGAGAAGACCCAGTCCTGTGGTGAACGCACACGTGTGAGAAGCAATGGGACAGCCCCATCCTGCGGGCCTCCTCCTGTTCACAGGTTCAGACTGCCTACCTCTGCTTCCATGGGCCCCTGCTGCCAAGGCCAGCTGCCTCACAGCCCAAGCCAGGCGTGGCCCTGTGAAACTGGCCCATGAGCCTGGCCCTGCAAAACTTATCCTGCCCAGGGAGGTCCCACATCCCAGCTGCTGGCTGGTGACGTCAGCAGCCAGGCCCTCAGACTGGCTCCACCAGCCGGCTCCTGACCTGCCGGCTCTACCAGATTTCTGACAACCCCCCCCCCCCCCCCCAATCTGTCTTTCTTCCAGCTGCTCCACAGCCCCCAGGACGAGAACAACCCCTAGCTCCTCACATCTCCTGAGTTTGTAATGAAGGGGGTCGGGGTAGAGGCAACCTTGTTTTCTGTCCCCCAGCCTGCAGGCTTAGGTCTTTGCACACAGGAGTCGGTGGGAAGGGGGCCTCCTCCCCCACTTGCAGAGTATCCTCTCAGAGGGGAAGGTCTGGAGTCCAAGATCCCACCTCTTTTCCAGCCTGGAATTCCTCCTGGGAATCCAGACCAACCAGCTACAAGCACCTGCCCTGTGTGCATCCCAGCTCCACCCCCAGCTCTGGGAGAGACACCAGTGATGGCACAGACAACCCTGAGGCAGAGAGGAGGCCGAGCACGGAGGTGCCCCCTGAGCCCATCAGCCAGGGGCCTTTCCCCTCCACCCACTAGTGTCCCAGCTCTGCCCAGGGACCGCGACAATCAAGACCCATAGAAGCAGACCGCAGGAGAAGCTGCTTGGAGATGTGGCAGGCAGGGAGGTGCCTCGGAGTGGGACACAGGCTCCAGGACGTGGCCGGGGGCCGTACCCACCCATGCTTTCTTTAGTCCAGCTCCAAGCCTCAAGATCTGGCAAGGGGCCTGCCCCACCTCCGGCACAGCACCAATATCAATCAAAACTCCAGGCAGGTGGGAAGCAGGGCAGCCAAAGGCCTTCGCTTCAGGGCTGGGTGCTTGCGCACAATGCTTTGGGTGCGGGAAGGGGCAGGGCCCTGAGCTTGCCGGATGTGTGGGAGCCCGTGTGGTCCCAGGCAGATCCCAGAGAACCAGAAAAATGCCTCTGTCACACTCTCTCCTTGTTCCAGTTTTTCTCTTTCCCCACCCAACCAGGTTTGACTCAGTGCGCTAAGCCCTGAGCCACTCCCCTTTCTTCCCCCCTTCCGGGAGGTCTGTGCCCGGGGGCTGTTGGGAGCAGTCCTGAGGGGTAGGGTGGGGGAGGACACTCAATCCAGCACCTCTGGGAGCTGAGGCCAGGCCTCCACTCAACCGTTTCAGATCAAGACGGAAACAAGGACTTGAGTCCAGAATCCTCCTGAGTCAAGGTGCACAGATGGTTTTGGTTCCAGCAACCTGGGGCGGGTCTCAGCAGCGCAAATGGGCCTGAACGTCAGCCCGAATCGCTGGGTAGGATTAAACGGGATCAGGTATTATCAATGGCTCTCCGACTGCAGAATCCCATTCATGGGAACTGACACTGCTGTTAAAGCAAGGTGGGGCAGGGGAACACGGAGCAAGCACCTGGACCTTCTCAGCTGTGGTCAGTGAGAGCCAGGCCACAGAGGGCAACTGGAAGGGCAGGGCTTGGGGAGGAACCCCCAGGATCCCCTGCAGCTGGGGAGACTCACAGTTCAGCCCTAACCCAAACTGATCCCAATCTCTGTCCCAGCCGGGGACCAAACCCAGCCCCAGCCCCAAGCCAGAATGTCATCTCAAGTCCAGCCCTAGCCCTGACTTCTGCCCTCAACACCGAGGCTCTGCTTCTCCATGACTTGGAACAGCAGCCGGTGGGGGCACTGAATGCAAGCAGAGAGGAGGAGTCGCCGACGTACGCCAAGTCTTTGCCCTTTTCCCCCTTGAAATACGTGGTAACAGTCCTGGAGGCAGCGATGCAGAGCGGCGGGGGTGACAGCAGACGGGCAGCCTGTGGTGCCTCTCCACTCTTTATTCAGTCCTAATAAGTTAAGGGGCGGGCGGGTGGACTCTCCTAGGTGAGGACGCTGCTAACTGAAGGCAGCTGTTCCGCCAGCTGCTCCTCGATGCCCACCTCTTGGCACAGTGGATTGCCCTGCAGGTTGAGGAGGACCAGCCTGGGGCAAGAGGCAAGAGGCTGGAGTGCGGCACGCTGCTGGAGGCCTTGGGCAGGAGAGTCAAGGAAAGCTTAGTGGGTTCCCCCACCCCGCCAAGTCCACCTGCTCCCGGGCAGCCCTGGGGAGCTGGGCACTGCTGCCTGGAAGCCCGGCACATGGGCACCTCCCAGGCCTCGATGCAGGGAGCAAGGCTCCAGGTGGGGACTGCGAACCCCTCCCGACGGGGGCAGGCAGGAGGCACGGGAAGGAGGCTGGGCGCTGGAACACGGGTGGCGGGGCTACGGGAGGGTGGGGGCGGACTCCCCCCCATGATGCACTCCACCCACGCACAGAGGCGTTCCGGATTCAGCACTAGCCAAGGGCAATGGAGAACACATGGGTCATACGGTGGCTCTAAGTTCTGGTTTCTAAAAAGACTCAGAATGCTAGACTCTTGCAAATGGAGACTTCCTGATTTCACACCACATGACTTCCAGGAGCTCGCACAGGTTTCCTATTCATGAACTCGGCCTGCAGAACTCATGCTCTGGGAAACTCCACTGGGACAAGCCAGCATGGCCCCATGGTACCACTGCCAGGGCCTCCTCCCACACTCCACCTCAGGGCGACAGCCGCCTGCTGGCTGGCTGTCCCCCCTACAGCGCAGGCCTACACTCTCCCCACTGAAAGGCACCCAGAGGGAGGATACGGTTGTTGGACAGGAACAGCTCCCGCAGCCGGGGAAGGTTAGTGACGCCGTCCAGTGACTCGATGGCATTATCACTGGCCTGCAGCACCTGGGAGCCGGGGGCAGGGAAGCACACGGCAGAGAAGGCAGCTGTGAGCCGGGGCTGTGTAAAAGCCACGGGAGAGGCCAGGGCGATCGGCTTCCAGGGCATGGGCGGGTGACGGCAGGGACGGCAAGTGGCTGCCTGTGGGGGCTGGCGGGTCCTGGATGTCTCTTTGTAGGGTGGGCAGACTTGTGAGGCGGAGGGGAAAGAGGACCACCCAGGATGGCAACGGAGGAGTTAAATGCTTTACCTCAAGGCAGCGCAGGGCGGCCAGGGCAGTGGGCAGGGATCGGAGACGATTGTGTGAAAGGTCAAGGTGGGTGACCAGGAGCAGCTGCTCCAGATGGCAGAGCACCGTCAGATCCTGGGGGAAGGGAGACACCCAGTGAGACCTGCCAGTGGGTCCTCAGTCACTGTTAGCAGGCCTTGCCCTTTGTGCCTGCCAGGTGCCGGGGGAAGCAGGTGGGAAGCTAACCGGACAGCCCACAGCAGCACATGCAACCAGGGACAGAGAGGGAGCGCTGGGCGTGCAGTGGCCACGGGGCACGGCCAGGAGGAGGCAGCCTGGACAGCAGCAGGCACACAGGACAGGGGTGGACAAAGACACCGCAGGAGCAGCCCGGTGAGTGTGAATGCGAGTGTGAGTGTGGGAAGGGCCTCGGTGGGAGTGCAGGTAGGCTGCAGGGATGCATTGAAACTGATGCATTCGGAACACGGATCAGGAAGGACTGGAAACAGGAAGAGTGGGGCCTGGAAAGCTTATCAGGAATCTCTGGAAACTATCTGGGCTTCGGGCTCTGGGGCCTGCCAAGGGTGAGGAGCACGGGAGGATGCCGGAATTCCAAGAGGCATGGGAATTCCTGGAAGGAAGAATGAATACGTGACTGGCCCAGTGGAGGGGACAGCGCGGGGAAGGGACCAGTGACTCAGAATCTGCAAGGGGACAAAAAGACTGGCGGGAGGAGTGACGGAGAGCAAGGCCTGGGAGGGGAATAACCCGGGAGGAAGATGATGGATTCAATCTTGGCAGGAAGGTACCCGAGACTAGAGGCAAAGCTGGGGCTGTGTGAGGCCGGCCAACAGGGTGACACTGGGGGGGAGGGGCCCGCGACAGCCCGTACCTTGTGGGCCAGGTGTAGCACGCGCACATCCGCGTACTCCATCTTGAGCACACTGTTCTCCAGCAAGAACTTGCTGCGCAGGTCATCCAGATACGCTGCCCTCATTGGGTCCACGGCCTGGTGGGGATGGGCAGGGCGGGGCCCCGCGTCAGCCGCCTCCTCCTGCCTGCTGGGTGCCCCCCGGCGCTGTGTGCCCGCTTGCCCTTCTTACCTGGAGGGTCTGGAAGTACTGCAGCGTCTCCTTCTCGTACAGCAGGGGGTCCAGTGCCCGCATCAGCAGGATGATGGTGAGCAGGCACCCTGCGAAGAGGTGGGGACAAGGCGTCCCTGGATCCTTCTTACTGTCCTGCTTTCCCCAAGGGGCTGCCCCAGAAAGGGGCCCCTTAGAGGGCTCTGGGCAGCAGGTTCTCAGGGAACGGGCCTCGTACTGACTGATGGATTGATTTTTTTTTTCTTTCCCACACCCTGGGCCTCACATTTATTCTCAGGCTCCAGCTCCTGCAGCTCCTTACAGGACTTGAGCTCGGACTGCAGCACTGTGGATTTGTCCACCGACAGCTCACACCTGAGGGTGGGAAACGGTGGGGAGAAGATGATGCCCATAGCCCTGGGGTACTGGTCACCCCCGTGGCTGGTCTGAGACCATCTCCCCAGAACCCAAGCCTTCCGCCCCAGCTGCCCGATGCCACCCTCCCCATCGTGTTTCCTTGTCATCACCTGAACAGCTGCTCATCTGTGGCTGAGTCCCGGCACCATCCCTCCTGGCGACCTGGCGGAAAGAGAAGGTGTAGGAGGGGGGACACCCCCAGAGCAGGAGAGGGATGGGGGGGGCCTGCAGCAAGGGGCAGGGCTGAAGGATGTATCACCTTTTAAAAGCACACACTCCTTGTGGACCCCGCCTGCTGTCCAAATGACACGAAACGTGTGTTGGGGCAACTGGTCGTTGAGGGAGGCGGTGGGCAGGTCGCAGAGCTGGGAGCACTCGGTCAAGGAAATGGCCCGGCCTCACGACTTTTCCAACTGTCCCACCCTAACCCTGCTCCAGACCCCGCTTCTGCCCCACCACCGATGCTGGGATACCCAGACGTGACTGGGCTGGTTCCTGCCATCTGGGGTTCTCCATTCCACCATCAGAGGTGACTCATCAGCCATGAGTAGCAAAGTATCTGTCCCAGGGCCCACCTGGCACAGGAGACAGAGAGACACCCATCAGCCCCCACAGCACCAGGCCCATAATCCCGCGGGGTTCTCCCGCAAAAGCTGCAGGACTCACTAGGACGGGCCGAGAGAAGCAGACAGTCAGACAGGCCTCGTCCCGGCTCACGTGCAGGCAGTGCAGAGCGTCCTGGGGGTCAGCTGCGGGGAGACACAGTCAGGAATCCTCGCATCCACCTTGGTTCCTTCCAAGCCCCCGATACTCGGCCTCCTCCCCCGTCGCTCACCTCGACCCAGGAGCCAGCGGTGATAGAACCACGCGCTCTGATCGTTGGGGTCGGTGAAGAAGGCGTTCTGCACGAGCTCCAGCTCTGCGGGGGCCGGGAGGGGTGGGGCAGGGATGCTGGTGGGCTCCTGGCTGCCCCCACAGCCCACGCTCTCCTTCCAGCCCTCAATCTCACTGACACCCAGGCCTCCCACACGGGCCCACATTATGTTTCACCTTCCCCATCGGATACTGGAGCTCCCTGCAAGCCAAGGACTGAAGAACCAGGCAACAGGGCTGGAAGGGTGGGGCTGCAGAATCCTCCCCAGGACCCTGACCCTGCTCACCCTTGAGCAGCACGTCCTCCGGGAGGCGCCCCTGTGGTCCAGCATCTGGCTGGGGGTGCAGCTGGGGCAAGAGGCAGGAGCGGTAATGCCAGGAGGAGTAGTTGGAGAAGTTTCGGGTGATGAGGCTATCAGTGAAGGCCAGCTCGTCTGCGGGGGGCACAGCCGCCTGTGCAGCCACAAACCGCCGGTAGTCCCAGCAGTGAACTGGGGAGGAAGAGAGGGGACAGCAGATCTCAGAAGCAAGGCAGGAGGCGCTACCTGGCTGGCACCCCCAGGGTTCCCCGGGAGACGCCCCTAGAAACACCTTAACGAACTCCACCGAGGATATGTCTGGCTCTGTCATCTCTTTTGGCACGAGCACCAGTGGGCCCACCCTGGACATTCCTCTGCAGTCTGGGCCTGAGGCCCCCGTACTCGGATGAGGGGGACAGTGGGACAGAACCTGCAGGCACGTACAGTTCCGCTCATCCACCTCCAGGAAGCGGGCACACAGCTCCAGCTCCCGGGCCCAGTTGGGCTCGGGCAGGCGGCTCAGCAGCCAGCAGCGGTGATGCCAGGTACCATAGGACTTGGGGTTCACCCGCAGGCAGCTTTCCAGGAAGCCCAGTTCTGCTTTCACCAGAGCGGCCAGCTCCTCGGGGGACCTGCACCCAGAGGGGAAGTGAAGGTCAAGGCCCTCCACTACCCTGTCCATGGCCCTGGCTGCCCTGGATCCGTGCAAGGCAGGAGTGAGCCCAGGGCAGTCTCCCTGGGACCTCGAACCCTACGCACTTCTGGGTCTCCAGGTGCTGAAGCACTTCGCGCCGGCAGTTCCAGAGGGTGGCAAAATCAGGATTGGCTCCCAGAATCTGGCTCGTCAGTTCCAGCACTGATTCATCCAGCTCACCAGCCTGGCGCTGAGAAGATGGGCAGCAGGGTCAGCAGCTACACAAGCTGAGAATGCTCCAATATTCCGTGAATCCCATGCTATGCAACAGGTACTACGCCAAGCACTTTACAGGTATTCTCTCATGTAACCCTCCCAACAGCCTTATGCAATAGATGTAACTACTAGACCCATTTCACAGATGGACAAGCTGAGACCCAAGGGAGTCAGCAACTCATCCCAAGGTCATACAGCTGGAAAGATCTGGATCCAAGCAGTCTGACTCCAGGGCCCGGCTCTCGGCCTCTGTGCAATATTATGGGGTCCACTTGGGGTGCGGATAACTCTGAAGGTCCCACCTTTTGGAAGACGGCTTGGGTGGCTGACTGGTACAGCTTCAGCTTCTGCTCCCGCTCTAGCCTTTTGGCCTCCGCCTGCTCTTCCGATGTCTTCACCTTCAGGCGCCCGTGCTAGACAGGGGAGGGTGGGGAGAGTGTAGGTTGCTCTGCAGGGGCACCCCGGAAAACCTGCTGCAGAGTGCCACGTTCGGAAGGGGCAACCAAGGCGACACCACTCGGGGCCAGGGCGCGGGCATGCAGAGGTGAGGGGGTGGGCTCACAGTTCTCACCATGGTGTCGGCTCAGTTCAGGACAGGGGAGGGGTCCAGCGTAGAACGTGAAGTCTGGGGAGAGAGGTGTCAATCACGGAGCCCCGCCCCCACTAGCTCCGCCCCAGCTGCTCGCCGGAAGCTGCACGCGGGCCTGAGCGGAGACCCCCCCCCAAGGGTGCAAAGGGGTCTTGAGACGGGCATTGCATGCCCTGGCAGCGACGCCCACCCAGACTAGGACTTCGACCCGCGCGGCGCTTCCTACAGCCCGATCCGCAGGAACCAGAGCCCGAGGCAGGGCACCTGGGCGATGAGGACTACGCTGCACCCGGCAAGCTGCCGCTGCCCGCCCACCCCGCGGCTCCCAGGCACCCCCGCCCCGCGGGCGGACCCACCTGCACTGGGAGGAGGCGCGGGGGACGCGGAGCAGCGCCTGCCACCGAGCCCGGGCGCTGGCTAGAGCGGCGCCACGCCCCGGCTCCCCGCGGCGCAGCGCCCTCTACAGGCGCGGGGAGGGGCCCGCGGCGGCGGAGAGCGGCTTGCGCGGCGCGTGCGCCGAGCGGAAACGCCGAGTGCCCGTGCGCCTGGGTGTGTAGTGCGCATGTGCATGTGCCTTGCGTTGGGTCACGTATGCCGGTTAGCAACTTAACAGCAAATTAGGTGAAGAAGTTACTCCAAAAATCCACACGTTCCTTACTCCGTTTACCTCATTCCGGCCACGCTGACTTGCTGCTGGTCATGTCTAATGGTGGAGTTTCCTGTCCTGACATTTGACTCGCTGCTTTATCCTGAAACCCCTTTTCATGCACTTTAAAAAATTATTTATTTATTTTGGAAGGCAGAGTTATAGAGAGAATCTTCCATCCACTGCTTCACATCCCAGATGGCCACCAGGGCTGGGCCAGGCTGAAGCCGATAGCCAGGAGCTTCATCCGGGTCTCCCATATGAGTGCAGGGCCAAAACATTTGGGCCTTCCTCTGCTGCTTTTCCCACGCCATAAGCAGGGAGCTTGTTGGGAAACAGAGCGTCCTGGACACAGACAGGTGACCATACGGGATGTGGGTGTGCAGACGGCTGTTCTACCCGCCGCGCCACAATGCGGGCTGCTCGCCTGCACCCTCGCTTCTCCTCCATTCACCTTCCTTCCCAGATGTTGGTGATTTACAGTTCCCATTCTTCAGCCCTGTTCCTTGCACACGCTTCCGGGGTAAGCATGAATAAATGCAAGTCTCCCACTGCTTGGAGGTTCTGGTCGCCGTCCCACGGACCGCTGGCCCCACACTTTCTCTGGGTGACTTCATCCACACTCATGGTTTTAATTACCACCTGTAAGCTGATGACACTTACATTCCTGTCTCCAGCCCAGGTGTCTCACAGCCTTAATAAAAACAAATACATCTGTATGCGTACACGTTCAGAAACCTATTGGGTATCACCTGGGTGTCCCAGAGGCATCTCCATTTCCAAAGGTTAAAGTATATCAGTCTCCCATCTATCCTGCCTAAACACTGGCCTTTGGGTTTCCAATGTTGTGAATGGTGGTAGGTCCTCCCCACATTTTTTTTTTTTTTGAAAGGCAGAAAGACAGGAAGAGCTGTCATCTGCTGGTTCACTCTCCAAATGCCAGGCCAAGGTTGGGAGTCCATCTGGGTCTCCCCAGGTATTTGAGCTATCACTTGTTGCCTCCCAGTGTGTACATGAGCACGAGGAAGCTGGAATTGGAAGCTGGAGTTGGGACAGTGTCTTAATTGCTAGGCCAAATGCCTATCCCCTGCCCCCACTTAATTTTCTTTTTCAATTTATTTATTTACTTGATAGAGTTACAGAGAGAGAGAGAGTGCTTCCATCTACTGGTTCACTCCCCAAATGACCACAATGGCCAGGCAGAAGCCAGGAGCCAGGAGCTGCTTCTGAGTCTCCCATGTGAGTGACAGGGGCCCAAGCACTTGACCATCTTCCACTGCTTTCCCAAGTGCATTAGCAGAGAGTTGGATTGGAAGTGGAGCAGTCGGGTTTTGAGATGGTGTCCATATGGGATGCCAGGGTGTTGCAGGCCACTACTTAACCTGCCACGCTACAATGCCGGCTGACACCCTGTCCCCTGCCCCTGCCACGTCTTCATCTCCTTTAAATACCCTGTCCATTCACACTACCACCATGAATTCAAGCTCTTCATTTCTTCCCCCAGATGGTCAGACTCCTCAGAGTTCTGCATCTCATTCTCCTATTATCAATTCCCTCCTCTGTGTTACTGGATTTATCTTTTGTAAAATGTAGTGGCACATCCGTCCCTAAAAGCCTCCAGTGCCCCGACAGCTTTTCAGGACAGAACTTGGACCTCTTAGCCAAGCTCATCAGGACTTTTGGCACTGGGGCCCCGCCCCACCCCCCTCTGGCCTTTTGTCTTGTCTGACCCTATTGAAAAACCAAAGCTTCACTCCATCCTCCAGAACTACTTGCATTTTCCCAAATGTGTTAACCTATTTCCTCTTCTTGATTCGCCTTCCTCCACACCCCTCACGTGCCTGGGTAATTCCTATTCATCTTTAAGTTTCAATTCAAGAGGCAGCCTTTGTGGAGCAGAGGGTGAAGTCACTGCCTGGGATGCCCACTTCTCAGGTTGGGGCGCTGGTTTGAGTCCCAGCTCCTCCACTTCCAATCCAGCTTGCTGCTAATGCTCCCAGGAAGCAGTGGAGGATGTCTCAAGCACTTGAGTTCCTGCCTGGATAGAGATCCTTGCCCCTGGCTTTGACCTGGCCCAGGCCTGGGTGCTGTGGCCATTTGTGGAGAGGATCAGTGTATGAAAGATACCTCTCTACGTTTCTCTGAAGGGAGGAGAGAACTTCCACTTTGATTATGGCCTTGTCCAAATAATGTTGGAGTTTGTGAACTCAAGAGGCTTCCATAGCCTTGGCAGCTGATGACAAGAGCCTCGGGTGATTACTTACATCATAAATAAGAGTGTCAATTGTTAAATCAACAACAGGAGTCACTGTGCAGTTGTTCCCCATGTAGGATCTCTGTACTTTATACTTCGTGTGTCTCTGTGGGTGCAAACTTTCAAATCTTTACTCAGTATAGAGTTGATCTTCTGTATATAAAGATAATTAAAAATGAATCTTAATGAAGAATGGGATGGGAGAGGGAGTAGGAGGTGGGATGGTTTGCGGGTAGGAGGGTGGTTATGGGGGGAAGAACCGCTATAATCCAAAAGTTGTACTTTCGAAATTTATATTTATTAAATAAAAGTTTTCTATAAAAATTTTTTAAAAGATAAAAAAGATCTCTCTCTCTCTCTCTTTCTCAATCTCTGTCACTCTGCCTTTAAATGAATAGATCTTCAACAAAAAGTTTTACTCAAGTGTCACCTCCAGGAAGTCCTCCAAAATGCCCAGTCTGATTTCACAGGCTTTCATGTGTGCTGTCAAAGAGGCTGCTTTTTGTGTGTGTGTGACTACTATAAAGCTTGGTTTGTGTGCCTGCTTTTCATATCAGATTGAAAGTTCCTGGGACCATTGCTGTGGCGTAGCGGATAAAGCTGCCGTCTGCAGTGCTGGCATCCCAAATGGGCACTCGTTCGAGTCCCGGCTGCTCTACTTTGGATCCAGCTCTCTGCTGTGACCTGGGAAAGCAGTAGAGGATGGCCCAAATCCTTGGGCCCCTGTACCTTTGTGGGAGACCCGGAAGAAGCTCCTGGCTCCTGACTTCAGATGGGCATGGCTCCGGCCCTTGCGGTCATCTGGGGAGTGAACCAGGGGGTGGAAGACCACTCTCTCTCTGTCTCTGTCTCTCTCTCTTCCTCTCTGTAACTCTGCCAGAAAACAGAACACATACTTTTAAAAAAAAAAAAAAAGATTTATTAATTTATTTGAGAGACAGAGTTACAGACAGAGCTGTGCCAATCTGAAGCCAGGAACCAGGAGCTTCCTCTGGGTCTCCACATGGGTACAGGGGCCCAAGCACTTAGGCCAGCACTGGCTGCTTTCCCAGGCCATCAGCAGGGAGCTGGATTGGAAGAGGAGTAGCTGGGACTCGAACCAGCGCCCATAGGGGATGCTGGTGCCGCAGGCAGAGGATCAACCCACTTCACCACAGCACCAGCCCTGAAAATGCAGCTTTAACTCTGTTTCCTCTACATCTCCCTTAGGCCAGGAAATGTGTGCAGTGTGCACACCGTGTGCTGTCTTTTCCTAGGTCCTGTAACGAGTTACACAGGAAAACAGGTGCTTTCCTGGTCTTGTGTGGAAAGACTGACCCCATCTGCTGGTTATCTGTGTCAGGCGCTGGGATGGGAGCTTTGGGTACACACAGGACCACGTGTGGGAGGCAGCAGCAGAATGGTTAAGAACATGGACTCTGGAGCCCCCTGCCTGGGTTCAAATCCTGAGTTAGCTGCTTGCCAGCTGTGTGACCTGAGGCAAGTCATTTGGCTTCTGTGCCTCAGTTTCTCCAGTAACCAAGGAGGTATATTAACTAGATGCTAGGGATGAAATTCAGATTAAATAAAACAATCTATGGGGCTGGCGTGCATTGCTTATGGGTGCCAGTTTGTGTCCCGGCTGCCCCACTTCTGCTCCGGTTGCCTGCTAATGGTCTGGGAAAAGCAGCCTGCACTGAGTAACAGCTCAGTAAGCTTATTATTGGGCCCGGTGTTGTAGCACAGTGGGTTAAACTGCTGCCTGCATCTCCTATCAGAGCGCCAGGCGTGAGTCCTGGCTGCTCAGAGTTCTGGCTGCTCTTCTTCCAATCCAGCTCCCTGTTAATGTGCCTGGGAAAGCAGTGGAGGATGGTCCAAGTATTTGGGCCCCTGCCACCCACGCGGCAAAGCTGGATTGAGTGCCAGGCTCCTGGATTCAGCCTGGACCAGTCCCTGCTATTGCAGCCATTTGAGGAGTAGACTAGCAGATGGAAGATTTCTCTCTCTCCATCTCTCTCTCTCCTCCTTATCACTCTTTCACATAAATAAATAAATTTTTAAAAAATTATGATTATTTCTAATCTTTGTTACAACATGCAAGGAAACATTTTTAACTTTCTGCTTTTTAAATTTTTTTTTATGTAAGGAAACTTAAGGCTCAGAAAGAGTAAGTAACTTGCTAAGGCCTGCCTGTGGCCCAAGGGGACCCATGTTCATTGTGGCCCAGCCCTCCCACCACCTCCTTCCCTGCTCTTTTTTTTTTTTTTTGGCCACCACCTGTTCTGACTTCCTGCTCATATGCACTCACAAGTACAACCAGATACCTGGAACACAGACAGCCACAGGTGCAGCTTGCTCAGGTACAGTCTTACATCATCATCACCAGGGGAGGAGGAGGAGGAAAGGGGGTGGATGCAGGCTGAGGTAAGCGTGAAATGTGGCGCGATTAGCAACCTTGAAACTGGGAAGGT